CAGATCCTCATTTAATTGATTTACTGCCTTTTGAGTGTTTGAGGTAGTAGTCCTGTTTTCCTTGCATAAGAAATGATTCCCCTACATAATCATTTTGGCTGGCTTTATTGTATATTTTTATATATACAATATTTGTTTTTTAATTTTGGGATTACATTTTTTGCTTTTCCATATGTGTATGTTCCACTCACCCTTCACCATACCACCTGTGCCAATACCCCTCTACTTCCCTCCCCTACCCCAGTTTGTTCCCTCTGATAACCATTAAATTCTTCCACTGAGTTCAAGATTTATTCCTACTGTATTTTGCCAGTGTATATTTCTTGGTTATTTATATTCCATAGATGACTGAAACCATCCAATATCTATCTTTCTTCCTAACTTATTTCACTTATCAGGCACCTCCGGGTCCATCTATCTTGTACCTGGAGCCACTAGTTGCTCTTTTTCACAGTTGTGTAGTATTCCATTTATTATGGCTTATTTGGCAGCGCCTTTTCACTTGCTTATTTGCCACTTTTATATTTTCCTTTATCAAATGTCTGCTCGGATTTTTGTCTCTTTTGTTACATCGTATTTTCTTGTGTTCTTGATATAGTTCCTTTTCAGATACTTACACTGCTTGCATGCTTCTTAATGCTGTATTTCAGAAGCAGAAAAAATTAAACCTTAATATAGCCCAGTCTGTTTTGTCTCCTGATGATGCTCACAGTGAGGTATTCCTTACACTGTGGATTCAAATGGGAAGTTGGGACTGTTTATAGTACATTGTTGATTATGTGAGCTATTTATGAAATAATTATGGATTTTTAAAATTATAGATTTATTAGTGATAAGGATTTCTTAGTTTCCTAGCAAATAATGTATGCCTGTGTGTGGGCTCCTAAGAGCTGGCTACTACCTGGCCACTCATGGGCTACTGTGACCTATTTGCTATCTGCAAATCAAAACAGAACATTCCTTGACTGCCTGCGGAGTATAGCCCATATCACAAGGCAGGCCCGGGGCACCTAAGCCACTGTTGACCTGATTACGTGACTGTCTCCATGGTGGTATCAGAGTAACTGCCTGTGATGACATCAAATACTTGGCTGGCACAAATGACCATACACAGATCGCATGGTTATGATGTCCTCTTCCCTGTCCCTCATAAAACTTTGTCCCCCATTCCTGTCCCACCCTGCAGACTTTATTCCTCATAGCATTGTCACATGATCAGCTTTTACTAGCTTATGTGCTCTCAATACATGGCATAAGAACTTGTGCTCAAGTAACAGAATTTTGCCTTGCAAACCTGCTCCCTGACTGTTGTATCCTTCATTGTGTTCACAAAGTTCCTGTCGCAACACCTGTGGGTCTGTGTGTTTGTGTTGTTATTTCACATTATATGTGCTTGTTAAATTATGACTGAGCTCAGATAATCCTAGGTGAAAAAGAAATCCCATAACATACAGTAACTTAGCATATATTTTTAGTATAGGTCCTCTTTCCTTGTTATTTCTCTTGATAATTGCAGAAAGATTTTATTTTGCATTTTAAGCTGACTCAAAAGTCTGTACTTTCTATATAATCTCTGTTCTCGCTTAGCAGAGTTTTTTTCTCTTGCTTGCATTTTACACAGTGTGAAGGCAACTAATGAGTCAACCTTAATAGCATTTTTGGTTTGTTTCAGATATTTAGCTGGCAAAGCATTTGAATTATTCAGTTGATAAGGTTCATTCCTGATTTAGTTTGGTGCCGCAGTCACATGGGGCTTGAATTAAGTGTTAGTATTAGACACCCTGTGTTGGGTAGGCCAGTTTTCATGTCACATGAGCATTGCCATTGCTCCATCCTAAAAAAGGGCTTGCACTTTTATTTAAAATATTTATCAAGCATTGACTATGTGCCATGCATTCAGCTAGACTCTGTAGTGGTAACAAAACTGAGTCACATTTTCTATCCCAAGATGAATCATTTCATAAGGAAGGTAAGATAGACAAAATTAAAATAATATCTATTTTAGGTCCCATATGTGTATGTGTATTTATTCTGTAGATCAGTAGCATGTGTGTGAATCTGTGCCCCAGCTCTCAGGAGCACTGGATTTTGTGTCCTTTCATTTTTATCAAGTGTCTTCTATATACTTCTATAGACATTCTGCTAGAAGCACTTTATTTATAACTTATATAGAGGGCCTCCCTGGTGGCGCAAGGGGTGAAGTCGCAGCACTATGAAGCTATCCACAGCCACTGCAGCATGACATTGATCCCCGGCCAGGGAGCTGGCCCACATGGCACAGCAGACCCACTGCTCCCCTCAGCAGTGTATTTCAGTCAGTCTGTCTGTTCTGTTCCCCACTGTGTCTCTGGTGAATGCTCTCACCTCCCACACCTCTTTCCTGCACCCCAGCTCTTGTATGCATAAATAAATAAATCTTTTAAAAAATAATAATTTATATAGACATTTAATGTAACCCTCACTACAGCTTTATAAGGTAGATATTACCCAGGGCACATAAGAAACTTACCTAAAGCTAGTTAGCTAATGAGAGAATGAGCCAGAAGAAATGTCTGACTCTAAGGTGACCTTTGTTTTAAGGTCTTCGGGTAAATGTGGATTGACATCATTTTTATTGTTTGTGCATCTAAAGTAGTACTAGGATCTCTTAATGGAAAAGGTTTGTGAATCATTCTGAGTCTCTTTTTCATTTGTATGAGTATCCTTTTTTCCATTTACAAGTGCTCTTATTCAGATGTAATTTACATATAATAAAATGTACCAATTTTAAGTGAATTATGCAATACATTTTCATTATCACCATATATTTGATGAATGCTATTTACATTACTTCAGAAGTTCTCTCATGTCTCTAAAGAATCAGTCTCTCCTTTTAACCCTGGCCTCTTCACACTCGAACATGTCATTTTGCCTTTTCTTGAATTTCATATACATGGAGTTATAAAAGATGGTCTAACTTCTTTCACTTAGTTTTTTCTGAAGGAAACTTAGTATAATGCTTCTGAGACCCATCCATGGCATGTGTTTCAATAGTTTTCCCTCTTTATTGCTGAGTAGTATTCTACCACATGGATGTACCACAATTTATTTACCCATTTGCCCATTGGAGTACATCTGTATTGTTTCCTGTTTTGACTATTACCAATAAAGCTGCCATGGACATTTGAGTTCATGTCTTTCCATGTGTTTATATTTTCATTTCTCTGAGATAAATACATAGGAGTGGAATCACTAATTGTATGGTAAGTATGTGTTTGACTTTATTGGACTTTCCAAACTGTTTCCAAAATATTAGTACCATTTTTCATTACCACCAGCAATGTGTGAGTTCTGATTGTTTTACACCTTTTTACCAACACTTGAGTGTTTTTAGTTTTTGCATTTAGTGGGTGTGTAGTGGAATCTCATTGTGGTTTTATTTTTCCCTCATGACTAATGATATTGAAATTTTTTCATGCACATGTACCATCTACGTATCTTTTTTTTTGTGACATGTCTATTCAATCTTTTACTACCGTTCCCCTTTTTAGAAAATCACAAACTTGTTTCCTTATTTGGTTTCAGAGATACATAATCTGGCTATAACTCCAGTATCACATAGATTTTAGTTTTAATGATGTTCAGCTTATTTTTTCTTTTATGATTCATGACCTGAAAGAGCCAATATGGACAGATAACTCTGCAGGTCTCTTTCTGTTCACCTTTTCCTGTTCAGTTCTCTTGCCCTCCAAATTCCAGTTGCCTTGCCTTCCCCAAATTCTGCATGCTATCTCTTCCCCTCAGGGAGACACTCCCACCCCCAACTCTGTTTCCATTCCCTCTCTGTGCTGAGAACTGGAAACAAGCAGTCATTTGTTATCTTCTGTCTCACCTTGAGGTTTGTTTGGGCTTACTGTGTTTCTGAGCTGCTCTACCTGCTGTTAAAAAGTAATAGTATGTAGCCCAGAAAAGTTCTTTGGAAAGCAGTTTAGGAATATCTTGAAAGGTTTAAATAATTTACTGGTTAAGAGAGAACATAGACTTTAAAGTTCGTTGAAATCACACAAGTAAAATATTTATGACTCCGGGGATACGATTATCCAAAGGCTAAACAGAGAAATTACTAGACAAGAGAAGACTATCATGCGCAATTTTCATCTTCAAACAGGAGCATCCGACTCTTGGATGGTGCTCTGAATATGTCTCACCAAGCAGAATGGAGGGTATTGTCTGAGCTAGGAAGACAGCACATTGTTAACCTGGGAGGTCATGCTTCTGTGCTCTGGTTCTTCAGCATGTGAGCAAATAAAATGGAGTGAGAGGAAGGTATTAGAAATAGTTGGATGCTTGATATGTTTCATGAAGGATTGTTGACATTTATTCAGTTTTCATTAACTCGTTATATAAGAGGAAACAGTTTTTCTCCATTGGCAAAAGTAAGAGCTACTTTTTGTAGCCTCTTTGGATTCCCTGGCATTTGGTAGTCTGGTTTTAGACAGAGCACATTGCTTGTGTGCATTTTTATGCCATTTGCCTCTAGGATAGACCCCAGTAAAAGGAATCCTGTTTTCTATTTGAGAACCTAACACATGGGCTTCCTGCCAAAGAATCAATTATAACAAATTTTTGTACTCAATTTTTTCTAATGGAAATGCTTTCACTTCTCTTCTGTGATTAGGTTGAGTTTTTTTTTCCTGTGGGAAATCCATTTTGCAAAGTATATTTTCCCTCTTACAATGGAAAGTGCAAATCACTAGCTGCACTTCCTTGCAACAGGGACACTTCCTTGCCGTGTGTAGAGTGAAATGGGTTGCTTTTCTCCCATCTTTTTTTTTTTAATCCCTAATACTTGATTTTGCTTTTAAGTGTTTGGTCCCCGAAGAAATAGTAACTCTAGGCACGTGTATATGTATATAGGTCCCTGCAACATTTTAAAGCATTTCAATGACATAAATTGCATAAACTCAAACAAGTACATGCATGATTGAAACGAAACCTCCTCTTTCTTTTTGTTTCCACAGGAGTCTCCCCAGGACAGCGCCATCACCCGGGATATTAACCGGACGTTTCCAGCCCATGATTACTTTAAGGACACAGGAGGAGATGGACAAGATTCCTTATATAAAATTTGCAAGGTATTTCATGTCGATAAAAAGACTCACTTTTGAGTGTTGGTTCTAGTTCTATAAAATTAAGCAAAAGATAAAGTATATGATGTTCATATATGTAAAAAAGGAGAGAAAAGACTAACATCAAAGGTAAGAGCACAATTTTAGACTCATTAACAGGAAATAACTGGAAATAAGGTGGCCATGTTCCTGCTACCCTTTTATTATTTATTTTTGAAATAGATTTATTTTTATTTATTCATACAAGAGTTGTAGGCCAGAGGTACAGGGAATGAGAGGATTCACCAGAGACAGAATGGGGAGAACAGGTGAATCTACTGAAATACACTGCTGAGGGGAGTAGCAGGCAAGACAGGAGAGATCTGCTGCACCATGTGGGTCACCTCCCTGACCAGGGATTGAACTCAGGCTGCAGTGGTGGCAGCACTAAGACTCAACCCCTAAGCCACCAAGGAGGCCCTGTTCCTGCTACCCTTTTAATATAGGACTTTCAGGTGACAGTCCCCTGGCTCCACATTTAGAGTTTTAAAAATTGGTTTTATGTTAAAAGCTCGTGATTCCTGTCACATTGTAAACTCCTTTTCATTGTTCACACAAGTGGTGACGTTGTAACTTAAGACACACTCTACAGTGGTGAGCGCCCATGTCCAGGTAGACATTCATTACTTGACTTGATAAGTGCTGGGAAGTACTGACGTCTTTCAAAGGTCTGTCCCTGAAAGCTGTAAAGGAAATGACAGCTTCTTCACTGTCAGTGATCTGTTTTTCAGTAGGGCTGGGCACTGAGGAGCCATCTGTCTGAAAGGAGGAACCAGAGCTCTTCCAGCCTTCCTCTATATCAGAATATTTCTCCCCAAAACTAATCAAGTGCCTATTTCACATCTACTGATAATGTGAGAAGCATAGACACGCATGAAACTTGTCCGTGAGGGACTTACATGTTATGATTGAAAAGGGGAGACTCTTAACCACTTGTTTTAGGACTGGTTAATAATAAAGGTTAGCTTGAGTTTTAAACTATAAGGGCAGGGGCCTCCCCTGGTGGTGTAGGGGTTAAAGTCTCAGCGCTATCAAGTTATCACCAGCCACTTTTGCCTGAGTTGGATCCCCTGCCAGGGAGCTAACCCACATGGCACAGCAGACCTCTTCTGTCTCGCTCACTGCTCCCCTCAGCAGTGTATTTCAGTAGAGCCACCTGTTCTGCTCCCAACTCTGTCTCTAGTGAATCCTCTCACCCCCAACATCTCTGGCCTATACCCCAGTTCTGGTATGCATGAATAAATAAAAATAATCTTAAAAAAAATTAACTATGAGGGCATGTAGAAATTAGAGATATGTTTCCTGGGCTTGTTTCAATGTCCCTATAGGAAGCACAAAATTGGTTTCTACTCTTCTCCAAACAGCCTGTTATGGCTCCTTTTTGATTGCACTTCCCACTTAAGCAGCCAGTCCAGCTCTCCCACCCTCCTCTCCCTCCCTCCAGCTCTCACCTCCCTCCCTGCAAGATTTCCCAGAAGGAAACTCCACACTCCCTGCCTCTGAGTCCTTGCATCCTCCTGCCCCTACTGTCTGGTTTCTAGCTCATGCAATTCTCGTCTGCTCTTGACTCCTCGCCCTTCTCAGGATGCTCTCACTTCTCTAACAGCCATCCTTCCTCTTCATGATCTCATCGCTCTGCCTGCTTCCGAAACAGGCCTTCTCCATGTCCTCAGCCAGCCGTTTCTGTTACTCTGCACCTCCTCCCCCCGTGACCCTCTCGCCTCCAAGCTTCGCTGTGACACTGCCCAGATGTTCCCAAATCTGCACTAGCTCAAGGCCTAAATTTCTAGCTGCTCATTGGTCTCCATCCAGAAACTTGTCAAATACATCAAACACACAAGTCTAACCACAGAGTTTATTAAAAACATTTTATCATGAAAATTTTCAAACATAGATTAAATTTCAATGTATGATTAATTTGTATATATCCCCCACCAGATTTAGTACTTACTATCTATTGGCATAGTATTCTGTTGCTTTCAAAAATTTTCCTGATGTACTTTAAAACATATCTTAAGATATTGTGATCCTAAATTCTTCACTACATTTTTCTAAAAATTAAGATCATTATCCATCAGTACCATCCAGTAGTCACTGATATTCAGATTTCCCTAAATGTAGTTTAATACACTTGGTTAGAATCAGGATTGAGTAATATCCATATTACATTGAGTTGTTTTATCTCTTAATTTAAAACGTTCCTCCTTTTTCCTTCTTGCCATTTGTTAAAGATACAATCATTTTTCTGTTAGTTTTCATTTCTTTCCTTTGGTCACATTGAATTTGATGGCTGATCTCTTGTAGCCAAGCTTCTGTCTCTGCTCACTACCCTGATACAAGTCTCTGTCATATGTTGCTCATACTTTTACAAAAGCTACCTTTATTAGTGTTCCCGTTTTAGGGGTGCTAGCTTATTTATTATTTTCTCCATAGAAGCTCCAGAACTGGATCGTTTCAGTGTCCTCCGCTAAAGCCATGAGCCACAGAATGAAATAAAATTTCCTTATTTTCTGATGCAGGTTTCTTTAGCTTAGTATTTTGTAATATATACTGACTTACTCCCTAAATATTTTATGCTTCAACCACATTGGACTTCTCTCCGGTTGATTTACTTGTTAAATGTCCCAACTCTGAAGGAAAGCAATCATTTCTTACATATGTTAGCATGTGTAGCACATGGCACAGTGATTGGTATACAGAAGGTGCTCATTAAATGTCAGTGAATTAATGAAATGATTTTTCTTCCCCATATTTCATTATGGTCTCCATGAACCTGACACTTCAAACATTTCTCAAATGTATCAAGTACTTTTTTTCGTCCTTTTCCATGGGCGTGTAAAATGAGCTTCCCTCCATACTCTACCTCTGGAAATTCAGTACATTTTTATCCTGGCACATAATTGACCGAGCCACATGCTGAGCACTTTACATGAGAGAAGGGAGAGTAATAAATCAACTCCGTGGTATAAATACCATGATTATTCTCATCTTACAAACAAGGAATATAAGTAACAGACCCAGACATTAGCAGTTGTGGGATTTCAGCCCAACTCTGACTAACCCTGACGTCTCTGTTCTTTCTTGCCTGTCAATTGTCAATTGATTCCTTCACAGATGTTGTCAAACTGCTTTCCAAAGAGCTATGTTGGCATATCTTATGCTAGTTTTTAATAGTCTCAACAACATTGGTGTTAATACTAGTTTTTTTTATTTATTTAGTTATTTTATTAATTTGATAGCTGCAGAGGCTACCTGGTTTTATTATAAACAAATGATTTTGAAAGCCCTCTGCACATCTTGTCTTTGGATAAGTCTGTATGTCTCTCATTCTCCAGCCCTCTTACCAGATAAACTGATGAAGTAGGAGATACAATGAGACTATATTAGAGGCTCCCTGAATTTATGAACACATAATTATTAAAATAATTTTTTAAATATTTATTCATACAAGAGCTGGGGTACAGGCCGGAGGTGCGGGAGGGTGAGAGGGTTTACCAGAGACAGAGCAGAGAGCAGAACAGGCAGACAACTGAAAGCACTGCTGAGGAGAGAAGTGGGAGAGACAGGAGAGGTCTGCCGCGCCATGTGGATATCTCCCTGGCCAGCCGGGGGTCAAACCTGTGCTGCAGAGGCTGCGGACAGCTTCACAGCGCTCGCTGTGCTCAACCCGCTGCACTAACGGGGAGGCCCATGAACACACAATTATTGTGTGTGTGTGTGTGTTTTAAAGATTTATTTATTTATTTATACAAGCACTGAGTATAGTCAGAAGCGCAGGAGGCTGAGAGAATTCACCAGAGCCAGAGCGGGGAACAGAACAGGCAGACTGATGAAGTGCAGTGCTGAGGGGAGCAGCGGGCACGGCAGGAGTGGTCTGTCACGCCATGTGGGACCCTTGTCGGCAGCTGGGGATCAAACCGGCGCTGCAGAGGCTGCGGGCAGCTTCACAACCCAGCTCTCAACCGCTGCCCCACCAGGGGAGGCCCTATTTTGTGTATTTTTTTAAGCTGTAGTTTTACCAAAAGCTAAAGATAAAATGGGTATATACTGACTTAATTGTCATCAAATAAACATTAGCATCAGTTAGTTACATGAGCAGAATTGCAAACATACCTAAATTTAAAGTAAATTGCTTTTTTAAGGCTCAGGAACCTTGAGACAGACAGACAGACACACACATGTACGCACACACGCACACACACGAATAAAGGGAATTTCACCAGAGATAAATTTGTCAAAAAGGAAATAGCATTTGAATCCATCGGAATTCCTCTTTTCATCACACCTTGCCTAAGAAATACAAATATGAACCATAAAAGCAACGCTTTAAAAAACAGCTAAAGAACCGAAGAGTAAACCACAAGGAATGTTAGATGTCAATATCTTTTTTTTTTTTTTTTTTTTTTTTTTTTTATAGAGGCATGCTTTATTTATTTGTTTGCTGGTTTGTTTGTTTTTTGTTTATACATGCACTGGGTACAGTCAGAAGCGCGGGAGGGTGAGAGAATTCACCAGAGCCAGAGCGGGGAGCAGAGCAGGCAGAAGGACCGAAGTACACTGCTGAGGGGAGCAGCGGGCGGCAGGAGAGGTCTGCGCGCCATGTGGGACCCTCCTCCGGTGGCCGGGGAGCAGCCGGGGATCGAACCGGCGCCGCAGAGGCCGCGGGCAGCTTCGCAACCCAGCGCTCAACCGCTGCGCCACCGGGGAGGCCCTAGATGTCAATATTCTATTAAAGATAATGTTCAGAAGAGATGGTTAGTTATCATCTGCCAAGAAAAATACAAAAATAAGAATTCCAGAGAAACCCACAGCTGGTTTCAGAGTAATCCCTCTTATCAGAAAAGTTATTACTGGCATTGTGGAAAGAATTGTATTTTGTTGTCTTTGCCAAAAGTCTTTTTCCCAGAAAGAAAAATGAATAACATTAGCAGGGCTTGGTGAGTGCCTGCTCTGTTGGGATTTTGGATGGGTTGAACAGGACATTGTTTCTGCCCCTATGTTGCTCCAGTCCAGTCAAGAGGAGGGGCATTTGAAACACAGCTCTAGTAACCATACATATGGTGCAGGTGCCATAGAGAACAGAAAGGGGGCTATGGAGGACAGAATATGTCTAGAGCACATTTTTCACACAGAAAAGAGAAATGAGGACTTCCCAGACAGAGGGAACAGCATGAGCAAAGACAAGGAGATACTACAATCTTTTTTTGTGCTGAAGTCATTTTTGCTTAACTGTCCCTACTCCTTGGCTACAAAAAGGGGCATGATAACTGTATCATATAAAGAAAAAGTTGGGATTGGAAAGAAATGCTGACATGACTCCCTGCCCATCGGAATGTCACTGTGGGGTATGGGCAGTGTCTTCCAGGTTCCTGCATACAAGACTCTGTAGGGCAGCTGTGGCCCATGAGCACCCACATGCATTTCCTTTTCTTTTTCTTTCTAGGCGTATTCCGTGTATGACGAAGAAATCGGCTATTGCCAGGGTCAGTCATTTCTCGCTGCTGTTCTGCTTCTCCATGTGAGTAATTGGGTCTCTGTTACGACTTACATTTGGCCTGCCTCAGCTCACACTGGTCTTGGGCTTGCGTCTGGTTCTGTATTGGCTTTGGCCAGACTCTAGGGCATGAGTTTTACTCCTCTGTGGAAAGCCATTCCTTAATTCAGTGTCATCATGGAAGCGAAACATGCTGAGAATAAATGACAATGTTGAAAACTAGTACAGGGTGGTAGATAGACTGAATATTGGTTTTGGACTCTTGGCAATGTTTTATCTTATCTAAAGCGGCCACTGTCATTAATACTTGTTTTGGGATTTATGTTTTGTAGTGGGAGGGGGAGGCACAGAAATTGGCTTCCTCTGGTGCCATTTCCTTCCATCATTCACTCATTCATCAGAGACCTTTAGCCTGTAAGTCATTGATGTTCCTTCAGAGCCACAGCGAAATTGAAAAATTGAACACCTATACTTTTTCATCTAATTTACCAATTAATATTTTTCCACACTGCTTTTTCTATCTTTTTTACACACAATTTTTTTACCTAAAAAAAAAAAAATCTCAATTTTTTTTTAAGGCGAAAACATCAAGATACTTTACTCTGAAATACTGAGCGTGTATGTCCTAAGGACATGACCACAGTCCCATCCAGAGATTCCATGTGGCTCATCAGTGCCTCACAGCCACGTTCAGTTTCCTCTAGTAGTTGACCCAGTAAAGCCCTGTGAAGCCTTTGTTTCTAACTCTGAGGATTCAAACACTGCCTTTGGTTGTCATTTCTCTCTTTTTTAGTCTAAACTATTCTCTTGCCTTTCTTGTATATTTCAAGCCATCAATAGTTTTGAGAAGTTCAAGCAAATTGTCTTGTAAAGCATCCACATTCTTGATTTGCCTGATAACTTCCTTATGATTCAAGTTAAAATCCTTGACACAAGTGCCATACAGGTGATGTTCCAGAGAGCTTCTGAGTGCCTGTTATGGTTTAAAACTGTGCTGGAGATCAGGAGCGAGTCCTCCGTGGACACAGCTAGTGGAGCTGACTAAGCTGTTAGCAGAATACCTGTCACATAGTTATATCAGTAATTTCAAGGATACAGTGTAGGTTTGGTGAAAAGTTTGATTCAGGATTATGAAGAGGGAGTCTTATGTAAGATGACAAGCTTTCTCTGGGAAGGTGACCTTTAGGGTGAAACCTAAAAAACAAGAAGGGGTATTTCTTTCATACTCTTCTGTATCTAACTTGTTTTTTCATTTTTGTGAAAATAATAAAACCATTTAAAAGCAAGAAAGTAGAGAATAGAGCATTCCCAGCAAAGGGAATAGTATAATATACGGAAGCTCTGGAATGGGGAAAACTGGGCTCATGGAAGGGACGTGGCTTGTGGATGGGACACATGAGTGAAGGATATGAGGAGAGGACAGTGGGACCAGCCTGGGGCTGGATTTTTTTTTTTAAGGAGTCTGGATTTTTTGCCTAAGCAAAGGGAAACTTTTGAAAAGGTTTAGAACATTTTGTGTTGGTTGCACTATAAGTAAAAGAAAAACCACAATTTGTCTTATTGTGAACCTAACTTGGGTTCACATATAAAAATATGGTAAACCTATGACATTAATAAAGAGATCAGGTTTCTTCTCCTGGCTTTTTAAATGTGTAATTGACAACTGATGTCTGTGTGTATTTGTATATTTATATATATATTTATATATATATAAATAGCGCGCGCATGCATGCTGGCACTTAGTGTGATGATTTGATATATGTGTGCATTTTGAAATGATTAGCACAATCGGGCTAATTAATAATGGATCATGAAGTATGGTTTTTAAATTTTGTTGTTTTAATTAGACTTTATATCTCAGAGTCTCAGAAGCCTACGTGATTTATTCTCAGCTTCATCTCAAGGACATTTATCCCCATTTAAGACCAACCCCTTTCGTATGGGTTTCTCTCTCAGATGTACTGTAATGTTTGGCTTGAACTCCATGCTGCTCGCCATGGTGTTAACATAAGTCTTATTTTGAGTGGGGGCAGATGTGCTACCCAAAGTCTCCTTCAGCATGTGGAGGAGTGAAATTGCCTCATGACAAAGACCTCAGAGGTCTGTTTCTTTCCCCCCCAACCCTACCTTTCTAATAATCGTTCGCTATGCTTTTCTTCTTTTTTGCTTAATCTGATTTGCTCTTTAGCGCTGCCTTATTCCCAGTGACTTCTGCGCTTAGCCCACCTCCATCTTCTTGTTCCACAGAAGCCCGCCTACCTTCTTGACATTTTGAAAGTTTGCTACAGTCACACCAAGCCTTAAATAACATTTCCAGTACTTTTTCCTATTTTGAAAACTAGACATTTTGCCAGTTTCTTGGAAGAGTGTTTTTCCATAAAGCCATGGAAAATGCAAGTTTTATCATAAATGGCTAGTTTCTGTAAATATAAGTAAAGCAGGATTTTTATAATACTTCAGGCTCCACCGCAAGTGTATCGTGGTATATTAAGCATTACACAATCCTTAGAATAAGTAAGTTCTTCTTTAACTAGCCATATCTGTAACAAATGAGGAAGAAAAACATTTTTACTAAAATGAACTAGCAGCTGAGGAGGTAAAATGAGTGACCCAAGGTCTCAGGATGTGGGAAATAGGAAATCTCCACTGGCATGTTGGCCTGTTCCCACTCAGTTCAGGTCCTGACCGCCCTGCAGAGCCTGTCCCTGACTCCTCAGCACACCAAAGCTTTCCTGTCCTTGTGCACCCTCTTTTCTTTTTAGCTGCTCGGTATTCCTGTTCTGTGCACCCGTGCGGGAGGCTGCCCAGGACAGGGGCAATGTCCCACATTGGCAGTGCCAGTAAATACTGGTGCAGGGAGTGAATGCTACAAAGCATAGCTCTGGCCTGCGTTACTGCATCCACCCAATTTCCTGGTGTCTACATAAGAGGACAGAGGAATGAATTTAGTATACTGAGGAAACTTGTGTACTTGTCTTATTATCCGCCCTCTCCCTGTCTGTTACAGATGCCTGAAGAACAGGCCTTCAGTGTTCTGGTCAAGATCATGTTTGACTATGGCCTCAGGGAACTTTTCAAGCAAAACTTTGAAGATTTGCATTGCAAATTTTACCAACTAGAGCGCCTCATGCAGGTAAAAAGAGAAGCCAGCTGGCATTGGCCTGTAAGAGGGCAGGACTGAGGAGCAGTGGATTGATGGAGTGGTGCCAAGGAGCGGTGTGATCGCCTTGGCCATCCCTTCATTTCCGACAATGTGTTGAAGATGCAAGATTAACAGGGTGTGAACCTGGTGGGTGTGATCTGGGTTTTCAATCTCAAAAACATACAGGTTAGGTAACTATGGGCCTGTAACTTAGAAAACTCAGTCAAGAAATATTCACCAAGGTTCTGGAGTTGACTGGGTAGGAACCGCATAACAAAAGTGAAACAAACTTTCCCAAATATTTCATAACTTAGAACAAGAAAACAACCTTCCAAATGTTTGTTGCCATTCTAGGGACTCCCCCTTTAGAGCTAGTCTGTGAACTAGGAAAAGAACTGAGTGCCAGTTTAAACGGAGATGATGGATGCTCCTCTGCACACTTTGGAGGTTTGAGGAAAATATAAATATCTGACTTTTTGGGGCTGTTCGTGGCAGATTTATGAGCCTCCTGTGTGGGAGTTGAACAACTGCATATGTGCCCGAAACTAATTAGTTTGCTATTTCAGGAATACATTCCTGACCTGTACAACCACTTCCTGGATATCAGCCTCGAAGCACACATGTATGCCTCCCAGTGGTTTCTGACGCTTTTCACAGCGAAATTCCCTCTCTACATGGTCTTCCACATCATCGACCTGCTTCTCTGTGAGGTGCGTATCACGGGCCACGGCACTTGGGCGTGGCATCCCAGGTCTTTCCTGTGTCATTCTGTGAAAGCACAATTTGTTCTTCGTTATTGTTCTGGGAAATCCAGGTTGAAGTGTCTCTTTTTTGGGCGAAAGCTAATAATCACATTTTGTTAAAGGTGCCTCTTGCTTTGAAGAGAGAGGGGGAAAAAAAACATACCCACCTATCAGCCATTAGTTTTAATTAGTATTAAATTTGACTGCATTTAATGAAGAAGCCCAAAATAACAGTGACTAAAGACAGCAGAGGTTTAGTTCTCTCATGTGAAAGAAGTCAGGGGTGGGTGGTGGCCCTCTCGGGAGACCTAAGGGTTGACTAGTCCTCCAGCCCCTCCACCCTCTTCGCACTGGGAGGAACAGCAGATGGAGAGGGCGCATCCATCTTTTTTTAGAAGCGACTTCTGGAAGTTCTACCCTCCTTCCACTTAACCTTTCCTTGGTAGAATTTGGCCAGAACTTAGGTCCGTGCGCACATGCAGTCGCAAGAGAGTATTTTTTTTAAAGCTGAGTAGGAATTTGCTAACAACTGGGAGTCTGCTATTGAAAGAATAAATATTAGAGTAAATAAGTATTTGCATAGTTTTGGGTTTGTTTCAGAAAGAAGTCATTAGTTTCAAAAGTAATACATGCTTATTGTAGAAACTGTAAAAAACACAAGCAAAAAGTCCTTAAAGTATTTCTAGTGCCACTGTCTAGAGAGCACCTCTGCTTCATATTCTTTCAGCCTTGTTTTGTTCATATATATGTGTTTGGCTTCTGTATGCAGTGGTTTTTTAATGTGGAATATTATATAATGGAATGTATTATATAATGTAATATTTAATGTAATACAGAATATTATATAATTATAGTTCCATGTGCATTGTTTAAAATACGATTGTTATATATATAGTTTGGTAATGTCTGTAGATGTTCTGGAACATCTATAGACACATGGACATCTATGCCATCTTTTTTGTTTAATTATACCATATTTAAGAGATACAGAAATTCATTAAAGAATTTGTACCTCTTGTCAGCTTGAAACATACGAAGTAACCTTACCCAAATATAGCATTGTTCTTGCAGTGAAATTTTTCATTGTTTGGGTATATCATAATTTATATAATCAATTCCTAAAATCAAACCTTTAAATTATCTTGCTTTTCTCTGTTATAAAAGAACCACTTGTAAGTGGATACTAAGGGCCCAATTAAAGGCTAAATAGTTTACATGATCTTTCGCTCTAATGAGTTCAGAAAACCCTTAGGAGAATATTATGGAAACTGAGCCCCAGAAACTTAAATAGTTTAACTGATCAGCAGATGTTGTACCTCCTCTCATCTATCCTACCCCCCAGCTCCCCTTCCAGAATGGTCAGATAAAGAAAGGCAGATTGGAGGGAATCCAGAGCACATTCAGCTCTGGGGTGCAGAGCTCACGGACAGAGCGCTGTCTGTACTTGAAGTGCAGCAGAGCGAAAGAAGGGCCCCCAGGAGTTATTCCTGATCGAGCCTGATTTTATGACTGTGGTGCTTTGTACTGGAAGCATAGCGTACTTTGGAAAGGCGTCCTTTCTTGTTGAACATGAGTGAGGGGCTACAGAAGCTCTTCTCTCAGAAAAAAATGGGAGACTGGGTCTATTTTAAATGGTTCTCAGTGGTAGCCATGTGATTTGTATTTTCTGAGATATTTTCAAGATACTTGATGTTTTTACAATTCTCTAAAATTGTGGAAGGACCAACAGTAATATCCCAGATATAAATACTGAAATGTTCTTTTGTGTTTTCTCTTTTAGGGAATAAGTGTCATTTTTAATGTCGCCCTCGGACTGCTAAAGGTACACTTTTGTTCTTAGTTGCCTAGCATTGCTCGCTAGTCAGTATTTGCAATATCTTGGTCTTAATCTCATTCTCAGCAGCCATTCTGTCCACCATTGTCCCTGCTAGTGGACTTATGCGCTCAGCTCCAGAAAAGGCTGAGAAGTATTTTCCAAGCCTCTGTTGGGATTATAAAATGCTTCTTATGCATCTTCGTAGCAAAAAAAAAAAACCTTTTCTTACATGATTGTATTTCCTTTTCTCCTCAAGACTTCCAAAGATGACTTGCTATTGACAGACTTTGAAGGTGCCTTGAAGTTCTTCAGGGTTCAGCTTCCTAAGAGATACCGTTCTGAAGAAAATGCGAAAAAGCTAATGGAACTAGCATGCAATATGAAGGTAAGGTAATTTTTGTACTCATTTAGATTCTTTGGTTCAGCTAATATGTCATAATTCTGATCAAACTATTAACATTTAGATCACATTATTAATAATGTTTTCTTTTACACTATGTCCTTTTTCCCCAAATATTTTCATATATTCTGTACATTAAATCTCACAGCCTTTTTCCCCTCACCTCATCCCCGACTTGTGAACTATAAGGTATTTCATTTTACAGACAAACCAAGACACCGAGAAGCTGTAGCCCCTACAGTCATAAAGCTTGCTAGTGGCAGGACTCCTGTTTCGTGGCTGCTCCTGTGCTGCCCTCTGATTTCCGGTATTAGTTGTTACGGTCAGAAATTCCCTAAAATGAAACCAATAATACATGAAGGAGACCCACTCCATTTTATACTTGCAAGGGCATTTATGATTTGTGAGGTGTTTTGTTTTTTTTTTTTTTTTTTTAAATATAAAAAGTTGTAGCATCACCTTGTGTTATGTTATAATAAGGTTTTGTGCTTAAAGAAGAAAATGTGGTTGAGGGATTTTGTTTGATATTTGCAGATAAAGGCCAGTTGGTGACAGAATAGTTGTGGTCGGATCATTGTAGGTACGTGAAAGACTGACTATCCTAATTACGTTATGTGACTCCAGCGGGTGCAATTGGGGTCAGTGTGTCAGGGCAGATGTCTCCTGAATAGAGAGCATGGAGTTGGAATCAGAGAGATCTAAGCTCAAAGTTTCTTTACCTATTTAAGGCACAATTGATTGTCTGTAAAGTAATACCGGACATTTCGTTGGGTTATATGGCAGACTGAGCTAGCTACCTTTTTAAAAGCCCTTGGAGATACTAAATAAAATATAATCTAAGAGATGTTTACATGCGTGGATGAACTTAAAAAAGAAGATATGCAGGGACCTGAAATAAAGGAGCTTGAAGCTAGTTGATGTGAACTGGTAGAGCAGCCTCATCACAGAGGGATGTGGGACTGGAGCTGGGTATTAGGGCCTGATAATCACGTGGACATGTACTGGGGCTTTGGGCTTTCAGGGGCAATTGAGACTGAAACCTCTGCATGAAGTTTAGGACCTTGGGATGAATGCCCTATTTGTGACCCACAAACACCAAAACTGTACCTATTAAAATGAGGAACAACAGAAATTATAATATAAATGGAATGGGAGATTAAAAAAACAAGGAAATAGAACTTCTAGAAATTAATCATTGAAGTTATTTAACTTGAAATGTTATGTATTTCACAAGTGGTATGACTAACATTTGCTGCTATTTTACCATGTGCCAGAGACTGTGGGTAGCTTTCCTGGGTGTGAGGATTCACTGCAATGGGTGTTAGTGCTTTCCGGTGCCTGGCGATTCCTGCAGGTTTGAGAGATGATGGCTACTCCTGGGATTATTTCCTCCCTGGTCTTTCAAGCAGAAACCAAGCACTTCTTGGTAATATCTCAAGGATTAATGGGTTTGCGCAAGGAGCACAAAACCAAATGAGCTCTGAGATTATTTGAGGCCCTTTCCACCTCCACTTTTTTCAGCAAACGAGGATGCTGGCTCTTAACTTGGTTAGGATTTTTTCCCTTCAAAGACTACTCCCCTCTCAGTGTCTGCACCTCAGTTTGTGGTACCTGCTTGCTCAGGCCCAAAACCTGGCTGTCCACTCAACTCCTCTTTGTCTCCCTCCTCATCCAAGCCCTGTCACCAGACTGTGTTCTGAATCTGACCACTTTCTGCACCTTCATCACCAGCACACTGCTGTAACTGCCATCACCACTTCTCTTCTTCTGGCCTCTTCCAGTAGGTCCTTGGTCTTCCTGTTTTCACAGTAGTCTTCTCCATGCCTTTCTCATTCCTCGCTCTCTCTCATCTAAAATCCTCTAATGGCTTCTTATCTCAGAATAAAACTCAAGAGTTCTTGTCTTGCCTTATAGAAACTGACACAATGTGACCTCTGGCCATCTCTTTGATTTCATGTCCCACTGCTTCTTCCTCCGACCTTCCCACTTAAGATGCTGGGTATCCTGGCAGAACATGTTGACCCCTTGGGCATTTGCACTGACTGGTCTCTGCCTGGAATGTTCTCTTTGATGTCTGTGTGGCTTCTCAGTCACCTACCTCATTCCAGGTCAGGCTTAAGTCCCATGCCATTTAATTCCACTGTCTGAAATAGCAGCTCCCTCCAACCTGTCACACCTTCCCTCCTCACCCTTACTATTCTCCTGTCTTTTATAGCTGCCTACCTCAATTTTATGTTTGCTTGGATAATCTGTCGTCTTTACTCAACCTCCCAACCCGACTCGAATTAAGCTCTTCACAAAGGGACTTTCTCTCTTTTGTTTACTGCTGAATCCTCATCACAAGAACCAGATCTGATATGTAAATATTAGTTAATGAGCAAATAAATGAATACACTCTTGAGTTTCTACTAAGTGTTTTACAACAAGAAAGAGTTAACATGGATTTGGGTAAGACTTAAAAATAGCTTCCCCTGAAGGTTTATCTTTTGAGTTTTCATTAGCTTAAAACACTTTAATAATAAATGGATCCTTTATTTCCATAGTCCTGACGGGAGGTATCTAATGTCTCTTTTGCTTGCCTATGCTTTCAAGGTGTAAGGTGAATGAGGCTGCACAACACACATATTTTGCACTTAGATAAATTCCTAAAAGCCCCGGAGAACGCTGCATGACTTGGGTGCACTTTGGATGGTTTCTCCTACTTGCACATGGTTTTGGGTGAGAAGAATGGTAATTTTTCTGGAAACTGACTTAAAAGCATGGCAAAAGCACACATTTGCCAGGACATGAAAGAATGAGGTTTCCTGCTTCGAGGTGAGAGGTGGTGTGTGCCGTTTAGTCGGTGAGGATTCCCTATGCTCCGGTAGCTCTACTTAATACCAAAAAATATGAAGGGAGGTAGCAGAAATAGTTGCACTGTTGTTGACAAAGAACCTCAGTCACACTGTTAATTTGCCAGCTCAAAAATAGGAACCATCCTTGGCATGTTCAGTCAGCAGCCCTGCGTGAGGTGGACCGCGCATGGCCGGAGGGCCTCATTCACACAGCGTGTGCATGTGTTCACCTGGGGTTTTGGTACCCCCTCTCGACATGGAAAAAGGGGATCCTGCTATGTGAATGATTTGGAAACTAGCTTTTGGACTTTCGAGGTAGAATTTAGAGACACTAACATTTTGAAATCCCATTCCTTTTTATTTTCAAAAGATTCTGATAGGTATACTCACGTGTACTTTGTTATTAAGGTGGGAATTGGAGATTCTTGACCTCATGTGCCACTCCTCATAGACGATACCTGCACAGTGTTAACAATTGTGTTACCATGGTTGTAATTTCTGATATTTGTGTGTTCCTATAAGCATCTTAATTGCCCCTCACAATACCTTGTGCAAATCAAGTGTGGCAGCTGAGGCACATGGAAGTCTAGCGACTTAGCCATCTGTACTGGCCGGACAGTGACGGCTGCCCTGGTGGAGATCGGACCTTTTGCCACCACACGTCAACTCCACCCACTGCTCCTCTCGTGGGAAGCTCCTCTGGTGGAGACGCATTCCGCGTGGCAGTGTCTGCAGTGGCCAGAGGTGGGCGTCTGCATTCCTCTTGGCCGGCGCCTTCCTGCCCTCGTAGCCCTTTCTGTGTCTGCCATCACTTGCCTCTCTCTTTTCTTGCTCTTCTCCCTTTTTTTCTTCTTTCTCCTTAGTTTTTATAGGACTAATATATTTATTTCTTGGGTTTTGGCCCTCCTGCTCTTAATCGAAAATTTAACAACATACATCAAAACTCGTGGCTGTCCATTGAATTTCTCCCTCCTTATGGGTCAGTGACCCGAGGTAGAAAATTCATTTCCACTTCTGGTATGAAATCTACTTGAGTGGATTGTTCTAGGAGATCATGAATGGCCCCAGTAGCTCTGCCCGCCTTTAATACTCACAGCTGTGCCAGCACTTCATAGAGGGATATGGTGGAAAACATAGATTTTCAGTCCTTTAAATTTTTGACTCAAGAAATATGTGAGAACAACTGTTTGTCTCTACAGGGATTTCTGAGAACAAATCAGCTCTCTGAGGCTAGTTTGGAGGAGGCAGGAGTGATGCGAAAAGAGATGTGGTGGTGGGTTTCTTAGCTAAAACCTGAAGACTTGGCTCTTTTACTCCAGAGTCACCCTGGGGTGAAATCTCCGAACCCTCGTTTCTCGGCAGTTTTTTCTTGCAGCAAAAAGGGGGTGTGCTGGACTTCAGCCTCTGTAAGAAAAGATGTCACCGCAAATACCAAACAGCAGCATCTCCCGGCAAACGTAATCCCAACCGTTTGTTATTTGGAGAAACAGAAAATCACTTGGCATTTGGTAAATTATTTGCCCTCAGGATATTTTTTATTCATGAGCTAAAAGCACCACTAACTTGAACTTCATTCTCTGCTCGGATCACTCGTGGAGTTCGTGAGTTAAGAGCTTAAGCTGGGATGGCAGGGACTGACCAGTCGAGTTTCTTGCTGTGTTGGCAGAATCTTGCACACGTGGTGAGTTCACCCTCACAGTGACCGTGTGAAGTCATTTTACACACGTGTGTCCTGAAGCTCAGAGAAAAGTGATAGGATCCCAGGAAGTTCAGATGCTAAAATCAGTGCTCACTCTTTGCGTGCTTTACTGTAGATGGGGAATTGGATAGATGGACAAGAGCCACCTGTACTGGACCGTTTGGGCGATGGCTGTCATGTGATGACAGCGTAATGAAGGGTGACTCGGTGTCTGTCAGAGTTGAGCTTTCCTCTACACTGCCCCTAAGTCCGGGGATCCTTGTAACCAGGCCAAGCTGGGTTTGCTGGGGTTAGGTGAGGAGACTCCGAGTGACTGTTCTCTCTCTGCAGGGAGCCCTACATTTTGCAGTTGCTGCAGGGTCAGCAGTGGCCACTGCTTTTTTTCAAGAAGCTGGTCTTGCTCCTTACCTGGTTGGGCCCCCTGCTACTAATTTGCTTCTTATATTTTAGAAAAACACTCTAATGGTAGAACAGGAACGCCTAATTCTGCTTCACCATCGTTGATAGAGTTGAGTTTCAACTGTTTGAACAAATTAAAAGGCTCAGAAATTAAATAGACCATGGATTTGTTTCATGAGGTTATGAGTCAGACCTCAGAGTCCCACGGGCTTCGCTCTCACTCTGCCCTGCGCTTTGAGTGACCAGAGGAGGAGAACACCGCCAGGCTGTAGAGAGAAGGAAGATCCTCAGAGTCGCTGCTGCGCCTCCGACGGCCATTGTCCTCTCAAACCCCAGTGTCCTGCCTCCCCTGCTCTCCTCTGACTTGAACTGCTTAAGTCAGTTCAAGCCCACAAGAATCACACGTTTCCTCGGGTGCCACGAGCCGGGCTTAGTACCGGACATGGCACACGAGCAGCAAGAACTGCATGCCCATGCTGCTGAGCACGCTGGCCCACACCCCACGCGTCACTCACCTCGGAAGGTGTCACTTCACCATCATTAGAACAAGGATGATAATCCCTGTTTCTAGGATTAAATAAAATGGTTGGGAAGTATCTTGTTCTCTTGAAAGGCCTTTGTCATCTCAGGTTCTGTCACTCAGTAACTGGAAAGCAGAGCCCCTGCACAGGTGTCCTAAAAGAAGACAGGCTTTCTAAATTAGCAGCGAGGCCTCTGGGGCTTGGATCTGTCCCTGGCCCCCCAGCCACCTTAACAACCTGCTTCAGCCCTGCCCTGCCTGGCAGAGCGAATATTCGGCTTCCCACCTTTGCTGGATGCCTTTCACCTCCAGCCCAGTGGGGAGGTGACCTCTGGCAGTTTCTTAAGCCAAACTTGGAAATCAGCCTACGTCTACCAGCAGTCTGCTTCCTGCTCTTGTGTGTTAAATGGACTCTGTTTAAAGGCTCATTATTTGCAGCACATGTTCAGAGGCTGACTGTCCACTGGAGACGCCACTGCAGAGAGCAGTGAGGAGTAGTTGCTGTTGACTGCAGAGTCCTCACTGGTGCCAGGCGCTCACCCGCGCTGTTGAAAGTATATGTTCCGTGTCCTGTCGTCCTCTTCCGGACTGTTGGGATTCTCCCAGCTGAGGTGGCCAAGGCCGAGTGTAGACAGCTTGTCCTCAGGCCCCTGGCAGAGCCAGACTCCCCCGTCCCCTGTCCACCTGGAGAACCCAAGCTCGTCGTGGCAGAGCGCGCCCCCAGTCCCAGCCCACTGGCAGCACCCTCACTCCTGCCTCTCCTGGGTGGGCCTCGTCCCTGCCTGTTCCAGAGCTTGATGACTGTTCCCGCGGTTGATGACCGTTCCAGAGCTGGATGAGGCTCAGCTCTCCCAGGGCAAGGAGCGCAGGTTTTAAAAGAGATCACAATCTACTCCCGTGACAGTAGCGGGTGAGCGGCCCAGGCGGAGGCGTTTCTGGCCCAGCTTTGTGCTTCCACCAGATACCACACCGCCATGTTCCACGTCTCCACCGTCTCTCTAATTCAAAGTTTCCTAGCCTGGACCTGTGGCTGGGCCTCAGGGAGCGATGAACCCTCTGAAATGGGAGTAGCGGGTTGCTTGCTGGGGGTGGGAGGGGGTAGCGTTGGTGTCTGTGCACTTGTATGGGCACGGGAACTGGGAACTTTTTCTGGGAACTGTGGCCCAGGAGCCTTGCAGAATGGCGCTGCCCTGAGTGTCATGAGCCACTGTGCTAATGCCAGTGAGAAGTAATATTATCTTTACCTGAATTACAAACTCAGTCCCAGGAAATTATTAGAGCGCCCCCTCCCCAAAAGAACACTTTAAAGAACAAGTGTAAATATCTAAACAACAATTTTTTTAAATTAATTTATTTATACAAGCACTGGGTACAGTCAGAAGCGCGGGAGGGTGAGAGAATTCACCAGAGCCAGAGCGGGGAGCAGAGCAGGCAGAAGACCGAAGGACACTGCTCAGGGGAGCAGCGGGCGGCAGGAGAGGTCTGCGCGCCATGCAGGACCCTCCTCCGGTGGCCGGGGAGCAGCTGGGGATTGAACCGGCGCTGCAGAGGCTGCGGGCAGCTTCGCAACCCAGCGCTCAACTGCTGCGCCACTGGGGAGACCCAACAAATTTCTAATTTAATCTTCTTTGAAAGTGAAAATGCCTGAGGAGATGCTGAGGCTCTCGGCCCTCTTATAGGAGGCACCAGCAGGGGGTGTGTGGGGCTCATCCCGTCGCCTCCCTGCTTCCTGGGTGCACTTCAAATGTTATTTGTATAAGTAAGAACTAGAATGAACCCTGGACTTTGAAGAGGGGACCACGTCTTGTTGATTCAGTAGTTTCACGGTGAACGCGAGGCCCTGCCCATGTGGGGTTTGCACACTGCAGTCTGTGAACTTCTCTGTGTTGCTGATGTCTACAAAAAATACCACACGTAGCAGTGCGCAATACTGGGCAATAATTGTCCCTGCTGCGTCCTTATTAGGTTAAAATCAGCTTTGCTGTGTGCAGCATCCAGTTACCACGTCCCCATCACGGTCCACGAGTGCGCTGGGCGCTGGACGGTGCTGGTGAGCAGAGCGGGTGTGGCCTGTGGCCTCGGGGAAGGCCAGCGAGTGCACGCATGGGCCTGCGCAGATGGACGTGGGGCATTGACTCCATGTAGCCACGCAGCGAGAGCCGCGGGGGAGAGACTGTCTGGTGGGGGAGGCGGTGTCTGGGGAGAGTGTGACAGGCCTCTGCCCCCACAGGTGACCACAGGTGAACCGGGTGTGGCGCTGCTTAGACCCAGAATAATTATGCGATTTGTTCTTCAACAGCATTATTTATAAAAATATAGTTACATTGTAAAATATAAAAATAACTCCTATAACTGTATGATAACATATTTTCAAAGTCATGCATGCACAGAGCAGAAAACACAGGGAAGAACTGCCTGCATCCTGTCACAGGAGCAGGAGAAGCAGCCGAGGGTGCCTGTGTGAAGCCCGGGGTGTACCAGGCACAGGCCGTACCCACTGTCCTTGTGCCGAGGGCACGTCAGGCCTTTCCTCTGCAGATGAGAAATTATAAATTCCCCATGAAGTGCAGAAGAAATTATTTTGCAATTAGCCTTCTATGCTTATGGGGGTAGGGGTTCTAATTCCTCCGCACCCCAGCTTGAGCATGAAAAGCTGGAGGCTCTTGAAGAGACTGTTTGGTAGCCGAGTCTGGTTTTTTATCAGGCACTAGGGGGCGCCTGCTGTCTACTCGCTCCCTTGTCATTTCCCCAAACTGACGGCAAAGAGCTCTGAGAGGGAGCGTTTGCTGCCCACAAGCGTCATTTATTTTCTGTTCCTCTGATTGATGTTAGGATTGTTTGTAAATTTACTGATCACACAGACATTTTATTTAGATCCTTTCTCTGTGAATCACTTGGGTACGTAATCAACTTTTACCCTGACATTGGCCTGAAAACCGCAAAAGACCTGGGTTTAGAGATGTCGCTCCCTGGACTGTGGCCTCACTGAGGGCTCATGGACGTCCTGGTGAAGGCTGCAGCCGGGCAGCGCGCTGTGCTCCTGGCCGCCTCCCCCTGGAAGGCAGCCAGATTCCGGGAGATGTTCTGAGTCAGCCCTGTGAACATCAGCAGGGCAGGGGGCAGAGTCGGTGAGGAGAACCCCAGCCGCTTGGGGAGGATGGGAAGGCGTCGCAGAAGAGGGATTGGGGCGCTGACACCAACAGCGCAGACGTGGGCCTGCCTGCCCCTCTCAGTCTCAGTTTCTTCATCTGTCAAATAAGGAGGCTGGACTACACTGGCTTTGGGGTTCCTGATGACCTAGAACCGGGGGTGAGGGGAGCATGGAAAGTGAGATTTGCGAGTCCGCCACGAGGTGCTGGGGTTCTGAAGCTCTGGGAAGGGACGAGCACCGGCTTCATAATCACTCTCCAAGCTGCACGTAGCCGCTGAGCGTCTTTACCACTGTGCGAGTTCATAATTTTATAACTGCCTTTTAATAAAACACCAAAGGTGGTGGGTTCGTGGTTTAGAGGAAGGAATCAAACAAAAGTGTCAGAGAAGTGTTTTGGGGAGAGATCGGGCAGCTGGATGGAGTGAATAAAGAAAGCAGCGGTCGCCTCCGGGAGGGTGCTTGGCAGGCAGCCTCGGCGAAGCCTGACTGAGAGCTTTTATTGCTGAGCGAGGCCGCGGAGCACCGGAAGTGAGCATGCAGGCCTGTGGTTTGCACTGGTTGGTAAGAGGCTTGAGAGAACGTGGACAGCCTAGTAGTCAGCGTCACTGCTTGTCCGGGCAGAGAGCATCGTGCCCGTGGGAAGGCTGAGCCTGCGGGGAAGAGGGCGATGGCAGGAGAGTGAGGGGCTGCTGCGTGGACTCTGGGGGAGCTTGGTGGCCTCAAATCAAGCCCCAGATCTGCTGGGCCCTGACGGACTGTCCTGGTCAAGTTACATAAGCACCTTTTACTTCAGTTAACTTGCCTGTGAGGTGCGGATGGTAGTGCTGTCGCGTGCAGAGGAGCCGTGAGGCCACAGATTTAAAGCACCTCGCAGCAGTGCTGATAAGCGCTAAATAAAATGGGTGATGAGGTGCGGCCAACCCAGAACCCAGGTAGGTGGGGCTAGCTGGGGGGTATCCATGCTAGCACTGGTTACTAGAAACCAGATACCCCCGACAGAATCCTGGACAATAAGGGTCACTGAGAAAGAGTTTTGGGTCCTGGGCATATGCCCCATGCTGAAAATTTGCCTCTCCAAACAGGAAATACTTCCATGCTAGCTGAGGATGCCCACAGCAGCCCTGAGGAAGCCCCCGTTTTCAGAAACTTTTTGATTTGTGCTGTGATTTATCCTGCAGATCAGTCAGAAGAAGCTGAAGAAATATGAAAAGGAGTATCACACCATGAGGGAGCAGCAGGCCCAGCAGGAAGACCCCATCGAGCGATTTGAGGTGCTTGTCCATGGCCTGGGAGGGCCTCCTGCCCTTTCACTGGTGGGCCTGTGCCCTGACTAGCTTTGCTGAGGTCTTAAAACTCAGCTGCACTGTTTCAAGGTCCAAGTTTCAGTTTGAGTTTGCAAATGAGAAAGCAAGATACGTTTTACTTCACACCAGCTGCCTGGTTTGTTACAGCTCAGTGGCCTTTCGTCACAGTTAATAAGAAGTAGCTGCTTGACAAGGTCACTTGACTCAGTTAAGCGTTTCTTTATGGAGAGAGTAAAGTCTTGAAGAGCAGCACACGAGGACTAGTCATGTCTCCCATTTGGGATTTCCGTAGGCCTCAGAAATGAGTTTGGAGGATGAACCCTGAAAATTTTATCATTTCATCTGATTTTTATGTGGCTTCTGCTGGTTTCTTTCTCCCCTTCAGCGGGAGAATAGGCGTCTACAAGAAGCGAACATGAGGCTGGAACAGGAAAATGACGACTTAGCCCACGAGCTGGTGACCAGCAAGATTGCCCTGCGGAAGGACCTGGACAACGTAAGTCCAGCTCCCCTGCGGGATCGAGTCAGTTGGGCAGCTTCTCCTTTAACACACAGCCCCCTCAGTGCGTGTCATTCTGCGTGGTTGGCTGCGCTCTCCCTCGTCATGGGCTTGTCCTGCCGCGCTCTGTCCCGCTTCTCCTTCGGAGAGGGCCGTTGTCCCATCAGCCCTCCCCACCGCAGGGGGTGTCCCGGCAGTCCTTGGTCTCGTGTGTTTCTCATTGATTGAAAGACCTGTTGGCTCATTCAGAGGTCATCACCACTGGCAGCCGCACATCACTATGGCTTCCTTCCCTTTGCCCCCAAACAGGGAGAGACTGTGGGGTTCTGCGTCTCGGAGCCTGCTGAGTCAGGCTGCCAGCGGGGATACAGCTGACCCCATCAGTAGCTCCTGTTGGCAGAAGCTTTGCTCTTCCTTTGTGTTTTCCTTTGCTCTTCCTGATCTTAAAAATTTGGAGATGATGGCTTTTCTGGCATTTTCTGTAACAAACTTCTCTTAGAAGAATTGTAGTCTCTCATTCGTGGCTTTAGGTCAGAGGCTGGCAGACTTTGTAAAGGAACGGTCAGTACATAGTGGGGCTTTGAACCTCACCCCAGTGGCTCTCCCGTAGACCACGCACGCGCAAGCGTGGCCGCTCCAGTAGCGCTTTCGCCGCAGGGATGGGTGGCCCGCTGGAGTTTATCAACCCCTGACTTTGACTTCCTCGTCAGGCCTCAACGACTGCTTTTCTGCTCATTAGTTTTCCTCAGCTTGCAGAGGTAGACTAGGCAGCTAAGGGCTTATGGGGCCTTATGTGATGTATTCAACCCCGGAGGGTCTGTGGACTTCATGAGGTCCTTGACATTCATCTCACGGACAGCAAAGTGTGTGCTGGTGTGTTTCTTTGGAAGTCTGTGCTTCGAAAGTCAAAGTGGTTCACGTGTCAGCTGGAGCGAGAAGGGCAGTATCTGCCATTTCTTCTTGCTTCTCTTTAGTCATAGAGTAAGAGCAAAAATCTTCAGACCTAGATTCTAACACTAGCTGTGCCCCTTTCGGCTCACCTTGGGTGCCCTGTAACATGTCGTGGCATAATAGCCGTGTCCCAGGGTACGGTGAGAATGACAGGATTTGGGGTACGTGAAGAGCACCACAAGGGAAAAAAATAAGCACAGGCAGGCTTAGTTTCCTCTGAGTTACCCGATCGTCAGTGCCAAGTAACTGCATGTGACTCTGGGCCGGCTGCTATCACCAGTGTTTGCAGGCAGGTGTTTCAAGGTCTTTACCCTCAGCAGCCAGAACCGCGAGACCTCCCTGCTCCGGGGCTCACCACTGGCGTCAGGAGGGCAGTGACTGGCCAGGACAGACCACGCTCCCCGGGCATCAGCACTCGGCACCGCCTGGGCTGTGTTGAACTTATTTTACCAAATCCTCACGGCAGCCCCTTGCATGAGGGATGTGATTATGATCCCTACGTCACTGGTGAGGAGCCTGAAGCTGAAGGAGGTTCCATACCTTGGGGGGTCGCAGCCAGCTTCAGATCTTACTGAGGGGCTGGATGACCCCATTCTCCTGACTCACTGAGAGCAGCAGCCCCACATCCATGAGGGCAGGGAGACCATCCTGGGGTTCCACCCCCCGCAAATGCCGGGTAGGCAGATGGGCCCGGAGTCCCTTCCCAGGTCACTCGTCTTTGGTTTCTTTAGCGTCACCCCGGGAAATCAACAAGGTTCTGCAGTGAGGGGATAGGAACCGCCCACCTTGTTTTCTTCACTTTGGAGACTCAGGTTGTTGAAAGGACTCTCTCAACTCGTTTCCCTTTCTGCCTTTGAAAGAAATGTTCAGTGCATCTTCAGGGATGGTCATTACACTCTGTGTCTCCATCTAATTGTCCATCACTGTCATCACTCGTCACGCTGCAGGCATGGAGAGCTTCCTCGTCAGCCCTGGGTGACCCCGGCCAAGCATTCTCTGTGAAGTGGGAGTGATGCCCAGACCTGACTGGTGCTGCAGGCTGAGAGGGAGCCTGTGCAAGGCAGGTGATCCGGGATGGCCCCCCAGTTCACCATGCTCTCCACGTTGGGACGTGTGTTGGGAGAGTGCGGGGAGCAGGTCCAGGCGCACCCCCCCCCACTGGGCCTGAGTTCTGGCTCCACTGATGCTGGTTCTGTGACCTTGAGCACGTCGCTCAGCTCCTCCGGGCTCTTTATCAGGACTCAGCTGACATTTATGTCTGGGTCTCTTCAGTTTGTCTCCCCATCTGTCACACGTCTGTCCTGCCGCCAGCGCCCCACTGCCTGGTGACTGCAGCGCCGTCGCTGGGTATGCGAGTCCTCCAACGTTGTTGTTCTTTTTAAAAATTGTTTGGTTATTCTGAGTCATTTGCATGTCTATAAATACTAGAATCAGCTTGTCAAACTCTAGAAATAAAAGCCTTCTGGAATTTGGAGTGAGATTGCATTGAATCTGCAAATCAGCTTGGGAAGAACAAGCATCTAAACAGTAATTGAACTTTCCACCCATGAACGTTAAATTTCCTTCTAAATTTTCATTTTCTCAGGTCTTTTTCATTTTCAGCAGTGATTTCTCGTTTTCCCTTTGTCAGACTTGGCATATATTTTACTCTGCTGTAAAGGGCAGCGTTGATTGTATTTTCGAGTTATTTATTGCTGATTTCTAGAAATACAGTTACTTACATGACCTTATACATGTAAGGTCTGTGGCCTTGCTCAATCCAGTTTTGAGTCTAGCAGCTTTTTTGTTTCTCTTGTAAGATTTTCCACACACGATCATCTCTGAAGAAAGGCAGTTTCTCTTCCTTTCAGCTCCTGCCTTTCCCCCTTACCTGCCCGCGCTGACTAGCACCTGGGAGCAGTGTGGAAGGGTGAGGGCAGGCCTCGTGGCCTTGTTCTCGATGCTGGTGTGTCACAGGTGAGGCCGAGGAGTTCTTCCTGCTCGCCGACACTCTCGTCATGGGCCTGCGTGGGTTTGTCAGGCGCTCTTCCGGCGTCTGCCGTGGCGCTAACTTGGTATTTCTCCTCATCCTGTTACTGCAGTCAAGTTAAATGGCTATAACCAACCTTGCATTCCTAGTAAACTTGGGGGTTTCTATTTATTACTGAAGATCGTTGTGTTCATGAAGAATATCTTTCTGGAGTTTCTTTACTGTTCTTGTCTGGTTTCGATAACAGGGTACTGCCGGCCTCCTCAGATCAGCCGGCATGGTTCCCTTCCTGTTTTCTTGAGGACTTTGAGTAGGATTGTTCCTTGATTAAATATTTAATTCCCTAGTGAAGCTTCCTGGGGCTGGGATTTTCTTTGAGGGAAATTAATTATGAATTTAAATTTATTTCCAGATACGGAAGTATTCAAAGTTTCTAAATCTTCCTATGTCCATTTTGATAACATGTATTTTTCAATAATTACCATCCCAGTTGTCGAATGTCTTGGCGTAGACATTGACATTTCCTTATTCTTTTGCTATTTATAGGACCTGTGGATAATTTGTCTTTTTTTCCTTGATCTAGCTAGGAGTATGCCAATTGTATTGCCTTTTCGAAAGCTTAGGCTTCATTGACTGCTCCTTTTTATTATTTCCTTTTACTTTCTTTTGGTTTAATTTCCTTTTTCTAGCTTCTTAAAGAGGAAGCTTTTAATCACTGATTTTGGACTGGCCTTTTTATAAAATAAGTATTTGAACTTGTAAATCTCCCTGAAACACTCTTTCAGCTGCATCCCACACATTCATTCTGATGTGTTTTTCATTTTCATTCCATTCTTGTGATTTCTTCTTTTTGAGTTAATTAGTAGCATGTTCTTTAATTTTTAACTCGTAAGGATTTTCCCCAGGAATTTTTCTGTTGTTGATTCCTAATTCTAGTTTGATCAGAGTACAAATCTTGTATGATTTTAATTCTCTTAAAATATATGTGTGCCTATTTTAGGGCCCACTGCTGGCTCTATTTGGGTGAATGTCCCACATGGTTTGGGAAGTGTGTGAGTTGTCTTATGGGTGGACTATTCTGTACATGTCATTTCTGACATGTGGGGTGACACTGTTCAAATCTTCCACAGACTTAGCACTTTTCTCTTGCTCTGAAACTGAGAGAGCACTGTGTAAACTTTAGTGGTGTATATGTTTTTTTTCTTTTAATAATGGTAGTCTTTATTTCCTGTAATGTGAATTTATCATACATCTTGATCACATTCTCTTAATGGAATGACTCTTAAAGCTCTGAAATGTCCCCTTGGTGCCTGGGAATCCTCTCTTCCGAAATCTCCCTCATCTGTAACTGATAACAGCTCCCTTGCTGCTACATGGCATGTCCTTTTCTGCACTCTTACTTTTTTTTTTTCCAAAGATTTATTTTTATGTAGAATTGGGGTGTGGACCAGAGGTATGGGGGGGTGAGAGGATTCACCAGAGACAAAGTGGGGAACAGAACAGGCAGACAGACGAAATAAACTGCTGAGGGGAGCAGCGGGCGAGACAGGAGAGGGCTGCCGTGCCAGGTGGGTATCTCACTGGCCAGGGATCGAACTTGTGCTGCAGAGGCTGGTGATAGCTCGATAGTGCCGAGACCGAACCTCTGCGCCACCCGGGAGGTCCTCTGCCCTTTTACTTTTAACATATCCGTGTTTTTATATTTAAAATGGGTGTATTATAGCCCACATAGAATTGGATCTTGCTTTTTAAATTCAGTCTGAGACTCTCTTTTTATTTATTTATTTGAAAATATTTGCAATATCTTTATCTGATAAACATTTGTGTACAGAAATTTTATACACAATGACATTATAATCAGTTAGAGGAATCAAACAACCTAATGTAAAATGAGTAAAAGATATACCACAAAGGAGATAGATAGATAGATAGATAGATAGATAGATAGATAGATAGATAGATAGATAAAATTACCACAAAGCACATGAAAATAGGCTCAGCATCATTAGTTAAAAGGGAAATGCCTATTAAAATGCCAGTGAAATCCCACTGTCTACTCCTGGAGTGTAAAGAGTGACAATACCAAGTCCTGGCAGAAAGGTGGAGCCACTGGCTCCCCAGTAAGAACGTCAAACACACAAACACTTTGGGAACTGTTCTGGCAGTCTTTAAATCAGCTTGACCGTACATGTGCCGTTTACGCATTACTGGTGATTTATCCCAGAGAATTCAAAACAGTGTGTGCACACACGTTCACGCAGGCTGGCTGTGTGTGTGTGTGTGAGAACTGGGATGTTTACGCCAGTTACGTTGAGTGAAGTTGTTTATCTAATTGATGGATTCTTGGGCCTCCCCGGTGGCGCAGCGGTTGAGCTTTGGGTTGCGAAGCTGCCTGCAGCCTCTGCAGCGCCAGTTCTGATCCCCAGCTGCTCCCTGGCCACCAGAGGAGGGTCCCGCATGGCGCGCAGACCTCTCCTGCCGCCCGCTGCTCCCCTCAGCAGTGTACTTCGGTCCTTCTGCCTGCTCTGCTCCCCGCTCTGGCTCTGGTGAATTCTCTCACCCTCCCGCGCTTCTGACTCTACCCAGTGCTTGTATAAATAAATAAATAAATAAATAATAAATCTTTTAAAAAAAAAATAATTGATGGATTCTTAATGTACTTTATCTAATTTGGGTGGGTGCGAGTCTGCCGCGTTGCTCTTTGTTCTCCGCTTGCTTTTTCTTGCTTGTTTCCTTCCCTTTGCTGCCCTTGAATTCACTGGAGATCTTTATGGTTTCACTTTATCTCCTCTATGATCGCGTGAGCTGCTTGGGGCGCCTCGTCTCCAAAGTTCTGCCCCAGGTTGCAGCCATGTCAGCCTCTCTGCACCCCCCCCCCCCCACCAAGCTCTGCCTCCTTAGCCCCTCGCGGTGCTTCTTGGTCCAGAATGTCCCTCCAGGCAGAAACTCAGGTGGTGCCAGGAGTCACCTTGTTGGTTTTTGTCCTTCGTCTGGAACCACCATTCTTCATTTGTTTTCACGTCAGAAAATAGTTTCGAATGTTTTGTCCAGTTTTTTGTTGACACTGGAGGGTAAACCTGGTCCCTGTTAGTCTTCGCGACCAGAAGTGGAAGTCCGGGCTCGTGTTTATCGTCACCAGATGCTCTCCCCACACACGTGTCGGTGGCGTCAGCCGGGCAGAAGGCCGGGCCCGGTGACCCAGGTCAGATGACAGCTTGGGGGGTCCCTTCCACCCCAGCTTGCGCATCAGCGGGGGCAGGGCTGTGCCGCACTTCTCAGGAGCAGGCTTCCTGTCCCCAGTCCCTGCGGCAGTGGGGGGGAGCAGGCGTGAGCGCCAGGGGGTACCCTGGCTCCAGAGCCCTCTTGGAAGATGTGGCCTGAGTCCCGGTGGGGAGGGGGTTCTGCTGGTTCAAGGAAAACGAAGTCTGCGGCAGGGCTTTGCTCTCCTTGCTGCTCATCTCCCTGTTGTTTGACTCCTGCGTTCCCCTTTGGGCTAGAGAAGGGGATGGTGCTAGAGAGGGGGACGGGCCACCGACTGGGGGACAAGCCTCAGCTCTGGGCCCCCCTGGCTGCACGTGCAGTTCACCAGTCATGACGTTGAGCTGCGTGGCGGGGCTGCCCTCCCCGGCCCCCAGACCTCCTGGAACCCCTTCCTCGAGGACAGTCTGGGGAGGGGGCGGGGAAGGACCGCGGCCGCTGGGCCCGCAGCGGGTGACAGGAGGAACTAGTTTCCGCGGCCAGCGGGAGCCGGCACCGTGGCTCGTGTCAGATGACCCGCGGCTGGGGGCCGGCGCGGGCACGGGGGCTCCCTTTCGCCAGGCCCCAGATCTGCCCTCCAGGCCCCGGCACGCTTTAGGGAAACTCTGAAGGGAGGGTGCCCGTTTCCGAGCGAGCGAGCCAGGGAAGGGGTGGCCTTACCCAGGGCTGCAGGGGTGACGGCGAGGGGAGCGCTGGGAGTTGGAAGAAAAGCAGCGGGTCTTAGCGGTGCCAGAGCGACGCGCCTGGATGGCCCGAGAGTGCCCGTGCCCAGGACTCTGGTCACTCCTCGCGGGCGAGCCTCACCCCGGAGAGGCTCTTGTCGCTTGTCCGCGTGGCGTGTGGCCATCAGGGGTGGGCGTTGAGCTCGGGATGCCTGATGCCGGAGGCTGAGCCCCCAGCCACGGCCCGGCCTACCTCTGGGCCGCAGGCGCTTCCGTGAGTCCCATCCCTGCGTCCCCCGGACGTCATTCCCTGCTCTGCCTCGGTGCCCCGGCCTCGCAGTGGGGGCGGGACTGATGAGTGGAATTCCTCCCGGTTCTCGGCTCTCTCTGTGACAGCTTCTCTTCCTGTTCCAGGCCGAGGAGAAGGCAGACGCGCTGAACAAGGAGCTGCTTATGACCAAACAGAAGCTGATTGATGCGGAAGAAGAGAAAAGGAGGCTGGAAGAAGAGTCAGCGCAGGTGAAGGAAGCTGGGCTCCTTCCCCAGTCCTGCGTCTCAGATGCCTGAGAACAGTTCAGCTGGTGGCTTCCCGTTGGCACTGAATTACCCAGGGACAGCCTTCCCACCCTTGCGCAGGGCAGGAGAGATGCCCGGGAGCGGTAGCGCTATGCCAGGGGAGGCCGGCATCACTCTCCCGGCCTCTCCCCTGCCTGCCCATGGACACACACCCCCCAGAGCAGGTTCTGGAAGGTCTGTTTTGAGCCAGCTATCCTTAGTCAGGGGGGCACAGACTTGTGAGCCACAGGCCGAGCTTCGGCTGCCCTTCTGTGTCCCCACTGCACCCCCCAAGGGGCGTGCCCGCCTGTCAGAGTCACGGCCACCGGTGGCGAGCACTTCCTGCAGAAGCCGCAGGCAGGCCGCGGGTGGCAGGGCGTTCTGGTCTGGCTTTGGCCTGTGCCAGCGCCCAGCTCCGGCTGTAGGTTGGGTAGCACTGGCAGGAGGAGCTTCAGCACAAGCCCCAGGCGGAAATGTGGTTTGATGTTTTCCAAATTGTGCCTGTTCTCGCGCTCCTGGCTTCAGCAGCGGGGTTACTGCTGCCAAGGGAGGAAGAAGGCGGCGGATCAGGGCCCTTCTAGAGTTCACGCGGGCACACTGGGGCAAGTCCAGCTCCGAGCAGTTAGTTTCAGAGCTTCCTGTAAATTTCCCTTAAAAACTCACGTTTGCTCTTTGAAATGTTGCAGTTGAAAGAAATGTGTCGTCGGGAACTCGACAAGGCAGAGTCAGAGATTAAGAAAAACAGCTCTATCATCGGAGACTACAAGCAGGTGGGTCCGAGCCCAGGTGGGGCCCCCTGGCCTGGGGGAAGCGTCCCCCCACACCCGGGTGCTGACACCTGCTGTGCCGGCCCCGGCGGGGGGTGGTGACAGCTGACTCTCCGCTGGCGGAGAAGGCCGCCGGCCCCTGCCGGAGGGGCGTGAGGAGGACTTGCCAGGGTCGTGTCTGCAGCGGGCCTGGGCGGGTGCTTCGCCGACGAGCCCGCGTTCGGTTCTGGGGCATTACAGATTCAGAATCCGGCCTCGTGTTCCCGGGGGCACGTGATCGCACCCTGGCTGGGTGAGCTCAGGACACGGCTGAGTGGGTCTCGTTCTTCCTGCCCTGCCATCTCTCGCTGGTTCATGAACCTGGCAAGTCCTCAGAAACTTGGCTCTCGAGGGCATCGCGGGGCGGTGGCCGAGTCCAGGCCAGTGGACACGGGGACCAGGGCCCTCTGCCCCCGTCGCCCACGGCCCCACGCGTCTTCCGTGGAATTCGTCCTGGGCCCAAATCACGCAGATGGTGACCTGGCTGAAGTGTTGTTTCTTTAGATCTGTTGTGTTGTTTCTTTAGATCTGTTCTCAGCTGAGTGAAAGATTAGAGAAGCAGCAGACAGCTAACAAAGTGGAAATTGAGAAAATCCGGGTAAGTCGTGTAGCTGCCGGAGACCGCGCCCCAGTGTCATGTCTGCACTCACTCAGCACAGCGGATGCCGGGCGGGGACGTTTACTCAGATTTCCTAGGTGGGAGACGCCAGCCAGGCCTGTGTCGAGGCCCGTCTCCTCCGCAGGAAAGTACCAGGCAGGCCAGAGTGCTTTGGCTTTAGCTCTCAAGAGGCAAGTGCCTTTTCCCTTGGCGCGCCGGACGCCCTCCTCTGGGCGACCTGACTGCACACGCCGAGAGGAAAGTGCCCCCGGGCGCCCACGTGGCACCGGTGTGGTGGGCGGGCAGTGCCCTCTGAGCTGGGGGAGGCCCGCAAGTTGGAGGCTTTGCTCAGGGGGAGACTGCGGTGCTCAGGCCCCCGTCGAGCCCCTCTGAATCACGGGACGCTCCTCACTCCCCACCCCAGCAGAATTCCTTCTGCTGCGATTTGACTCCAAATACAGCGAGGACTTTTTAAGGTTACGTTGCCAATGTGGGGGCTTTAGTAACCTGATGTTCTTTGAAACTGGATCGAGAGTCCTGCGAAACTTCACGAAGGTGAGCGGGTTCCTGAAAGCTGCTTTATTATGGCCCCGTCAGGGGACCGAGCGCGGGCGAGTCTGTGCTCACGGCCTTGTCCACAGCCACGGTTCACCTGAGCGCGAGGACGTAGCTCGTGTCCGAGCAGCAGTTTGTGTCTTTGAAATAAAATATTTTCTCTGACTAAGAGTAATAACGTTCCCTGGAAAAGAAGAGGAAGACAAAACACCCTTATGTTATCAGCCGCAGAAGACATCCCCTTTGTTAATTGGGCGAATATCCTTTCAGTCTGTTCTTCTTAGTCATAGATAAAATTTTACTTGTTCTAAAATATTTTTTCATTTTACATTTCCATCTCTGAAAACGGGACCTGTTTTCCACTGGATGGCCTCTCTGGCGGAATATTTGCCTGGAGGAACATAGGCTGTCGGTGGCTGCTTATTTTGATGAAATGCGTGTAGATTTGGGACCCTCCTTCGTGGACACCCTCTGTGTCCCGGCTCGCCCAGCCTTTAGGCCGTGCCATGTCAGGAGAAATTCCTCAGAAAATTCTGAGGCTGCTCCCACTTTTCTAAAGGGCCAGTTTCTCTTCGTTGCCTCTTACACTGCCGTCCAATTGCAGCAAAAAGTGGATGACTGTGAGCGCTGCCGGGAGTTCTTCAACAAAGAAGGGCGGATCAAGGGTGTCAGCTCGGCTGAGGAAGTGTCCGGGGAGGACACGGATGAGGAGAAGGAGACACTCAAGAACCAGCTGAGAGAGATGGAGCTGGAACTGGCACAGACCAAGCTGCAGTTGGTGGAGGCTGAGTGTAAGATACAGGTAACCACACGGCCTGCCCGCCCCCCGCGCGGGCCCCCCCCATCCGCAGCGCTGCCTGTTCTCCGCACAGTGGGGCTCAGACCCAAGCGTGGGCTTGGGAGAGTAGAAGCCCCGAAAATGACCTTTAGATCTGGGTTTTCTCCCCTTTTAAACTCCGACCGTGACCCTCACGGGAAGGAGCCCACTACTTATCATTTGCCACCGGAGGTCGGGTCAGTGTTTGTCCCGTTCTGAGGGCCGCACTTTTTCCTGAGAATGACCCATCAACCTTGGAATCTTCTCGGTGGAATAGGGAAAACAGGCTTTGAGATCGCAGCTGTACCGCCCAGTGCTGACCGGGTTGGCGCATTAACCTCTACACGGCAGGTTGCTCATGTGTCAGCGGCGCCAAGGCCCACCCAGTGGTTCAGGGTCCCTTGGAGAAGGCTGAGCGCAGCGGCGGGGGGGCCCTCTGCCGTCTGTCCCTTGTCCCTGCTCTGTCACCTAACCAGCTTTATCCGCGTCTTCATGCCAGATGAAATCACGACTTTGTTGGTCGTCTCTCACGATACCCGCATTGCTAGTTCTCTCCACAGCAAAACCGAGCGAGCCCTCGGGAGGCACTAGCCTTGGGGAAGAAGCAAGTATAGGACGACAGTGCAGAGCGTAGGTCCCCACGTCGCCACACCTGGCTTCAGGTGCTGGGCTGCCAGGCTAGCGTGCAGCTGTGTGACCATCTAGCGCGTTCGGGAAGGGGCCCCCAAGGAGGCAGGATCTGGGCCGTGGAGGATGAGCAGGGGCGCGCCACAGCACGGCGGGGAGGGCTGCCCAGGAGGTAGCGGCAGGGTGGGCCCCGGCTGAAGCATCTCTGCTGTGCCGGGAAGTCTCGACTGGAAAGATTCCTGCTGGAAGTGGACAAGCGATGCCCTCCTAGTCAGGGCATTCGCTGTCTGCCTAGTGTGCAGCAGGTGGGCGAAGGGGAGGCTGTTTTAACACAGCAGCTAGGCAAGAAATGAGGTCTTAACTGAAAAAGAGCCCCCAATGTGAGACATTCCTGGTCTTTCTATGCAGTGTGAGCCTGGGGGCGTTTCCAGCGGTCTCTCTAGCCCCAGTCCCTGTCTCGGCCCCGCGTCTTCACGCATGCCGTTCCCCTTGCAGGACTTGGAGCACCACTTAGGCCTCGCCCTAAACGAGGTACAGGCGGCCAAGAAGACGTGGTTTAACCGAACGCTGAGCTCCATAAAGACGGCAACCGGGGTTCAAGGAAAGGAAACTTGCTGAGAGCAGCTGCTGCCTCTAGACATCTTCAGAAAACACGACACCTTTTGTTGCCTTCTTTGGCCAGATGTGTGATTCCGTGACATGTCCAGGACCAGAATGTGGCGAAGTCAGACCAGAGAGGCATGCTGGTAGGTCGCCGGCCCGGAGCGCGCGGAGCAGGCGGCCTCCGGAGGAGGCTCTCCTCACTACTGATACTAACAGGCCTGCTCACGCGCCAGCGCTCTGGACACGCTCTAGAAAAATCACTCCTCGTGTGACCGTCCAGGCCACGTCGCAGTGGCGGTCAGCCGGGCGCCCAGCCCGCAGGCTGAGTGGACGCTGTCTGAGTTTGGGGATCCTTCAGGCTGTTGGTTTTTTTTCTAAACCTTTAATCTTTTTTTTAAATATACATATTATATATATATAATATATATATAGGGGGCGGGGGGGAGGGGCGCAGTAATTCAAGTAAGTCTTATCTGTCTCCGTGCCGGCAGAGGGTCCCCAGGTAGAGATGCAGAAGCACTTTGTTTGACATAGGAGGGTCCATGGTTGTAGTCGAAGCCACCTAGTTTTGTTAAATAGACGAGGCGTAGGTTTTGGGATTGGCATTACTCACGTTTCTGGTCAATTCTATGCAACTCTTATAGTTCCTGTTGTTTTTTAGTGGTAGCTGCCAAATGGACTCCCAGGGCTGGGGCGGGTGACTTGACTGACCGTGAGACTGGAGTCGTCATCACGTGGACAAAGCTTATTTTCCTCACCGTGTTGTGCGTGTACATACGTGTATATAAGGACCCTGTCCCAAGGCACTCGACGACAGTGTTGACCTCCCCGACGAGGCCTGACCTGCACGACCGCGCTTGTGCTCATCGGGCCCTTGGTTTCTGTCCGGCCGGGCGCTGCCGTTCCTCAGCGCGAGCGCCCTCACGTCAAGGTTTCTAGTGGTTTTGCACATCAGGTCGTGTAAGTGAGGAAGACGGGAAGCTGTGTGTGTGGGCGTCCGTGTGAGTCTGTGCCGTGAGCCCCCGTCCCCTGGGCCTCCCCCGGAGCGTGGCCGGGTGCAGACCTCACTGTCCGGGCGGACGGCACGTTCTCACGTCAACACTACGGAATGGGGGGTTAGCACCTTTAAACCTTTTAATTTATGTAGCGACAGGCTCTCGCAGACGGATGGCGGCGGCGCTCGGCGCGCAGCGTGGACATGCTGGTCCCGAGGCCCTGGTTTGTATATAAAGACACGTGGGTGGTTTCGTATCTCTTTCCCTGTTGACTGTACTAACGCTTGCTGGGGTCATCAGTGCTAAGGGAGACTTAACACGTGGCAACCCCGACCCTCCCCAGTCCCCCCTTCCACCACTTTGTGTCTTTCTGGTGGTTACCAGAACACCTGCAGGCCCATCCGGACGCGGTGCGTGGCCATTGTGCTAGGGTAGTGTCAGTGTGTCAACTTTAGGAAATATAAACCAGTAAAATTGTATTACTATTTCTTTTGTTGGTTTTATTTTAACAGCATATTCATTAAATATTTTGGTACAAACAGCACTGCTGTGTAAAAGCCAGTTTTATCGTCACGTGTTGCCCGCCCTGTGCTGCCGTCAGGTGGGTGCGTGCGAGCACCCACCGGCGCCTGCGTCGTGAGCGCTGCTCCTGTCTGAGAAGCACATTGCTACGCTCACAGGCAACACACTGTCCGTGTGTTCAAGGCAAGTGCGCCTCGAAAGACAATGCCGACCAGGGAAACGAAGAGCCGAGAACAGGCGGAGGGGCGGCGGCAGGGCAGACATACCTTTAGAAAGCACCTGTTTCTCCACGGGCAGCCCTCCCACCTCCCGGCTGGGCCATCGTCTTCATGCCGCGCTGCTCCCCTCCCCTCGCAGCCTGCCCTCCAGGACCCCACCTTTGGAGGGAAGGTGGTGCGTGTCCCCTGTCCAGACAGGGCTTCCAGAGCACAGGGGTGGTCCCTTTGTCACTGCCAGGCTGAAGGCACGTTCCTGGGGTCCACCTCACTGGCCGGGTCCAGTCCCAGGGGTGTGCGTGCAGCAGGGTCGAGACGCAGCAGAGCTCCTCGGGGTAGCTGCACCCTGGCCCAGGGAGACGTGCGCGCAGTCGGCCTGCCTACGGACCTGCGGGCTCCTGCCGGGCCCGGCTTTCAGGGCGCAGAGGCCCGGGGCGCTGTGATGGGGGCGGACTCCACAAAAGGGGGAAGCAGGCTGGTTGGGGCATCCTGTCCAAGGAGATAAACGATGGTGGGAAACCAGGGGAGAGTTTTAAGCCAGTGTTGCTAAAAAACGACCTTGGGGACATTTCCTGTTGCTGCTTTGGGCAGGAGGACTGGTAGGAATTAGTGTCTTGAGTAAAAGGACAGATATGGGGGGAAAATACTGGAAAGGCAAACCTTGGTGAGCCGAGGGGAGCCACGCTGTCCACGTTCGGGTGGGGCACGGGCCCCCTGGCCTCGGGCTGTGCTGCGCGCTGTCACCTGCCACCACCCAGTAGGTGCCAGTAGCATCCTCAGCACACACCTTACGTCACCCCCAGGGAGTGCCGACTAGTCATCCCAGGGGTGGGGTGTGGGAATCACCTGGTTGAAAACCCTTGGCCACGTCAGGAGAGGAGCCTAGACCTGAGGAGGCGCAAGGTCTCCTTTGGGGTGAGGCCAGGATCAGAAAAGGCTCTTGGTTTAGTAATGGGGTGCTGCTGGGGTGGGGAGAAGCAGAGCTAAGCCCGCGGAGGTTCGAAGGAGCCCTGCTGTGCAGTGGGCACTTCCAGTGCCCAGGAGCAAAGGCTTCGTGCTGGGGACACAAGTCCCGGGGCTGCTCGCGGGTTGTGGAAGCGCGTGACTGGCCCCACTCCACCTGAGCTGATCCCCAGAAGCTTGTTAAAAACTCTCAGGGGGGAGGAGGTGGCTTAGAGTGAAAGGCAAGCCCCCCAGGAGTGCTACCGCTGTGCTGAAGTCCTCTCCCCAGGAGGGAGTGAGCAGGGATGGGGGCGGAACGCAACCAGGCACACCCGGGGCACCACGGCACCACTCCCACTGCCGGCTCTGCACTGCAGACAGGGGAAAAAGTCTACACGGGGGAAGAGGAGCGAGGAGCTTTTGGCCAGAAGAGCTGCTGCCCTCTGAGGACGAGCTGCTCCGGGGCTGTAGTGGCTCACCTGCTCGGACAGGCCGGGTCCTGACACGGGCGCAGCCTCCTGAGACGCAGCTGGGGCCTGAGTCTCGAGTACGGGAAGGTGAAGAAACAAGACGTGAGGTCAGGACCACGGAGGGAAGAGCAGGGTGCGGGCTCGGCTACGGTACCTGCCCCTGGCCCGGGTGGAGCCGTGTCCCCGGCCCGGGCCACACGGCGCTGACACCCTGCTGATTTCTCACGTCACCCTGCTGATTTCTTAGCTGTGCGGGGCCGACGCCTCTCGTGGGCTCGACTCTTCTCGTGGGTTCTCTCCCTTCGAGTCATCAGATGCCCCTGCGAGTTAAGCGACGTTCTTCCCAGACTTGCAGGGGAAGGGGAAGCCTGGCCCCTGAGCCCGCCCTCTGAGGTCTCGGTATTTCCCACCAGGGCCCACAGCAAGACACGGTGTTGCTCGCTCCCTCTAGTCCCAGTTCAACTCGGTAAGCTGTTCCTTGTGCCACCTGTGGGCAAGCCTGGCTCCCCTTCTAAAGGGCACACTTGGGCATGAGGCTGGGAGCAGTGGTGGGCTTGCCCGGCCAGTGCCTCAGTCCATTCTAACCTGGTGATACACCCGTCCACGCTGTGCCGGGAGGACGTGGGCCGAGTCGTGAAGAAACCCGTGGTCCTTGTCCACGCAGCTCCCCACTTACCTGAAGGGCGGCAGGGGGCCTGGCCTGGCTCCCCCTAAGACCGCTGCCCTGAGCCCACCGCCCACACCTCCTTTGTCCTCATTCGTTCGGGGGCCTGAGGCCGAGGGTGGTCCTTGGCTCCTGGAGTTCCTGGGGAAGCAGCCGGAGGAAGTCGCAGCTCTGGATTCAAGTTGCTGCTGCCATTTTGAAGCTCCACTCTCCCTTCTTCCTGAGCCCTCGGTCTGGACAAGCTGGGTCAGGTCAACCCTGGGCAACCGCTGTGAGGGGTGAGTGAGGTATGTGAAAATCTCGTCAATTCTGAAGCTCAAATTCAGCACTAGTAACTTACCACTCACCGTGCCATGTGCCGGCCGGAATTCAGGGTTGAGTGACCTTCCTGCACCGTCAGCAGAGAAGCAAGGTTTTAAGGGCCATACACAGGACTCAGGCCCTGGCACCAATGCCCAGCACACTGGCCTTCACCGGGAGACCCCAGGACCCCCTCTGTGAAGGGACGATCCCGCAACACGCACTGAGCTGGCCAGGGCTGGGGAGGTGTCCTCCAGGCAGCCTTCACTGCGCCAGAGCAGTTCCTGCAGAGAAGAGTCCAGGCCTTTGCTGTTTAAGACAGAAGCTTTTATTTTTATTCATCCAGATGCGGAAAGTGTAACATGTCAGGGCATTACAGACACACTGCAGCAGCCAGACAGGAAGATCAGTCTACGGCAGCGTCCAGCACAGTTAGCACGGAGGAGCCACTGTGGGCGTCGGGGTGGCAGCGTCCCTGTGGGGGAAGGCCAGGCATCTCTTGGCGAGGCGCTGGTGCCAGTCCACGCACGCAGGCTGCGGCTTCGGCCACGCTGCAGGTTTAAAGTTCAGAGTCCCACATGTAAGCACTGCCCCAGAGGGGAAGGACAGTCCATGGTGGCCACGCTTTCCAATGTGTTTCAACATCATACACAACATAGAGTTATTGCCAAGGACTTTGCACTGCATACTATACTATTTACACTCGCGAATTCAGAGAAAACATAGTCAATAGGTACAGACAGGCATCTTAAATAGATTGCTAAAAACTAACTTGGCCATCACCAGACCAGAGCGAGCGAGCTACAGCCAGGAGTCCAGTGTCGTGTGTGCACCGTGCTGCAGGGAAAGGCGTTCAGCCCACAACTAAACTCAGCCTCCTCCCTGCCTCCTGTACCCCCATGCGGGGGCAGAGGAAGGGCTGAGGCTGAGCAGGGCTACCTGGCTCCTTGGTGAGGGATGCTCCCTTTGGAACAGCCCAGAGCTTCTGGTCTTGGACAGGCTGTCTCCTGCCTCTTTCCAAGACAAGGAGGAGTCTGCCTGGGCTGTGTGAGGAGCAAGGCCTACCAGGCTGTGCGGGAACTACTGGGCATATGGACCAGGATGCACGGCCGGCTCCTGCCACGAGCAGCCTTGGGACTGGGCCTGTCAGGCTACTGAAGTGCTCTCGCCCTAATCAGGGTGACCTCTAGAGACCTGTCCTCTGCAGCTGTGGCTGGGCCCCAATCAGCCACCACAGCCCAGTCATGTACAGAGACCAAAGCCTCAGCACAGAGGCCCTGCTGAGAGGGTGCTGCGCGAAAGGACTGAGGGAAAAGATCCTCGGGGGAACAGCAGAAGTGCTGCCAAAGGCCAAGAATGTGAAGTTTGCCCATGGAAGGTGGCCCGTGACTCATGAGAAGAATACCAGATGGAAGATTCCCACCTCCTCAAGCCCTCAGGAAGTCCATCTCTAGGCTGCAGACAGCTCGCAAGACAGCCAGAGCCACCTTTTCCGGGAGACACAGGAAGGAGGGCGCTAGCCATCTGAGTCTCTCCTCCGGGAAAGGGGGCAGTCGTGGTGCTAAGCTGCCTCCCACGGCTGCGGCCGGTCACAACGTGGAGGAACGAGCAACACTCAGTGTCCCCTCTGCCAAGCAGGGGCGGGGTGTGAACCCCGCCTGAGCACGAGATGCCATCATGGTCAGAGAAAGGGGTGCTGCTAACAGCTGCTGGAGAGGAGGTATTTTTGGAACCTGGGCTTGCCCAGCTAAAAGCCACATCGGCTGTGGCCTGAGGGAGCGGGAGAGAGGAGGCGCTTCCCGGCTGAGAGGGGCACAAACAAATGAGTGGGAGCGCCCACCAAAAGCAAACCAGACTCCTTCAGCCCCACTAGTGTCTGTGAGGAGGCGGGAGCACGAGCCACGTGGAAGGGGAACTGACATGTTCCCAGACTCCGGGGGAGGAAGGGCTAGAGAGTGTTCTCCTCGGCTCTCTAAAACCCGTCCCTGCCCTTGATTCATCCCCACGAGCAGAGCCGCCAGATAACACCCGGCTCCCGCAGCAGCAGCGAGAGTTAGGTTAAGATCAAGGCGCTTTCCAACCACCTGTGCCCCTCAGCAGAAGGCGGCGTGAAGGCAGGATGGCGGCCAGAGGGCAACGGCCTGGGCAGCTCACGCGCCACAGAGCCCGTGCCTTCTGACATGAAAGCCAAGGTGAGGACCCAGTTTCCTGACGGGCCACGTCGGGCATCCCTTGGGGCAGACGGCACCTCCGGCACAGGCGGTTCCACCCTACCCATGAGAAGAGAAAAGCCTCTAGAAACAGGTGTGCACTAGAAACACGGGCGCGCACCTTCGAGATGACAAGCCAGACCCGACCACCAAACCCGAGCGTCCCGGCCTCCAACAGAGCCGAGACCAGAGGTCAGCTTGAGGCAGCGCCTCCAGGAGAAGAGCGTGGCTGAGCAGCAGCATTCCGTTCCCTGCCTTTCTTTCCAGTGGCTCCTGCCTGCAGCGCCCCACCCCCTTCCGACCAGCCCGTGTCCAGCAGACACGCCTTCCCAGCTGCTCAGGGCAGCACCGACACCCTCACTTCCAGACTTGGTCCCCAGAGGCCAGTCTGTCCACAGGCCCATGGCCTCTGGTGCAAGCAGGGCGCCACTTTGGGCGCCCATGAAGCCAGTCCCCCCACAGCCCAGCCCGAGCTGTGTACACGCAAGGGCTCCTTTTCTAGCCCCACCTGTCCTTGCACTGACCTTGCCCTCGCTGCCTGCACTGCCTCCTCTGCTCACACACAGGAGCGATGGGGCTGCTCCGCCGGGGACACCTCGCTGGTGGAGAAGGGACTTGCAGAGCACGAAGCCCTGCAGATGTGTACAGCTGTAGTGGGTTTTTGGCCCCAACTACACTGAGCACCTTGGGGCAGGCACCGTGTCTGCCTCACGTCAGGCCTGACCTAGAGCAGCTGGTGATGCCCTGGGCAGTGTCTGCTACGACTTGTTACACTTAGCTTGTCTCCGTAGTTTGTAGGCTTCTCAAGAGGCCAGACTGTCTGCTCAGCTTCTTGAAGACCCGCCCGTGTGCTGGCCTGGAACATACAGGGAGGCGTGAATCTGCTCATAAAGCTTTCTTGCCGGAGGATTCAATGCTGAAGCAATGGGCCTCTAGCAATTTATTCTCACATACCAAGGCCCCAGGCCAACATTAAGATTTTAGACAGAACATTGCATTTGTCTTGGTCTTTAGGAGAGCAAGAGAGAAAAAGCCTGAAAATGGAGGATCCTGTCAGGCTCTGCCACACCAAAAAAAGCTTTGGTCCTCACTGGCGCACTAAAGCCAGTGCCAGAAAAACCATCCAATTCTCTGGGCTAAAAAGTCCAGACTAAACTGAAAGATGCCAGTGATCACCACAGATCGGGCCTCTCATGACCAGAGTGTCACTCCCAAGAAGCATCTGGAATCACCTAATCCTCCTGAGCACCACTTTCACAGCCCCAGCCCAGCCCAGCCCAGGGCCTGCATCCCTTCTCCAGAGCTGCCTCCTTCCTAGAGCCCTGGTTTGCCCTCAGTCCTTCCCATCTCCTCTCTTCAGACACTGGCGCTTCCCTGTCAGTGCCCACCTCCCTCTCAAACCTGAGCTGTGGGCAGGGCCAGCAACTTCCTCATTCTAGGGGCTCACAGAAAAGATGCTGAGGAAGCTGTCATGGGAAATGGATGGGTCCAGGCTGATGGAAGTTTCCAGTCACAAGCCGGAGGATGAGTAATCTCTATAGTTGAAGGCAGGAGTCGACTACTCGTTTTCCTAAGTGCTTACACACTGACTACAGCTACCCTTAGGCTACAGAGTTGCTGTGACAGAGCGAACATCACAAACCTGAGAGATTTAGAAGATGGCCCTTCACACACAAAGGTTGGTGACACCATATCTAAGGCAGAGTTCCCATATATTCCCGCACTGACACGTGCAGACAAGTGGTGTCTCTGTGGTCCCTTGGGGCGACAGGCAGTCTGCATGTAGCCTTTCAGAGCCAGCCTAAGGGGAGGGACCACGGCTTCCTGCACGTGGCATCCTCCACCCCAGCAGAGCTACAGAAACAGGCAGAGAATGCGCATGACTCCTCCCAGGGACCCTGACCACCCGTCCAGGACCACCCGAGGTGGCAGGACTGAAACAGCACTGAGGCCCAAAGCAATCCCTCAGTCCCAGTTTCACAGCTTCCCTTCCTTGAAGGACTCTAAAGAAGGTTTGACCTTCCACTGGCCCAAGACCATGTTCTACGGATTTGCCCCATGAGCTCCAGCCCTCGTCCAGGTAAAGAAATCAAAACACTGTTTTTCAAAAGGCAGAAGGCCTCCGTGTGAACAAACACCCAGTACCCGTCACCCCTTGGCGATGAACCCAGCAGAGTAGCAAACCAGGGAAAGGGGAAGAAAGATACTGACAGACCAGCCAGCAAAGCTCTCCCCTTGCCAGATCTTCCAGAGAGCACCAGAAGGGGCTTCACAGCCCCACCCACATATCTGGTTTACCAAGACTCCATTTCGGAACCCCAAAGACATGGCCTTGCTACACTGCAAGGCTTCACCCCTCTGCCCGCCGCCCCTTCTCCATCCACCACCCCGCCCCCGCTCCTGTCACCTCCTTCCTGGCATTAGCATCTTCCTCCTCCTGCCTTCTTGGTCCCAGGCGACACAACACGGTCTCCTCAGTCGCCTGCTGAGCAGCAGGAATCCTGTTGGGGCAGGTACCACTTCCCTTCGCAGGTGCTGGGCCACATGGCCCACGGGCGCCCCCTCCGGCTCACTTCAGGAGAGGAGTCTGGCCTGTGAGGAGACCCTGCGCTGACTCTCGACCTCTTCCCTGCAGGCTACCTCCCCTTCATCCCTCGCCCAGGCAATAGCCTCTGCTTTCCGCCCTTGTCCTTCCCTGTGTAGTTGTGCAAATGAACCCCCAGAATTCCCTCATATTTTGAAGGGCTGTCATCACGGAAGGGCACAGCACCCAGGGCCTTTCAGGATGGGGCCCAAACAACACATCCCATTGCCTTTCACCCTCCGAGGTCCCTTGACAAGGAGCTCCGTGCTGTCCCGAAACCTCACACTGTGCAGACAGATCCTATCCAGCTCAGATGACGGTCTCAACAGGAGCCTCTGCCCCTTCCATCAGCCCTCAAACCCTCTGCACGTTGCTGGGCCCTGAGCACGTCTCTTCCTGCGTGCCAGTCTCTTCACCAGCCTGGCACCTCTCCTGAATTGACTGGGAGACCTGGGATGTGGCCTGCAAGCCCCAGCCCTGGGCCAGCGAGCACGACCCTCTCCAGGAGACGGGAGACCTCAGACGGCTCTGATACTGCTCAAGCCCCAGAGCCGCCGCCTCCCCCTTCCTGTGGTCAGTGGGTTCACCTTCAACTCAGCTGTCTAAGTGGAAACTTCATGTTTTCTCCAACTGTTCCTTCTCCCTCGACACAGCCTGGTGAACAGTAGGTTATAATGAGTGTTGCTCCAAGAAACCACGTGCCTGAAAGGGGAGATGAGCTCTGGCCACGTCACCAGTGGCAACGGCATTAAGTCCAAACTGACCTTCCACGGAGACATTTCCTGTCACCATCCAAACCAATGTCTTCTTGCTGACACGCTCCAGGTAACATGGCACTCGCGTCTCACTGCGCAACTCTCCAAGGCAGCCCCCCTACCCCTGTGGGAAGCCAAGTTAGCCTGAAATGCCCAAGGACTTTCTGTAACTGTCTTTATCCTCGTGGGCCACAGACAGCAAGTAACTATAGCCCCTTAAAACAGCCGACTTGGAAAGACCCATGTTCACCCCAGGTCTCCCTTTTACCAGCCTCAACAATCCCAGTCCTGCCATCTCATTGTGAAGCGCTTTCAGCTTTCTTTAGTTCCCCAGGTGCCAACTTCCAGAGGTTTCTCGCCTCCCAGATGATAACCACATTTCCCCTACTGTGCCCACCAAGAGCTTGAGGGCTGTTAGAAAGCTGAACAACTCTGGCAACTGTCTACATGACGGAAGGCCGCCATGAGATCCCGGGGTCAGTGCACGCTCAGAGTGCCAACCGGGAGGCTCCCCTTGGGTCAGAGCTCATGCCGAAGGCTTGGCCAGGAACTGCTCGCAGCCACCAACCAGAACACAGATGACACACAGAAATCACACTTCCACACGGCACACCCTCCCATGTCCAACCGCGGGGCCCCTCCACTGGCGATGGCAGGATCTGCACTTCCTTACAGTATGAAGACACGGCACAACAGGTTAGAACAAAATTGCTCAGCCCAAGGCTGGCCAGTCAGCCCCTTGCCCAGGAACACACAGTTCTCTCAAAGGAGTCAGAGGAAAAATGAGCCTCGAAAGTCTGGATTCTTTTTTCCCCCGGGGTTAAGTAGAAAGAAGAAGGCTCAGGGGAAGATGAGAACAAAGAACATGTTCCAGAAGAAAGGGACGTGGAGTGTAACAGAGAGGCGAGGGCGCTGCAGCCAAACTGCTGGAACAGGACTGGCACCGGCTAGACTGGAGAACAGCGGCCAGCGCTGAGCGTGGGCTCAGTGCACTCACTCATGGTGTCATTTCTGTCTAAGCCTCCAGCTCCTCCTCCAAGAAAGGAGACAGTTTCTAGATCCCACAGTTGTGGTGGAATTCAAGTCATCCCTAAGAAAGGCTCTCTGTTTTTCCCTAGTAACAGCAGAGGAAATGTGGTTTTTTTCAGAGTGGTTACAAAGCCGTAATTAGGAGCCACGATGTGTTGCCACAAACACCCGGGTGGCTCAGAGAGGTCTCTGGCTTCAGATTATTATCCGTATGAGGGGCACAGCACCCCTGCATCGCTGCTGCTCCTGTCTGCATGGGCAGAGCAGGCAGTGCAAGAATGACTGCGAAAGGCCTTTGCCAGCAGAGCTCTTCTCACACTCCCACTGCTGCTCTAGAACATATGCCTCCTGCTGCTCCCCTCCCTCCAGGGTTATGGCAGGTTGCTCAGAAAGAGGGTCAACTGCCATGACGACGACAACCGGGGTGTCGGCAACCCTTCTCTGAACAAGACCTCTACCCATCCCCACCCTCAGCTACCCCTAAGCAGAGACCAGGCTGGCACTAGGGAGCAGCTGGGGAGCGTATGCTGGGAAGAGAGCAGCAGACAAGTGCAGCAGAGCGGCTGGCGAGCAGCAGGCTCCCCAGGCAGGGCCACCACCATGCAGGGCAGCCCGCTCACTCCTGGCCAACAGCCTCCCCTGAAGTCTACTGTAGGAGGAAATCCCAGTGATTAGAACAGGCCACAGACAGCAGCTACCCTCCCCATCTGTTTAGCACTTGCCCTCCCTATGGTTACCACTCAGGCCTGGCTGCTGCTGCTCCTTCCACCCAGGAAGCCAAACCCGCACCAGCCTTCAGAGGCTGCCTCAGATGTTTTAAGACCTCCCCATCACCAATCTCGGGCCGGACAGAGTGACTCAGAAGCCATTAGCTAAATGAAAAAATGTAACTCAGTTTCTCCTTGACATACAAACAAAAAAACAAGCTTCAAATACAAAAGCTTTCTCTGTTTATACAGCCACACTTCTAAAAAAAGAAGAAAAAAAAAAAGCCCTGTTTTAGGAAGGGGTATCTGGTCTGAAATAACCAAGTCAGAAAGCCCAGCTGCCGCACAGGAATCTGGAGGGTCGGCTGCACGAGAGCCCGTGAGCTAACAAACCTGACAGCATGGCCTTGCCTGTGCTCAGGCCCTTCCTGCGGCTCCACCAGTCCTGCCCACCGGCCTGTCCCCGCGTGCTCCAGACCGTGGCGGCGTGCATGAGAGGGTCTGGCACTGCAGGACTGGGCTTCGTTCTTGGTTCTGCCTTAACTCTGAGCCTCAGATTTTTTTTAATCAGCAAACTAGGAATACCACCTCCCAGAAGGCTGAGAATTAAAAAGGATGTCCACATGCCAAGGACACACAAGATACCCACTTTAGCATCTTTTGTCCCTCTTTCCTTTCTTCCATTCCTGCTGCTTCAATCTCTGCCTACAACCCCAAATGACCTAAACTGAAGGCTCCTTTAATTGCTGGTGCATTCAGCTGTCACTGAACACCATCCAAACTGTACAGAAGGATCAAGAGGAAAAGCTTACCCACAGAGGAGACTGTCCTAGCCACGTCCTCCCAGCAGCTGGGTTCATCCCGCGCCCTCCTCCTGCTGTAAGCAACAGGACAGGTGACCCTGGAGCCTGCATCTCCTGTGAGCATGTGCGGAGCAGACATGCTGATGCCCCCTAGGCAGATGGCGGAGACCTTCACACTACTCGCCAATGGCGGCAACAGGGTTTGTTGGCAGAATCATACCAGGAGAGACCAAGACCCTCCTTAAAAACCAAATACTTAAAGATGTTAACAACTGACTTGGTTAAGACAAAAAAAAAGTGGGCGGGAGGGTGCTCCCCCAAACTTGGCTCAGTGAGGCAATGATTCTATCATGCAGCCACAGCTAAGGAAGGGCTAACTTCTGCCAGGACATTATACAATCTCTCTTATATTTAAGAAGTCTCTTGGCTATAATGCAAATCTGTATAATCTGCTTAAGGTAACACTCAATCCTTGTCTACACAGTTTTTACAACCCTGGAGCACCACAGAACTCAATCTGAATCAGATGCTCAGCTCACCTCCTAGCAAGAAACAGGGACATTCTGCCCACCTTTTTTCAGAAGTTCCTACAGTCTTTGCAGACACAGGCAAGCAGGAAGGAATGTGAGCGGCATCCTGTACTCACTCCCCAAAATGGCAATTTCACCATCTACTCACTTTTCCTTTTGCTGAAAAGCAACTTCTCAACCTACCTACGTAGGCAGGTAAATGGTCAGATGGACAGAGACAGACAGATGGATGGATGGACAGACAGACAGGTATGCCTCTTCTAAGAGTAACAGACAGAAGGGAGGCCTCGTGGTCATGAGTATGGGTATTTTTCCCAAAGTGTCAAAACAAACTGGAAGAAACAGGCTGCAAGAGTCCCCCCACACCATTCCGGCTCCTCTTTGTTTTCTGTGGTTTATGACTTGCTCTTTACCTGCCAAACACTGGTGACCTCTGAATGCTGGGTGATAATCAAAGACACTTTCTTTCTTAGTACTGCACTGGTAAGAAACGTGGAATCAGCAGGCCGATAGTCTAAGCTCAGCCCTTAAGTTCCAAGTACACTCAAATCCCAAAGTGACTATTTATGAGCCCCTGGTGCAACCTGGCCAATGATTTCACTACCCCACTGGAACATGAGCATGACCTGCAATGACCTCCCCATGCCAGTGCTCACCAAGTGTTTCCCGCCTAACCTCCTGGTGCTAGGAGCCCCTCCCTGTACCTGGGAGCGCCCCACATCTGTCAGCACTAAGGAGCCAGCACAGCTTCGCTCCCTCATCTCCCCACAAGCAGGCCGTGCGCCGGCTTCTCAGTTACCTGTCAGCTCAGCCTTGCCAGCCACACATACTTCCTGCCACTTCAGCCAACCACAGCCAGAACAGTCAACAGTTTGCTGAGGACTTATTATGTGCCAGGTACCATTCAAAGTATACGTATTAACTCAATTAGGCCCCAAGACCCATGGGAATCTGCGGGAGGAAAAGAAATGCTTTGGTACAGATTCCCTCATGGTTTCCATTCCCTATTTCTAGCTGTGCTCTAAAGCTTCCAAAACCTAATTTGCATTGTGGGGCTATTTTTAAAACTCTCTAAAGATCACTGCATCAAGCATCAATGGAATATGTTAGCTTCTACCTAAAAGGATAACATGGGGAAGGGTATCTATTCTTACAACTAACTCCACGGGAATTTCTGGAAGATGCTATTAGGAAAGGGACTCATTCTTATGTAAGAAATCTAGCTCTAAGCTCCGTAAATCACCAGAAGAGAGAAACATCAATATTGGAACTCACCTCAGCAGTAGACAGTTTTTGGGCTCACAGTTGTTATTCACTTACCACCCATCTCCCAGGCCTAGTAACACTGAGAAAGCCATGCTCACTGGATTGCGTGGCGTCAGACAGTTACGGAGCACAGTCTGAATACAACAGAACCTTTCTTATTCCAGACAACTTCATAAGAGCCCTGTTCTTATCTCACCACCACCAAGAAGACACTGAAGTGTGGCGGTTACGAGAAAACTGGTCACAGAGCAGGTTGTTTTGAGCTTTCACTGCTCTGAATGCTCCTGGCTTGGGGGCTTTAGAGTGTTAGAAATCTAACTGCTTGGGGGCCTGGGGGCGGGGATCTCCTAGTCCATTCCCCTCACTACTGAAGATTTTCTTTCACTATGGTTATTAATGAAATCCAAGAAGCAGGGAAGTTATGATTGATTGATTGATTATAAAATTCCCTTCATTTTCATCCAAAAAATAAAAACCAAAAAAAAACCGCAGTGTGTGTTTAACCACTTTGTTCTCTGTTCTGCTATAAAAATCGCTTTACAAAAGGATGGGGTATTTGTCATTCCTTTCAATAAGTTTGCATATTTGGATAGAGGTCCAGGAACATAAATCAGAGTTGGTTTCAAATGCTCAAAACTGCCAGGAAAGTATTTAAAATAAGTGAATTTTCAAATGATATCATTTCAGTGATGTCAGAGGGCCCATGCTATTAAATAATTCATAAATAAGCTATTAACTACGTTAATTATCTTTGACACTGCTAATGCATAATTTGCCTCCCAACCTGGGATATTTATAGTAGGCCCAATTCCACCAGCAAAGAGTCACTCAGACTTACAATGCTTCCACTGGGGCGAACCTCTGACTCACTAGCACCCAGAGAAGAAGCTGACACATAAGGGCACTCGGTTTTTAGATCAGGTCTGGAATATACTTGGTACCAGTTAGCTAGACCTCGTACAAACGTTTATAGATGCCAAAGCCACATTCAACATACATACAGATTCTGTATTGGGGGGGGGGGGGTTGTTCCAGCAACCTTCAAAGTTAGTAATAAAAAGAAAACTGCTACTTAGAGACAAATATAAAACATAAAATTCATTTTAATCTATATATATCAAATACAGCTTTAGCATAGAACATCTAACATATATGAAATTCATTTATGGGACACTCTAAACGAAGCAAACCTTATTAAAAATTTTGGCCTAACCCTACATCTTTTATATGAACCCCACAATGGTTGAAAAGGTGGGGGGGGGCACGGAAATCAACTAGCTACTTAACCTAGAAGAGACGGATGAATTGCCTAAGTCTATTTGGTCTCTGCAGACTGGGTATACACCATTCTGAATCTTGTCAAGGTTGGTTCTATAAATAGTTATCAACTCAGTTGACTATAATTTTTCGATAGTTACCTTAATATTTTGGTTTTCTTCATTTTCTATTGCTTTTTTAAAATTTATGGCTTCTTGCTGCTGTTGTACTGGGGCATACAACACAGATCAGAGATTTTAATTTCTCAGAGAAATTTCTCTCCTCGAGAAATTGGCACTTTGCTCCTCAATTTATAACAGCTTGATTTGTTACACTTTGTGTAACATCTACAGGAAAATGGATCCTACCAGCACTCTTACCAATCTTGCTGCTTATGAAATTCCAGCACTTTGGCCAAAAAGAGTGTGCCCTGACATTAAATGATCTTCGTGAACCTTCCCACCACTGAATTCTTTTATTTAAACAGGTACGGGTGTGTACTTCACATTTATGTTACATCTTAAGTTTCTACACACACACACACACACATACATATATATACACACACACACACACACACACCTTTTCAAAAGTGAAATGTCCTTCTTGAATAAAAAGTAATTACAAGGGCATTAAAACAAATGCTGAAAAATAACTATTTTACATTTAGATCATAAAAATTTTAAAGGTAATGTGATGACATAAGACCTAAGTGATCAAATACATCATATATGATTGTCATATATGCATGTTGTGTTCATTGAATTTTAATTACTTTTCTCTTTAATCAGAAAATAAAAGAGCTTACCTTTGTATACTGAGACCACAGCTTACAGTCACTATATCTCAGCCTATTTTATACAAGTGATATGGCTACGAAGGTCCGAGGAGAACGAGAATAAAGTGAGATAAACGTGCTGAAAACTGCTTAAAAGTATTAACCTGAAATACACAGAGGGTCCAACACCAGTTTTAAAAATACATTAACGAGGTATTCCCAGCTCTTCAATTAATAACGGTGACTGACTCATGATTTTCAAACATTCACCCAAATTTTTAATAAAGAAGAAAAGGCTAACACCAGCAAAATCTATCAGTGGTTTGTTCCCCAGGTTAACAACCTGAGTGACACTGCAAACGCCTTCACGGCTCCTTACCACCCTGCGCCATGCGCTGCATCTAGTCAGCATGAGGTATGTTGGGAATCTACTGGACCAGTTACCTCGCAGAAGAGAGGGGTGCTCCTGCAGCCTGAGAAACGGGTTGCAGGCCACATCCCTGGCTGGACACCAGCCCCCATGCAAAGAATATGGCTTCAAGGAGGACCCCTATCTCTGAGAAATTATAATAGCACTAGCTGACACAGTCAGGAATGCAACTATCAATTTATGTGCTAAAAAAGTTTAAAAACTGCCTGAAGGTTGCACAGCTCACACACTAATTCTAAGTTCTACATTGGTCTGTAAACTCCCTGACAAGAGACTACGCTAGGAGGGGTGAGTACAGATATTGCTAGGTTTCCAAAGGAAAAGTTTTAAAACAGACACCGTGGCTTTGAATAAAGTATTGCTCTTCGTTAAAATGCTCAGTCATTGCTTTCCAAAAGAAGGTGTCAGAGTGGTGTATCTGAAAGCTGGAAAGCCTCAGGGGTCACATTGCTCTTAAGACCAAGACATAGGAATTGCCATTTCAAGCCAGACAACCTGATGGTTCTAGAAGTCAGAGAAGAAATCTTGAGGGCCCAAGTGAATAATAAATGGTGCGACGCTCAGAGGCTGGCAATAGGGGCTGTCAATGAAAAAACCACCTACAGTGGAGAAAAGAGCAGAGAAGCAAAACTTCGTGTTAATTTCACAGAATTTGGTGAAGCCAAGAGCTTCATTTATATTTCTCTGCTCTTTCAGCTGTAAGTGGAATTTTCATTACAAAATGGAGGGGTGGGAAGGGCAAAGTGGGGAGGGACACTTAATTCATTACAAAATTTAAACAGTTGAACTTGCATGGTTACCACTTCTAACAAAGGACTGACAGCTCAATTATTTTAAGTAAAGCAGAGAAATGTAAAAGTTTGCAGCAACTGGGCAGGTTTACAACATGGTTAGTAACTTCCAACAAACAACAAAATTAAAAAAAAAAAAAAAGACTTGGTAGAAACCATTTGAAATGACTGCCATCATGGTGGAAAACAGCACAGCTCCCTTTTTGCCATTATTGAGGGGTTACGTTATAAAGCTGAGTCAGCTACTTCGAAATAATTTTCTAAAGAGAAATCTCCAGAGAGATTCCAACTTGGAATGCAAATTTGATGATCAATTTCAAGTAACAATACAGCTGCAGCTGCCAATTAATAGTATTCCAAAAACAGAGAGAGCACTATTGTAAATGTTTAATTAATAAAACCTGGACACTACCAGCCATGCTTTTTCTTCTCAGTGATGGCTCTGTTTCATCCATAGGTCAGCAAAACGAATCAATGAAACACGAACACTCCCAGAGGAGGTGGGCCTCTCGGTTATGTCTAGCCACTAATGCGCAGGATGAGAATGGTAAGTTCACAGCTATTTCTAGCAAGTGATGAGGTTTTATTAAAGTATCACCCACCACTAACAAAGACAAAAAGGTCAATGAACAAAGGTAACAAACTATTTTGTAATAAAATTATTGTGTAATAAATATACATCAGAGACATGACACTAGCATTTTTAGCAATTTTTTTAGCATTTGTTTTTACACTGCCATTTTATTCTCATTTAGTGGTCCCAAAGAAAGCTGGTACATAAATTTGCATATTTGTGAAGCCCGTTCTCACAGACGGGCACTGTTCTGATCCGAAAAACAAAATTTAAGAGGGGAGAGGAAAGCTAATTCATATTAAAAACAGCCAATTTGAAGACACAGCAACTTGTAAACACCAGCATGGGACACACTATTGCCGTCATGGGGGTGGGTACCTTAATGAAACCATTACCTTCTAGTAACATCATAGGCTTTCCAAACAAGGTGAGAATGCACGTGGAAGACTTAGGTCTGCACCCTTTACAGAACAGCACAATGTTACTGACTGATCATTTTCACCAGCTTAATCAGGTATCTTAAAAATAAATGCTGACCCATGGTTGAAACCTGTCACTTTTCACAGCAGCACTCAACAAGAACTGGGACAATCGAAGAGCAAGTTTTTATGGGGACCCTGTTGCTGCTTTAGATTCTGATGTAATTGAAGAGGAAACAAGGCCCTTCAATGAATCCCAGAAAAATAGCTAATCTTCTATTTGCATGAAAAAAGTCAGGGAGTGAACACAGTATCTTACAGAGTGAAGAAGGCCACAAGAACGAAGAGGGTGATTGATCGATTAATTTATTATTTTTTTAAAACTTGGAAATTCGGAAACTAAAGTAATCACATTCCTCCTTCCCCATCTCTGGGTAGTGCCATCATTTTAATAAGCGATGCTCGCATAACAGAATATACCTTTATCATGGACGTGCCCTTGTACAACAGGAGTACGAAAGGCTTACAAAGTAAGTGGACTGACTCAAACTAACAATCGCCTTTGCTTTGTTTTAGCGGTTTGCTTACGAATGGGTTTCTAGGGCTACGTTATTATTAGTTTTCAGTCCCTTGTAATTTGATACCAAAACATATAAAAAATAATAAGCTAAAACAATATCCAAACCCATATTTTATTGGCTTTAATTACACACTTTATTATTTACAAAGTTTAAATGAAAAGTTTCTATTAATAAAAATAACTACAGCCCGAATTAAAGTGCCCAGGGGCAAACACATATCAATCGGCCTAAGGACCAGTGACTGCGTCAGGAACCAGGCAGTACTCTGTGTTACAACAAAGCCATTTATTTGTGATCAGTGTTTGAGACTCTATACATCCTTCACAAATTTAATTTTACATAATCTGATACTCCTCTTAAAACTTCAACTTTGAACTGCTAGACTTATTTCCCTAGAACAGAAGGGCTGGTATAAGTTATTTTCCGGAAATGAGGTACCGTTTCACAGAACTAGTTTCTTATTTGTTTGTTTTCAAGTTTTAGAGAACTAAATTTGCATTTGTTAAAATCAAAAAGTAGGAAAGATGTTCTTTACAAATAATTTTGATCAAGTATGTGTTCAAAGAAAGCAGAATAAAAAGGCTTTTTCTCTAACATTCTGTATTGTACGGTATTGTTGTTCAATAGGAATTAGCTTCTGTCATTTGCTAAAAGAATGAGTAGTGGGGAACAGGATATGTTGGGAATTTCATAACGGGCAACAGAACCATTCTCTTGGGTAAACCTACAGAGAAAAGAAACGGAGAGGACTCCAAATAAGTTTAATAATCCAATAAAAATTTCAGGTAAAAAATATCTTACAGTAATTATCATTAACCCTTTCCAGATTAGTCAGTCAACATGAACCATTTTGGAAGAGGCCCACAAGTCTCTCAGGGATCTCCTATTTTGAACTTGCTCTTAATATTTTGATAATTATTTTCAACTCAAAATTAAGATGATTACAACATAAGAAGGATGCTATTCAGAAAGCAATTTCATTTCAGTGAGCTGCCATGAATTCTAACGATCAAAAGCAATGCTATTCATTCATTTTCTAAAGTGACTCTAGAAATCCATATTAGTTTTCAATGTGGTACATCACATACTGCAGGACAAACAGGGATTGTCAAGAGTCAAAGCACAGCTTTCCATGCAGGCCTCAGTTCCCACGTGACCAGGAGCTTAATTGTCATCGTGGCTATTGCCAATATTGGCATGGCAAATCTGGAAAGATTAATTACTCTCTTAATTTTGTAATTAATAAGTTCTTGTGGCCTCACAAACTTCTGCATACTCAAACATGATTTGAAATCCTATTTCTAGTCTAATATTTAACCTATGGAGAAATCACAAAGCAGCAACAGCAGGTATTCAAGAGCACCAGATGATCAGAGGGAAATTACCCCACATGCAACAGCTTTACAAAGGCCAAAAGACATATTTACCTTACAGCCAAAATAAAGCATCGTTTTAGTAGGTTGGCATCACAGTAACATTTAAAAACCAAATCTTTTATGTGAAAAATGGGGGCATCAATTTTCACCAGCTTTGGAAGTCAGTTATATGGCACATGGAAGAGAGGAGCCTTCTGAAGTGGGGCCTCAGAGGCCACAGGTGAAAGTATGTTAGAGGAAAGGGAGGAACAAGAAAGAAAAATTAAAAAGATTGAGGAAAAACATGAATGTAGCTTCAAGCCTATATGTAGGGTATATTTAATATATATATATACATATATATATATGTATGTATTTAAAAGGGGGAAAGTCAGCTCTTGCAAACCCATACTAAAGAATGTGACTTCTTATGTCTTAAGAAAGACACAGACTTAAGAACCTGCCACAGGAGGCAGATGCTTTGATGTTCACATAGAACCTATGACAATGGGTCTAGTGAGTCAAAATGTTTTTGGATAAACTGACCAGCCCTAATTCACAGGAAGGATGCACTGGCTGGGATACCCAGAAGTTGGCTGAGTGGTAAAAGCAAAGGACCAAATCCAAAAAAAGTTAGAGAGCTTGAAGTTAGAAGAAATTCTGGGTGAAAGCATATTCTTGGATGAGTCCCCAGTTCCTAATCCCCACATATCTGAGAATATGGGGAAGCGGTGACCAAACCTGGGGGTGCCAGAGAAGACATTCAGGGAAAGGATGACACTCCAGACTCCACTTTCCCTTAAAGAAAACTCAGCCCAAAAGACTGACCCTTGAAGTTTCTTCATACCTTTCCAGGTTATAAACTGTCTATCTTAGTGGGGAAAATGATCAAACTATTCGCTTTCCACTTATTTCTACAGTTATGAAATCAAATGAATCTTCAACTTAGCAGCATTTTAAGGACCCATAATTTTCATCCAAACAAAAATGGAAAAGCTGATGCATGAAGAGAAAAAAGTATAATAATAATGAAAGATCTTGAGGCTCATGTAGAGGACTAGTGCCACAAATAGCAATGCATTCCAGGTGTTCCCCTGCTGTGTACATGCATGCCCAGCCTGGGGCTGCACTGATACACATATACTCACGTGTGCACGCTTACATTTGAAAAAGCACGCACACCCTCTACATGCACACGCACACTCGCTCTCTTCTCTCAGTGACAAACATCCTGAAGATGGCTGATTCTATAAACATGTAGCACCTGAGTTAGAAAAAATGTCTAAAAGAGCATATCACTGACTCCAAACCTACTGCCTCCATTGCCACATAAACCTCATTCAAAAGTTATCCAAAGGGCCACTAAGATTCATTTTAGCATTTGCTTTTATTTTTTATTTTTGGAGGGAGATATTCCTGTGATTGTCTAACATGTACTACAGACATTCTGTAATGGGAACTTAAGTAACACTCCTGAAGATACCCCCTCCTATCATCTCCTCTCTTGGACCCATCTGCTCCCCTTTAAAACAAAATTTATGCAAAAAAGATGATGACTACAAATTTGAAATAAGCATTTCCTATTCCCAACTCAAAACACCCACAGTTCATACAAATTTCAAACCAGAAACTTAAATGCAGCTATATAACTGGCAGGCGGCCACACTAGAAACTGGGGATGGCCCTTCAGTAGCCTTTGAATGGAGTATAGGTTGGCTGTAAGAAGAACTAATTAAAATATTTAATTTCAGTATGGTCAGAAACAGGCAATTAGAACAAGCAGTCCTTCGATCAGGCAAAGCAGAGAGAAGAGCAACTCCAACCAAACCAAGAACCACAAGGTTGTGGCATTTTCAAAGGGAATTTAAGTTGGGTCACTAGAATGAATAGGTCTGAGATCCTCCAATTCATTTAAAGAAACCCTAGACACAAACTGTGCTTTGGACTGCTGTGACAAAGTGGCTAACAGGAGAAGTCAGTAAGATGATGTACATACCATAGGCAGGGGCAGCTGTGCTGTAACCATATGGTGTTCCATAGCCTGATCAGAGAAGAAGAAAGCAGATTAGTCCAGGACAGAGGGCAATCAGTCCACACTGGCCTCGTTCACAAGCACCTTAGGTCACGAGTACTTCTTCCAGATGCTGAAGGAACCACAACCATTCCCACAATGGCCCTAGCCTACAAGTCCCTCCTACATGCTTAGAGCAGCAGCTTTCACCACCACCGACAGGTTCTCTTGACCTCCCAGAATATCCTCGGCCTCTTCTCACTGTATTCACCACTGCACTGTAACTAATCAACTCCCTGTCTGTGTTCCTCACCAGTGACAGAAACCAAGTCTTAATTCAACTTTCTGCATCACCTGAACTTGGCAGTGTCTAGCCCGTAGGAACCACACACTAAATATAATTTGTTGAAGAAAATACTTAGAACTATTCAAATTATCAATTTCTCAAAGTTGGAAAACAGAACTTGTCAGAAAGCAGTGACAGAGTAGGTCGAAGCCTCAACTGCCATGGGTTGAGGTATGAACACAACTGATAGGAGCTCAACTGATATGAATTGACAGAAGTTAATGAAACTGACATTAGTATCTGGTACCATGAAAAAGGCTATCAATAAAAACAAGTACAAAGAACACGGAAGTCTCTGAACCAATTAGTTCAGTGGCTCTACTTCCTTACACAAACAACTGCTGATCATTTCCATAAGTGCAAAATGGGAAACTTCCCAAGTTGCCTTACAGTGTTTTAGGGATTACAAATTTTATGTTAATAGAAACTTTAATCTTTACTCTTTCAGTAAAAGAACTTAAAAGTATATAAATATAAAATCACTTGGGTACAAAAATCTCTGGGGACATTATTTTTTTTAAAGTAGAACAAAGGAATAAGACCTACATTGCCCTTCCACAACGTACCCAAACAAATCACGCTCTTTCACATTATAACCCCTTTCTGTACAACCATTTCTGCTGCTCAGAATGATTTGATTTCTCCTCCTCCAGATTACCAACTGCAACTCATCCTTTAGAGTAGGACCAAATATCACCTCCTCCATGAAGTTTCCAGCCTTGCAGTTGACTCCTTTGCCCACCTCATCATACCACATGCTGTTTACTCAAGTGTCTGTTCCTACCCTACCAGACCCCAGACATTCATTGAGGTAGATGGCAGGTCTTAGTCATCCACTTTGAATGCCCAGTACCAAATCTCATGTTGGAGGTAAAATGTATGTTGAATAAAGAAAGTGCTTTTAGGGATTAATGAAACATTTCCTAAAGATGAAAATGTTTCACTTTTATATTCTATATTGAAGTCATGTAAAACTGGGGCAGTACAACTTAGTCTCAGTCGTCAGTACTCACTAAATCGTATATTTCTTGAGGATGTAATGCAACCAAAATAATAGGAACAGGAGATAGAACAGGAACAGGAACAGAGGCCAAGAGAAATTAATGCTTAAAAAAGGTTGTGCATCAAATCTATTCCAGGAAAAGGCAGCTGGTACAGCTACAATTTCTAGGGTTTTACCAGAACCTCCTAAATGAGAGATGAAACTCTACTAAGGTGGCCACTGGTCAGGCCACAGAGGCCCTAATCCTGACTTCACCTTTTCTTCCAAGGTACTTTGAAAACATTTCTAATTTAATTTCTGTGAGCGGACAGATTGCTGCAGTAATTCAGCTGGCAGGGGAATTAAATCCTATCTGTAAAAATACTTAATCACATTCCCTGATACACAGAATATACTTTACAAATGTCATATAACCTATTCATAATCTAAAACGACTCTAGCTAGAAAAGAAGTTCATCAGGAGACAGACCTTGCACAGAGGTTAATACAATGATAAAGAAGTTAAGTGGTGGTGGGTGGGTATGGTAACAAACATCTGAAGAGGTGTGATCCTACACCCTGAATCATGTACAGAGTAGTAAATCTATGTTACCTCAATAATAAAGAAAGAAGGTACTATAGAGCAAAAGAGCATAGGAACAAGCAGGCACAAGTGATTCTAATCAGGATTCCTGCCACTAGACAGGCTGCTCACTATTCAAGCTAGAAGTGATGTTACAAGACCAAGCACCACAGACCACTAAGAAACACCACTAGAACAAAATCAAAGGCAAGAAAAATTCATCTCAGTAACGTGCCTGTTTCTGTTTGAGGAAAAGATGCTTTCCTTAAATCATACATTGGGAGACCTCCCTGGTGGCACAAGGGGTTAAGACACAGCACTATGAAGCTACCGGCAGCCACTGCAGCACAAGTATGATCCCCAGTCAGGGAGCTGACCCACATGGTGCAGCAGACCTCTCCTGTCTCGCCCACTGCTCCCCTCAGCAGTGTATGTCAGTCGATCTGCTTGTTCTGCTCCCCACTCTGTCTGTGGTGAATCCTCTCACCCCTCCCCCCACATCTGGCCTGTACCCCAGTTCTTGTACGCATAAATAAATAACTCTTTAAAAAAAATAAATCAGGGCCTCCCTGGTGGTGCAGTGGTTGAGCCCTGGGCTGCAAAGCTGCCTGCAGCCTCCGCAGCGCCAGTTCGATCCCCAGCCGCCAACGAGGGTCCCACATGATGAGGGTCCCACATGGCATGCAGACCTCTCCTGCCGTGCCCGGTGCTCCCCTCAGCAGTGTACTTCGTCAGTCTGCCTGTTCTGCTCCCTGCTCTGGCTCTGGTGAATTCTCGCACCCTCCCGCACTTCTGACTGTACCCAGTGCTTGTATAAATAAATAAACCTTTAAATATAAATATATATATATATATATATATATATATATATTGGAAGAGGCAAAAAAAATAAATTTCAATGGAAACAGATAAAAGAATGTCTTAATTTTGGACACAGACTGTATCAAACTCTAAATCCCCCCCAACCCCCACAGACAATCCCCCCTTGATCCTTAAACATTTTCTGTTATTTTAAATGGCACCATCATCAAGCCCAGCTCCTTTTTTCATTTTCCACCGTAAACTATCATTTTTGCTTTCAAAGTACTCCTTCAATCTATCCACTTCTTGTCACCCACAGGAGACACCACCACTGTTTCTTGTCTGGCCTACTACTTGACAGTAACCTTCTAACTTGCCTTGCATGCCACTTCTGTCCACACAAAGTAATCTCCACACTTTAAATGATCTTTATAAAATCTGGTATTGTCACTTCTCTCTTCAGAAACCTGTGTGTCTTCCCACTACACACAGGATTCTAAGACCAAAGTCCAAGTCATGGCCTCCAGGATGGGACTGAGCCGAGCTTTAATCAAACCACTTCCTACTACCCCTACCTGCACAGCACTCTTCACACCATATTTTGACCTTCTAATTCTTCAAATGAGACAATTTCATTGCCACTACCACCCCTGGGTCTCAGCACCTGCCGCTCCCTCTGTACACAACAACACTCTTTTATCCCAGTCTTCTCTGAATTAACTCCTGCTCATTCTTGAAAGCTCAACCCAAGTCTTTTCTTCAGGGAAGCCTTAAAGAACCCAACAGATCACCTCAGACTTCTCAGTAACATGCTCTCATGATGCTATACTATAACCACCTACTTTCAAATCTTTGTTGTTTACTAGATGTCTTACACTGGGCTACTTGCCTCTCATCTCCCTCAACCTTAAGTTTCCTCACCTGGAAAATGGAAATAATTTCTATTTAAGGAAACATTGTGAAGATTAAAAAACAAGCGGAATCATTAATATGAAAGTATCTGCTATCCGGAAAGTTCTGGATAAATAATCCCCTTTGTACTTTAGTCTCCGATGGTTCTCACACATTGAGTTAAGCATAGGTTTTCCCCAAGTCAGTCTTTTTATCAGCAATTTTTCTTTCCTGTTATACCCGATCTGTCTTCTGTAGTCCCACTGACTATACTATGCTAAGATAGCTGACATTCTCAGTTTGGGAATATCTCTTAGCTTCCTTATTGTCAAAATGTTCCCTCAACCAAGTATTCCTCAACTGTCACCACACTCCAGGAAGCCTTCAGTCACTCAACATATTGCAGGACAAAGTCTATGACATTCTACATAGATTCCTTCTTTTGAATTTCTGTGCATACCCATCTTATACCTGTATTTCCAGAGACTGTGCATAACCCTGAAAAACAAAGGAGATACTGTTCTTCAAACTTTGACCCAGAATAGAAGGCAGACCTCTAAAGGTGTGTACTATACCTGGAGCTATGTAGCCAGGAGCAGCTGTGGCCCCAACAAAAGCTCCCCTTGTTAGAGTTCCTCTTCCTCTGCCCCGGACAGCTTGGACTGCTGCGGACACAGCTGTGTTCACAACACCCTTTGCCTGTTAAAAATGTTGACACATTTTCATTACTGAGAGAAGAAAGAACTATTACCTTACATCCCTGTACAACTGCTACGAGAAATTTGGCCCGTAGATGAGACAATTGAGTTGTTCGTGATTTTGCTAAACTGTCAATTTACCATTTGGAAAGTGAAAAGGACAACTACTTTACATAGTTTTTCTGGAGAATATACTGAACATATAAAAGGAGGCAAGTAATTCTTTTCATTTTAGAGTTACCCAAAAAGGGTTAATTTGTTATATATAAATTTCAGGAGTTAAATTACATCCAAAGTCATTTTAGGTCTGACTGAAGTAATTATAGACACTTTAAGCCCAAGTCAAAATCCACGAATTCTCCACCCACAGACAAAGTCACTGCAACAATAAACCAGCCAGAATCAGCTGTGTACCTGAGTAGAGTTAAAAAAGAGTATGACAAGAAAACCAAAGATGTGGGTGCCAGTTACTGCTCTAAGTAACTGAGACTTCAGGAAGATCATGTGACTTTTCTGAACCTGCTTCTTCTTCTGTGTTTATGCATATCAATTACTAAACGAATAAACACCATCTCTATATTATTGCTTGAAAACATCATGGGACTCTGGTAATGTCACATCATCTCTCCCTATAGGAGTCTCTCCATTAATTGTAAAATGATAATTAGGAGCCTACATTGTTCCCCTTATTTTTGGAGTAGAAAGAGAAACTGAGAAAACAGATATAAAAATCCAAAAAGTTGAAATAAGTTAATAGTAAACACAACTTCAACATCCTTTCCAAATCTGGAAATCCAAATTCAAAATTTTAAGAAAATCAAAAGACTATCTAGTTTCAAAGTAAGTACCACACTTATTTTCTTAATATAAGATACAACAAAAACTCCAGCCAGAAACTATTAAAATTTTCTAAGAAAAAAACCAAGGTGTAAGGAAGGAGGCGCAGAGCCTCAAGCTCAATGTCCAGTAAAGCAAACAATTCCTCAGACAGCTCCAATCTAGCACAAACACATTTATCTCACACTGGAAAATCATCTTTTCTTCCTCCTAGGAAAGCCTGCATGGCTACTAGTATGACTGCGGAGAAGACAGTTTCAAGGCTGAAAGTATCATGCACAGGGATAGTGCCATTTTTCCTTTGGACTGAAAAAAATCTAACCCACACATCTGAAATAGACTGCTTCCTGGGTGTCAAGCACATGAACATGAGTTTTATAATTTCCAATATGGAACATTTCTAAAAATGAGTGGACCTCATGCACACACTTTTTTTTAACACAGCTTAGTCAAAGTAGTCAGGAAGCAACAACCTGGCAGCAGCAGAGACTGAACACAAGCCACGTCCACGTCTATTAGAACCAAGCTGACCTAGCAAGTACCTCACACACCCCTTTAAGACACAAAAATTAACTGACCAAACACAAAATGTAGACAATGGAAAACACACACACAAAACAAACAAGATAACAATTATCTCTATAATAATTTAGAAGATATTGGGACCTCCCTGATGGAGCAAGGGGTTAAGTTTCAGCACTGTGAAGTTATCCGCAGCCTCTGCAGCCTGAGTTCGATCCCCAGCCAGCCAGGGTGCTGACCCACATGGCGCAGCAGACCTCTCCTGTCTCACCCGCTGCTCCCCTCAGCAGTGTATTTCAGTCAATCTGCCTGTTCTGTTCCCGGCTCTGTCTCTGGTGAATCCTCTCACCACCATTCCCCACATCTCTGGCCTATACCCCAACTCTTGTATGCATAAATAATCTTTTAAAAAAATTAGAAGATATCATGGCAGGAAAGGAAAATCTACTAATTCTCTTTTTACATTGTACCACTACAGTTTAAACACTTCTATTAATATCTCGGTAAAAGTTAACTTTCCTTCTTGATATTTTGAATCTCAGAATTTAAACAGTATGGTAAGTACAAGAAGTTTAACTGAACCCAAAACAAATTTCTAAGATGGATATAATGGGCAATGATAGAGCACCCTTGGTCTCTGGCAGGAAAAAAACCTGGTTTTTCAAAGACAACCTCTACCATCCAGCATTCATGTTACTACACGCAGCATCGTAATGCCTTTGGGCCGCATTACCTCAGCTATAAAATGAGATAAACTCTATCCTCCTATAATGGACTTATATGTTAAAGAAACTAAACAAACTGTTTAACACAAAATCTTAAATAATCTACACTTCCTTCTATTAGTCTAACATTTCAGGGTTTTTTTTTTTTTAGATTTATTTATTTATGCATATAAGAACTGGGGTACAGGCGAGAGGTGTTGGGGGTGAGAGGATTCACCAGAGACAGAGTTGAATAGATCAGGCAGATCAACTGAAATACACTGCTGAGGGGAGCAGTGGGAGAGACAGGAGAGCTGTACCATGTGGGTCACCTCTCCTTGGCCGGGGATAGAACTCATGCTGCACTGGTTGCGGATACCTTCATAATGCTGCGTCTTACTTAACTCCTTGCACCATCAGGGAGGCCCCCTAGTCTAACATTTTTAATTGATTTGTCTCTGTCATATAATATACTCAGACATTACTACACTGGTTTTATATTTACTTATATATCTCTTTTTCTCTCAAAATCATGCACATGGTTTACATCTAGAAAATATTTTGAATGGACTTAGGAGGCTATCTTTTCTAAATACCTTACTACAATCCTGGGTTTTCAGCAGCACCGACATTTTCAGTATCAGTAATGAACAGACAAGCAATACAGAGTCATGCTCTACTGTGTACCCCCAAAGGAAAACCAAAATAAATAATGCAAAAGGACAAACCTGGAAAGGAAATGGAAGAGCATCTGCAAATCTGATAAAAGTAAGCCATAAGTGCCCTTGGCAGCTTCCCTAAACTAAACAAAGGCTAATATCTCATTAAAGTGCAAATTCCTCAACACTCTACATCAAGAATAAACTAAAACACTGCTAACAGCCTCGTTTAGTAGAATATATAATTTGCCTACAAAGACCACAGAACAGAGAACCACTGATCATATATTATTCACAACCTAATCCAAAGATAAGATTGTCAAATCCAAGAAAAAGAAATAACTTCAGGAAAAACTACAGTAACAGAAAGACAAATTAAAGGAAAATTAATTCTAGTAATAATTTTCAAAGGTATCACAAAGGTTTAATGTTTAACTCATACCTGAGGAATAATCTTCTTTTTCTTATTATTTGCTGCATTGGGTCCAGAAAACAGCTTCTCCAGGGCAGCTAAAGCTGCACTTGCCTTTGCCACTTTCTTATTTGGACCTGCACCTCTGAATTTCTGTCCATCTACTTCTACCTAAAATCAAGAATAATACTCTGCAATTATCTCAAGCAATTTCTCTACATAGCTTTCATTTAAATGTATTTTAGCACAGAAGACAGCAAAAGTCAAATAATACCAGAAGAACTGACTCAGTCTCTATGTTTACACATATGTAAACTGTTTACATGAAGCTCAGGATACCCTATGTCAGTGAAGGAAAAAAACATGGTTGGTTTGTATCTCAGTACATACCTCCATCACAAAGCGCTTGTCGTGGCTTCCACCAGTCTCAGAGATGAGTTCATACTTAAGACCTCTTCTTTTTTCATTGAGCTCCATTACAGGATTTTTGCCACTTGCTGTGAGGATAGGACCCTGAGTTCTTACCTGAGAAGAGGTTCAATCAAGTAAGATTTTAGGGCATTAAATTTCTTATTAGTATAAGTACATAATGTCTCTAATGAAAAGGAGGCTCAAAAATTGTACTTTAAAGCAGTAAGGAGCTAGGATGTATGATCACCTCTAAATATGAAGGACAAAATACCTTCAAAGACATGGACACTCCATAAGCACTAACTACTGAAGTCATTATCTGGCCAGCCTGCCTTTGAAGCAGAGCTGTTCATACAGTGTGGTATTTAAGAGCAATATGGCCTTGCCATTACATGGCTCTCTAGGTTCTAATCTGTGGCATTTGTTCATGATCTAAGAATAGTACCCTAAATCACAAACAAAGTGGGCAGAACAGTTGAGATTCACATAATACCTGAGAGCTCACTGTTTTTCATCTTTAGGGCTAAGAAGAAATAATGCAACTAGGGAGATAGGAGAAAAATATTCTTAGGCACCTCTCAACCTCCCTTGAAGGATTCTGGAATTTACAAATAACAATAAAAGCAGTTATTTCCTGCCCACAGGAGCTAGACTATAGTGGAAGGGACAGATATAATCACTATAAAACAATGTCTGTCATACAACAGATAGATGTTACGGAAACATAGCAAAAGAAATCATTTTTTAGGGCAATTAGGGTAGCTTTCCTGGAAATGAAATGCAAATCTGACCTGAAAAGGTACACAGCAAACAAACCTCAGAGGGAACCTGAGGAGACAGGCATTCCGGACAAAAGAAGAAGTCATGCAAAGGCCCCAAAGAAGGAAAGAATGTTTCTTTTGGAAACCAGAAGTTCAGTTTTACTATATAAGGGAGTGAGGAGAGGAAGTCAGGACCTGACAAGAAACACCCTTGTTGGGGCCATATCCCATGCAAATGAGCTTCCTTTATCATGGGCAACCAGGAGCCACTGAAATCCTTGAATCTGGAAAAATTAATGATTAGATTTGTATTGTAGAAAAATCACTCTAGAAGTGGTAGTGATTTGAGGAAAGACAAGGGAGAGAGAAGAAAAGTAATTCATATAAGACTATGAAGACTCAAATGAAGAGAGACAAGCACCAAAAATAAAACAAGCCACAAAATAAATTTTGAGAGATAGCCAAAGATTGAGGATCTTGAGGTTAGAGATCACGTCTATAATTCTGCTATTGCTCAAGCAAACATAACTGCTCAAGAAATGCTGTACAAAGAATGCCCAAAAGAATCATATATTTTATACATTATATGTGTGTACATACATATGTACAATTTTTTATATATTATGTGTGTGTGTGTGTATATATATATGTACAATATTGGGTTATCAGAAAAGTCATGAAGCATTTTTGCTTGAAAAACATAGAAAAAATATGTCATGACTTTTCTGACAATCCAATATTAGATAAATATAACAGACAGCAAAGATTCTTCTGGTAAAGTACTCTGGTTTGGAAAGTGGGTGATAGCGTAGAAATGAAACTCACTGTACAATTTTTGAAGTTGAATAACCATTCCTGGGTCTCATGCAATAAATATCACTTTTTGAAGAGTTTTTATTATCAACATTTTTAAAATTTCAAGGCAAATTTCCAGTCTCCATCTTTAAAAGTTAATGAGTAATTTTTGAAATTAGGTATATGGTAATTACATTCTGCTCTCCAAATATGAAATTGCTTTTATAAAAATAAGTCAAGACAAAATATTTGCATTTCTGAACACTTACTACCATTTTAAATGAAAAATAAAGCTCTCTCCAATTACTACATTATACAAAAACAAAACAGAGATGCATTCACTATCATAGCTATCAGTGTAATTCACATTACTCTCCCCTTCCTAATGCCCTTTGACCTTTAATAGTCGGAGCCTCATAACTACAGAGCTCCTTCGTCTACACTACCAGCAAAACATTTTGTCCTGCCTGTGACAACCACTAGTGAATGACTTGTCCTTTCAAACGCCAGGTGCCAAGTCTTCTATCCTCCACAGTAGTACATGAAGAGACAAACAGCTTTCACAGGCCTTCACACCCATCTGTTCCCTCAAGGCTTGCCTACATGCACTTCTCAAACATTTATTTTCACAAGTCCAGGTCTCTATACCTCCTATTTCTTTGGCCCACAATGCCTTCTTTCCAACTCTTCCCTACATAGCAAAATCCTACTTGTATCTAAAACCTAGCTCACAATTTACTCCCTTTGATTTTGCATGTAAGTTTTACAATCAATTGAAATTTTACATTATTAGATTCATTTGTCAATCACACTACTTATCATATTACACTACAATTAGTTACGACCATTTCTTTCATGCTTCTAGCCTGAAAGCAAGTTGAGGCTCTGTATACAATTTCTGCTGCTGTTGGTAGTAAACAGGTACTAAAAGGGGTTTATGGACTGGGGGAAAAAAAAAAAGAGAGAGCACCCACTAAGTCTTTAATAAATATTCATTCTTACAAGTGACAATATAAATATATATACACTTATGTATTTATGCGAGGTCTTCTGTTAAAGTCAATTCTCCTTGCGTAGAATGCAATATAAAGGACTCCGTGAATTCGCAAATACATTGTATACGTTCAGCATTTGGATCTTGTCCCACTCTGTTATGTGTGACACTACGCTCAGAGGTAAGGACTTACAGGGAGTCTAAGGAACATCCTAGGTCAAGCTTTACCTTTCTCAGGGTTGAGCAATCCAACGATGACCCACTGCCCCCACAGCTTCACATAAACTTGAAATAATCCTAGATTTTCTCCACTAGACCTTTTGACTTTCACTCTTCACTCACTGTTGACACTCTTATTATAATTATGAAATACTGGAAGTAACTTCCAAGACCAGGAAAAAGGGACACTAGTTAAATTAGATTATAGTCACATGTTGTACAATATACAGGTGCTTATGGACTTTTTTTTTAGAATTAAGTGAAAAAAAGAAAAAAATTACATGATCGCTTCTCGGCCTTTTGGCTAAGATCAAGTGTAGAAAAAAATTACATGAAAATATGATTGGCATCATAAAAATACTCATAAAAAAAGATATATGGAGGGGCATCCCTGGTGGTGCACCTGGTGGTGCAGGCAGTTGAGCGCCGCACTGTGAAGCTGTCCACAGCCTCTGCAGTGCGGGTTCGATCCCAGCCAGCCTGCAAGAATCCCACATGGCACGGCAGACCTCTCCTGTCTTGCCCGCTGCTCCCCTCAGCAGTGTATTTCTGTCATCTACCTGTTCTGTTCCCTGCTCTGTCTCTGGTGAATCCTCTTACCCTCCCGCACATCTGGCCTGTACCCCAGCTCTTGTATGGAAGTAAGCCAAAACATTAGTAATGGCTGCCTCTAGAAAATACATAGTTGTATATGCTTTACACGTTCTCATTTATACTTTTCTTTCAAATTTTCTACAATGAACACATTACTTTTTCCTAAGGAGAGAGACATAGAAGTATACCTCTAAGGTACTGGAGGTTTCAGTTGTAGAATTTCCAGTATTATTGCTTGAGTTTGAAGACACTGTTTCACTTTTGCCTTCATTGTCTGATTTTTCATCGGAACTCATACATTCAATATCTGCATCGAAGCCTGTTGGGTAGCCCATTGCCTGCAACACCTGTAGCAAATTACATCGGGATACACTTTATTCAAACACCAGAGACCACAAAAAAAAAAAATAGATGAAATATCGAGGATAACCAAATCCTTGGGTAAACAAGTTTTATACCAGAGCATCACCATGGAAATGAGGACAACATCCTCCAAAATAGTTAGGTTTCATATAATTCAGGAATGTAAACTTGATGTTACTCCTGGTTCATTTAATTTGGAGGTGAGAAATAAAAATTCAAGTTCAACCAAGAGATGAGGGGGAAAGTGAAAGAACACTGTAAAAAATATGCTGGACTAGAAAGGAAAAACTAAGGGCCTTAATTATCTACATTTCTCGTCTGACAATTTTCCAATTATAAAACAGGAAAACAGATTAGTTGACCTCTAAATTCTATGGCTCAGTCCTCTAGGATTGAAATGAAATCAAGTTTTCATTTTAACCTTTGAACCAATTTGCCTATTAATTTACAAAATAACATCTCACGCTATCCACCTCTGCCTTAACTGAAACCATCAAGACTTGAAAAAAGACTGTCTAGGTTATTTTCAACACATAATAACCCAGGAACAGTTTGAGGTTTATATTTCCATCCCTGTCTCTCAAGACCTAGTTAGTTTATAGCTACCTCCAATTGTTCAATTTTGTATTTCCATTCAATGACTGGCGTTTTTTTTACATAAAGCATTCAGTGTGTATGTACGTGTCTATGTACATGGGCACACTTGCAAACATTCATTTAAAACCTCTTTCCAGGTAATACTCTGCTTTAGATGTCCACAACACAATACGTTCACTAGCATTTTTATAACCCTCTTTCAAACAGGTTGCCATTCAATTGTCAGTTACCAATCTAGAGGGTTATATCAGAAGATAGTTTCCTAATGAACCCTGTATCTCTTTCAGCTTTTGATTAAGTTGCTGAGGTGTAAAAGCAACATCTTATCTCTTAACACTCCCAACTGCACCAAGTAGGTATCTAATAAAAATATTACAGTAGCCACACAATGACAAGCCAGGCAAGGCAACCCTACCTTCATAAAGAATGGCACCTTGAATAAGGATTCTGCCAGTGTAAATAAAATAGTATTACTCTTAACAACAACAACAAAAAAAAATGTTCAAAAAAAACTTGAAATGAATTCACCCAGTTCATATGGAGAATCTGGTATCCTGCTGAACATTTCAAATCATAAATTCCAGTGTTTATGGGGAATAAAGCCAAGAACGCTTTTTAAACATCTACAGTTCTCAAAGTGCTCAGGTAGTGTTTTACACATACTAACATCATTTGGTTATATCCCTGTCAATATTTCATGAAGAAAATACATTCTCCACCACTTGAGTCCTATAAATATGATCTCCATGACAAATCTCAGGTTTGAGAGAAGCGCTATCAGTCTGGAATTAACATAGCTAACACAGCAAGTTGAGAGAGTCACAAATAAGAGACGAGTCACGGGTAAATCTGATTTGTTTATTCTAATAAAAATTAAGGCCTCTGGGCAGCTTTAAGGTAGTTAAAACAGTCTTCTGTGAGTTATCTTTTTTTAACCTTCTCTCTGCCCTTTTCTCACTAATCAGGTTCATGTATTTGTTATTGCAGCAAACATTTCAACGTATTTGTAAATTATGTAACTGATGAAAAATCATAGGGCTATAGTGTACAAATGGTATAACAAACAAAAATCTCAAAGTCATTTTCTAAAGATAAATCCCAGGGCTCTTAACTAACATGTACTACAAAGTAAAAATAAAAGTATGGAGCTATCTGGATATCTCAGATATCTGGAACAAAAGCATGTTTGGAATCAATGTTAAGGGCAAAAAACTGATATACCACAGAAATATGAGTTTTCAAGTATCTGGCAAACACAGCAAATGTAATAAGCACATCAATGGAGCTGGAAAAAAAAAAAAACAGTAATTCCGAAGAACAAGAAACCAATGTAACTATGCCTTTTTTCTCCTAGAAAAGTGTTGAGACTAAGGAAGATGATATCGTCAAAGATTGAAGGTCAAGGCTGAGTGAAAAGCAAGCACTTAAAAACACATTTTACCCCATGGAGCTCCACTCAAAAGTAGTATTCACAGGTTTTGTATGATAGAGGTCTGACAGCTTCAAGAACCTTGCCAAAGAGCCTGACTCCTGGTCACCTTCTAGCGGACTAGCTGACAATGACTAAGATTCTTTTCATGGAATATGCCTGATTATGTCTGTAAAGATGTCCTTGGTAGGAGACTATCAGGAAAAAAGACTAGAAGAAAAAGGGAAGTGTAGCCACTGTCTTGTTTCGTTTTGATTTGATTCACTGGTGATTTGTCTGAATAGGTACAGACCCCTACACCAAGCCGCTACTAAGAAAGGAATGCAAGGAATTTTATCTACTGAGTCCTACTTTCTTAAACATGTTGGCTATAAAACTCTCAAATTCATTTGTAAACAGAACTTACAACATGTAGTGTGACCCTTATGGATGGCAATTTGGCAATATACCCCTGGTTTATCATAGGAACATCAATACATATTTAATGAATTAATGGATCATCCAAATATGCTTGAATCTAGTAATTCAATTCTTGATCTAGTAATTCCAACTACAGAATCTATTTTAGGGGATAATCACACAATTTTAAAGAGATATAAAGCAATTAACTGCAAACATCTACTTCTTAAAAGCATTAATTACATTATGATAAACTGATAATGAAATTAGGCCATCACTAAAAATGAGGGCAATCTTTGTGACAACTAGAAAAATAACTTCTATTTTTATATGAATAAAGAAAACATGATCTTATTTTAAGTTTATCTTTCATATACATATTATGTTGGTCTCACCATTCCTTACCTGAAACCCTCGGGGACCAGACTATTTTGAGAAAACTAAAACAATACATTTGCCATGTATTTTCCAAATTCCCAGTGAATTCTCAGGTCCTACCTTAAGTGTATACAAAAAATTTATAAAATACTCACACAAACTGGAGTAATAAATACTAAAAATAGATCCACATCAAGTTAGGTTTCCCCCTCAAAATGAATTTGCATCAAACATAGGGGGAAACTTTTTTTTCAGTGCTTTTTTGATTTTGGAGTTGCAGGTTTACAAAATAAGGCTTGGAAAAATGCACACTAAGGTATTAATTGTAACAGCCATTACCATTGAATTACCATAAGTTACAAATAGAATCTAAATCCTGTCATATTGCAAATTATTCCACTCTACTGACTTTCCCAAACTTTACTACATTACAAATTCGAGATGAGGCCACAAATTTATATTAAGGTTTGTTATTTAAAAAACCCACAGACTGTGTCATTGCATCACAAAAGCCTTTAAAATACATTACTGCTATGCCTTTTAATGAGACCTAGCCAATAAGAATGCCTACCTGATCTTCATATCAAAACAACTGTGACTCTCTGTCTGTCACAGCAATGAATTGTTATTTCAATAGTTATGCATTAGATCTAAATTTGTAACTCATTCTCAGCATACAGTATAACAAAGAACTGCCTTTTTTTGGTAAATCTTAATTATTGAGGAATTTGGCGCCCTCTTTTTTTTGGTTTTACAATTTATTTTCTCACATCATTGTTCACTTTTGCGCCGTATTTGACTTCTCCCCTAAGGTTTTGTCTAAGAACTGTATCTTTAGTCTTACTGTTTTTTCCCTCCTCATTCTTGGTTTTCTTTTCCTACCTTATTTTAAACTCATACTATGTCATCATATTTGAAGTACTCCTTTTGTAAACAAGGCAGAACATAATATACTGCCTTATATTTTTAAAGCTTAGTTATTATTTTTCTGCATTGTTCTTATTACTGACCCACATATAATTTATTCATCTGTAGATTTCTTGTCTGTCTCCCCATCTTATCCACACTAGAATGCTTCAGGAGAGCAAGGAATTCATTTTGTTTACTGCTATATTTTAGCATTGGGGATAATGTTTGCACCTATAATATTTGTAAAGTGGAATGAAAGTGAAAACAGGCGAACTGTAGCTTATGCCATATTGTTACATACAAAACATTTTTCAAGTCACAACTAATGTTCAGTCTGTATGATCTCTGTAATTTCATATTAGTCTATAAGATGTCAAATGTCCTCCGAGAGATTCCAATATTTAGGAGTTTTCTACAAATGTACATGCATGATTAATTGGTTCTAACTTGGAGCTTATTCCCTAAGAAAAATCAGAGGATGAAACTATATATACACCGTGAGTTCAAACCTAAAAAACGAAGCAAAAAAATGACTAGAAGTAAATAAACCAACATAGATGTAAATATCAATACTCTTACAGATAGGCTTTTGAAATTTTAAAAATGTCTTTATTTTTTGTGTGCTTTCTAAATTTTGTATAATATATATTATTTTATCGCCATAAAAGAAAAATTTTGTGATCCAGGGGTGACTAAAGTCTATATATTATTATCTTTAAAAATCTTGAAAACTCCTTTTTACTACAGGAAAATAAGCACCTATTTGTAATACAAAATAACAAAGCACTAATAAAATTAAGTAAAATATATACTGTACCTTCACTGCTACATGAAGTTTTGCTGTTTTCTTGGATGGTCCTGAGGCTTCATAGGTTGTACCATCCACATCTACAGACATTGTGAAGACTGGGGCATGGACAGGGCCAGACTGAGATAAGAGCTTATACTGAAGTCCAGGCCTGATCTGATTTAGTCTCATTAGTGCATTCATAAGGTCTATTGCTTTACTATCTAAAACTGTTAAAAAAAGAGAAATGAGAACAGAAATTAGACCATTGCACTTTAAACCTTTGGATCTGTAAGTTCCAAGTAACCACTATAAATTCACCAGGTTTTAAAAACAATTTCAAATCACATATACAAATTAACTTTACTTCATAATTAAATAATCACTTCTAATTTATGCTAACATGACTGCAAAAGTATTATGATTACTGTATTAATTTTAGTTTGTCAATATTAATTATCATAAGCAGTGAAGTTTGAAAACAAAAGAAAGCTCTTCGATCACTGACTCCTTGGTTAATATCTACTCTTAAAAACCCATTTGAAATCAAATTCTTCACTTTGTAATTTTTATTTTCCTGTCTGAGACTATAAATTGTTTCCAGTTCACCTCTAAAAGAATAAAGATTTTACATACTTTTCCTTAAGTTTCGCTTCATCTTTTTATTGGGATCCTTATCATCACCTAATCCATCTTCAAATGGCCTCTTCAGAGCTGAAGACCCAGGACCTAAAAATAATTATGAAACATTCATTATCAGTCAAAACAATGATGATTCTTAGTCTATCAAGTATATTTAGTATGTTCAGGAAGGAAAATCTCAGCAATCACAAAAACCATAGGACTCTTTCATTGATCAGCACCATATTTAGAATCTTGTAAGAGCAAATATTTTAAAGGGAATCTTCCTTAAAATAATTATCCCCTTTTTATGAATATTTACCTTCTTGTATATTCATACATTTATATATGCAAATACTCACATCTGCATATGCATGAACAGAAAAGGAACTGGAAAGATACCAAAACGTTAAAGTTTATCCCTGGTAGTAAGATTTATTTTCACTTATGTATTTTTCAATATTTCTATGAAGGGTTTCTATGGTATCTAAATATAAAGTGATCTTGTGTCACTGCCTATTTCATATATAGAGCTTGTGTTTCCTTAGTCCTCAATGAAATTCAAAGACATTTCCTTCTTATGTCTTATAAACTATCTAACCCAAGGCTTAGAAATAACATAACTGGTATGGAACAAAAAACTAACTGAACTGACATTAATCAATTTCTTTAATAAAACAGATAGTTAATAATCCTGGAAGGCCTAAGACAAGAGTTTTGGCTATCCAAGTTAAAAACAAAGAAAATAAAAGCTTATCACCTGCCTAAGAACTTTATAGAACTCTGTCCTCAACTTAAAAAAAGGCTATTGGATTTTTCTTCAAGGAAAAGTTATGCTTAAGAGATTCAAGCCATAAGATTTCCAGATACTTTTAGTGAAACTCTGCAATAATACTGAGATTTAACTATATAGTCTCTGATCATCAAGATTTATTGCCCCTTGGGGTAAACACTGACTTCAGCATTTGCTTGAATCAATACTCACTACTCAGGTCAATCAATTTTGATGCTCTCTTCAACAGAAGGCAGTAATAGCTTATACCTACTTAGTTATTATGTTTCATTTGCATTCCATAAAACCACAGTGTGCCTATCTTCCAGAATACAGTCTTTAGAAGACAAAAGTTTAAAAGAAACAATGTCAATCACTCTTCAATCAGTAAGTTACATTAAAGATTGCCTGGAAATCATAAGCTGGCTTAAATGCGTAGATCTGTTCTTTAAATCCTCCAGCCACATGAGTAGAGTTTAATGGATTAAGATTTAGTCTTTCATCCCAGCTATTAGAAAAGGGTTGTAAAATCTGTGTCTAATCATAACACTAATTTAGGGGGAAAACAGGCTTGTTTGGAAAAAAGCAAGTAGTTCTCAACCTCCACAAGATCCAAAAATGAGAAGTGATCATTTGAGAGGCAAACATTTTTTTAAATAATATGTGATTTGTTTACTATATGCTTGTAACTTTTCTTAATAGTGTATATATGTTAATGTATGTAATCCTCACAACTACCCTAGGATGCCTGAGCTTTGATCATTCTCATAATTTCATCCACATATTCATTTAGCAACAAATACTGAGTATTTTCTATGTACAGGACAATTCTAAGTGCTGGAAATGTAACAGAAAATGAAACAATGTTTCTGTTCTCAAAGAGCTTATGTATGGTAGTAGAAACCTATTATAACATGTTACGTGGTTATGAGCACAGTGGAGAAAAATAAGAGGCTTAAAGGGGAGAGGGTGCTGCTATTTTGTAAGTGGCGCTCATCAGAGAAGTCAGAAGGGTATCACTGATAATGTGACCTTTGATGAAGACCTAAGGAAAGTTAGAGGGAGCTATTCAACTATTTATGGAAAGATACCCAGGCAGACAAAAGAGCAAGTACAGAGATCTCAAGGCAGGAAGATGCTCAGAAACAACATGAACACCAGAGTGGTTGAGGAGGCATGAACTAGGAGGGGATGGAAGTAATTGATGAAGAGAGTCAGATGATATTAAAAGGCAGTAGTCCTCAATCTTAGCTGCCACTACTTCAATAGAGAAAGTTTTACAAAATAAAATGGAGGCTCCACCTCCAGTATGGGAAAGTAATTAAAATATTCTCCTAACAAGAGCAATTTAGAAAAGCTTGATAAAATGTAGAATGAATACCTATTCCTGAAAAATAAAGAATTATGAACTTATATAGTCAGCATCTGGGAGGTGAAGGAAGCCCTGCATTGGGGGCCACATTACCCCTAAGGGAATTTGACAAAATCCAAAAGCCCCCACTCAGTACTGAACCTCTAAAGTACTTTAACAGACACTCAGGTATCAGGTGTCAAAAACCAAAGCTTGAAGACTATTCAGAAGGGAAGGCCTGACAAGACCACCTACACTGAGTTAGGCCCCTGCAATGCCACATACGAGAAGCAGCAGCAGGAATATTCAGGATCTTAAAAGGACTGAAGACCAGCTTCAAATCTTACCCCTTGATTGCACTGAGATGATCTAGGATTGATGACTCTACCAGCCATCTTCCAGAAACAAATGTAAATCCTCTCTAGAGAAGATATCATTACTCTAGACTTTTAATTCTCTACACTTTTCCATTTTAAATCTTCAGCATTCATAATAACCAGGCACATGAGATGACAAGATACTGTGATCAAAAATCAAGGGAAGGACCAGACAATCAGAAACAGACCAACAGGTCTGTTTATAATAGGTCCAAAATAATGGCATTTTCAAAAACCAAACTTTATTAAAGAATGAGTAGGCTGCCTGCCTGTAACGATGCAGGCAAGCATAGTTTTCTTTCTCTTTTTCCTAATAAACCTGTCCTTTCACAATGTAAAAAAATGATTAGAATATTTAAAAAGAAGGAAAAAGGAATAATATTATTTCTAGTAGGAAAATCTGAAACTATATAACAGCCAAAATTCTAGAAATGAAAAATAAAAAGACCTGCAAGGGAAGGTAGCCAATCTCAAAGTATAAAACCAAGTAAGTAACTGGATCCCAGTTACACTGACTCCAAAGTCTGTGTTCTTGCTGCTGAAACACTAACCAAGTTCAGACAGACTAGTACAAATAGAAGAGTGTTCTGAATTTTTTGACACACTTTTCTCCTCCTCTGTATTTCTGCTTTCTTGGTTATACAGTATTTCCAAGGATGCCAAATATCATCAAACTAATCAATGACAGTGATAATATCTCCTTCTAGCTTATGGCTTTCCTCTTTTCTTTAAACCAAGAGTTCTCAAAGTATGTTCCCTAAGTCTATGAAGTAATGGAATCTGGCCAATGGAGCCATATAAGTTCATCACTAATAAGAACAAGTAAGAGTAGGCTGATGTCACAGATGGAACAGAAGAGAAAAAAGTTAGGAAGAAAAGCAATAAATGTTCTCATACATGAACTGGATTAACAATTATTATGTTCCCTCAGCTCTAGCAAGAGTTGCAGCCCATGACCTTCTCCACCATTGCCCATTTCCAACGCCAATAAAGAACTTTTTCACTCACCTTCTTTATCAGTAACTGACCAGGAATATTTCTGAAAAGGCTTACTAGATGGAAGGGGGTCCATCTCCAGCACTTTATAAATCTGGCCAAAGGCTGATAGCCTCAGTGCATGCTAAAGAATAAAAGATTACATTTATTCAAAATTCAACGGGCATTCATAAAGTCCTTAAAAATCTTGCTAAAAAAAAAAATTGATTATAATCTGAAATTATAATGGCAAAACTTCCCAGCAACAGGCAAGATAATGTGTTTAAACAGAACAATTCAGAAAACAAAGTTAATGATAGTCTTTTAATAGATCACAGTGATATGCCCCAATCTACCTGCGCACTGTGGGTAATATCTTCTTTTTGCTGGATGGTCATGTAACTCAGAGCATCTGTTGGGTCTCGCTCACAAGGATCATGAAGACCAGGACCCCCTATGGCAAAGGCAAAAGAGAACCACAGGAACTATTTAGAACAGAGTTCAGAATTCAACAGACTAATGCTGCGGGGGGGGGGGGGGGGGGGAGTCGGGGGTTGGGGGCAGAGTAGGTTAAAAATCTGCTCAATTAAAAGGAATAAAAAGGACAGGCTGTCGTTTTCAATGCTGACACTTAATTGTCCTTTTCTGACTGGAAGTAACTTGTATATCTAAGGCCAAATTGTGCCTTACTCTGGGAATTTAGAAATAGCATGATGAATTATCCCCAAATCTTTAAGGGAATAACATATTTAATTACATAGTAAATACTTCCAAATTAAATGACAAACTACAATTAGAATGAACTTCAAACATTTCAAGCAAACATCTACATATTCAAATTCAGAGCTTAAGGTAAAGGAAATTTGTAGCAGACACAATAACTTATTAGTACCTTTTATGTTAGTACATACAAAACAAATTATAATGATTGAAAGAGTTTAAAGTAGTTTTCCAACATTCAAACATTCTAGTTGCTAAAATTCCAAGCAAAACAAACTCCTATGCATCATTTTCCTGTGCAGCGCACAGATTTAGCATATATTTAGAAAAATAAACTGAGATTTTTCTGATTCTTTTGCCTGTAGACTTTGAAACCCTTACCAGGAAGTAGTATTCCAGATGCCAAACACTCCATTACTCGTCTCAAGGCCTCCCCAGCGCCCAAAGGTCTATTACAAGTACCTATAGACTTTTCACATATAAGCTCTAGTGGCTAGAAGATATTAAATTACAAATTAGTACATGCACCAAGTGTTAAAAGGATTCCAGTTAAATGTGAGCTGACATTTCTATCTACAACAGAGTCCAAACAGGTGAACATCAATTTAACATTTAGGTCCCAATTACTTTTCTCATTGATAATCAACTTTTACTTGTCAGAGTTTTTAGATCAACTGTTTCTGAGATAAGATATTGAAATTACTTCGCTTCAAAAACTTTATTTTTCCATTATCCTGAAAGGAATGCCTAAGAATATGTGGTCATCTAATTGATTTAAGAAAGATTTAATAAGCCTTTATGTAAGTTAGTAATAACTAATTAATAGTCAAACCCTACCCACCTATCTCCCACTTAACATAGGCAGCTCTCAAACCACAATAAGACTTCATTTCAGAAAGCCTGCTCCAAGTCTACAATCAGAATAACTGAAGGACCCAATCTCCATATTGAATGAACTAAAAACTCATGATACTTTTTCAAAAAAGTAACTGTTATGTTCGTTTGAAAATGGCCCCTTTCAACGCTACTTGTTTTCTAATGTTCTTGTGTAGTCTGGATTGAATCAGGCATAATAATTTTCAAATTCAACAAGTTTTGCAATATAAACTATGTCCATGATTGGGTACTATTTGCTTAATTACTGAAATGAACTTGGTTTTCAGTGTCTACACTCAAGGAGGAAAAAAGTGGGTATGGGAGTCTTTTGTCGGTATATCAGATAATTTTTATTTTAATGAAAGTAGCACTGAAATGAGCTTTCATTGGCAGTAGGTGAAAAGCGCACCAGTGCAGAAAAAAAGTACAGGAAGATGTACACTTCTAACAGGTACAGAGCCTTTTTGTCAGAAAAATATCTCAGTTGTAACACGAATATGATGAGGTAAATGAGACAGGCTATATGCATTAAAAAAATTCATATAAAAAGTACATTATTTTTTTCAGAGCTCTTTGCAAGGGTAATAGACGTGTAGTTGCGCCAGCCGCTGCAGTGGTCGCAATTCTCTTCAACTTCAAGGTGTTTCCCTTGGCCAAAAAAGCACTAAGTCATCTCCAAGTTCGAAACATTCAGCAAATGATGGCAAGACAGAGCCACCAGAAACGGACACCTGATTTCCATGACAAATATGGTAATGCAGTATTAGCTAGTGGAGCTGCTTTTTGTGTTGCTGTGTGGACATATACAGCAACACAAACTGGAGTAGAATGGAACCTGTCCCCTGTTGTCAGAGTCACCCCAAAGGAATGGAGAGATCAGTAATCATCCCAGCCGGTGTAACACTGAATTGTTTCAAAATCAACTTATAATTGATGCCAAGTAAAAATACTGTATCCCTTAAAATATGGCATTACTAAGGAAATAAAGTACATTTGAAACTTAAAAAAAAAAAAGTACATAATTTTTCCATAACAAAAATAAATGCACACCTTATCTAGCTCAGAATATAGCTATTTTACAGTAACATGTAATTTCTACAGAATTTTATCTGACTATATAGCTTCAGAATTTGCTTTTAATCATGTTTAAGTACTTACCCATCCTTTTAATGGTGCCCACGTAGGGACTCTGTTGCACAAATCACGCAGAATGCGGAGGACAATTACACATGATTTTAATCCATTTGCCCTTGCCTAAAACAAACAAAATGATTCCAATACTCCTGTTGAAACTCCATATTCATTTTAAGCACAGTGATCATGGATAGGTTCTTTAAAGTGAATACTGATTAGCCAGTAACTCATCAATTGTCAAGCAAACCAAAAAATCAAGTTATTAAAAGTAGCAAAAACTAGCTAAGAAGGTAGATTTTTATAGTAAAGAAAGCACATTGTTAAATTTGCTTTCATGGCCTCATGGCAACTCCATTTCAGGCAACTATCTTAACTTATAGCTTTTCTCACCCATGTTTTTATTGTATAAGTCATAACCTGAACTTTAGAATTCTAAACCAAAAATGATTATAAGATAATAAATACATCATTAACTATAGCAGAAGTATACTAAGCACTTTACCTAAATTAACTCATTTACTCCTACGATAACCTTATTAGGTAAAGAGTACCCCCATTTTACATGTAACTCAGAAATCATTAAGTGGCAGGTGTTCTAAATGAAACCTGCACAAGGCTACAAAAACAATAAGATAATAACAAAGAGCCAACCTGAAACCATTTGGCATGTCGCAGAGACGCCAAGGCGTTCAGGCATTTCTGCCTGTCCAATAAGTCCGGAGGATCTTTCATCGCAACCTTTTCTAATGGGAAAATGGGATAAAGAAGATAGATACAGTTTGACCAAGGGATTCCTGTCAAATTACCAAACAATAAAAATAAACAGCAACATTTGAGTGAACTAATAAGACTCCCAGAAGATTCTGAGGTTCAGATTTTTTATTTTTTTTTAATTAAGTGCACTATGATTACTTAAGTAAAAAGTCATACAGCGGTTCTATGCACAAGCACCACAGGAGCACTAAAGAATCTGTCAGCAAACAATGACTGCTGTAACATATAATCTGGGGTCTTATTAAGTGCATATATATATATATATATACACATATATAAATATATGTGACATCACAGGGCTGAAAATAGGTAGTTAGCACTTTTTCCTTTGGCAGTATGCAAAGAACAGAAATCTGAGGCGAACAGTAAAACAACTTCTCTATAAAATGGGTTTAAATTGCTAATCAGTTCTTAAGAAAAACTGGGGCCCCTCTTATGTAGTCCATTTGAAATGCACTAAGAATATCATGAGATACACCAAGAGTACCACAGCAATTTTATTTTTTTTTTAACAATAAATTTATCCAACAAGATAACCATTAAAACTTCAGTGTGGAAACTATAAATGTTACCTAAGAGTTCTCACCTTTCTAAACCAAAACGATTAAAACTACAAATAGGAAATACATTTTAAGTTTCACATACCTTTTTATAAAAAGGCAGTAAAGAATACTACCCAATTACAGCCATTTGATTTGCCTTAACATTTTAAAGTTAAGATAACTCAAATCAGCAAGATTAAAAACTAAACATGTGATTAATGGCTGCAGCATTCTAAAGGCTGGAGTGCTACCACTTATTTTCTGACCAGGTGAGCTTACAGCAGATACCTGCATTGTTACAAACTAACCTTTTCTAACAAATTCACAACACAGCGTCTCAATCCATTACACCCTTTTTTTTACTCATAAAATGGAAGGACTCAAAAAGAAAGATAATGGATTTATGTATACACAGAAACAAATATACTATGGTGATATAGTTCCTGGAATTGTTCAATTTTGTCTTTATAAAAATGACACAAAACATGTAACTGACTCATTGTAATGTTTTTATATAGAAATGTTTGTGATCAATACAAGCATCTGTGTGAAGCTCATGTACCAGATAAAACAAACTACTATAAATAAATGATCAGACAAGTTAGACATGTCAAACGTTGACTGACTGCTGAGTGATGTAATCTCAAGAAAAGATATGGACCATTTTAAGGCTTCAGTCTTTAAGTTAACAGCAACGCAAGCTAAGATTTATTTTATCTTTTGACCAAATAGAGGTGTTAGGAAGAGGGGGGCAATGGAAAAGAGGAGTGAAGAGTGGGTAGGAAAGAGAAGGCAAACCCAAATCTTTGAATTTTCTGGTACTTTTGTCCAGAGGTCAGAGCTTATAAATAGCATCACACTCTCATCACAACACAGGTATTTGTAAAAGGGTACAATGGCAAAACACTGAGATATATTATTTGAGCCCAGAGTCAAATTATAGGCATAAACTTGTAAAAAGACAGAAGAGACATGTTTGCTACAGGCAGTCAACATTTTGAGGTAGAAGATTCTACTAAAAAGAAAGGGACAAGCAGTGAAAAAGAAGACTTGCCCCAGATTCCCTTTTCTAGCAGCATCAGAATGGCCATGTTTCTTCATGCTCTGATAGTCAACAAGTCAAAAGATCAAAAATGTTTCAACATTCACAAGGTGGGAACAGCAGAGGAGATGTAATAATTCATCCCATTTTGTCTTCTTCAAAGTTACTTGTTTTTAAACAATGTAACTTTATATAGCACCTCAGTGCTACCTCTGAGCCCTGCTTGCCTATTCCCTTCATATAAGAATACAGTTTTAGGTATTTTCATTCATTAAGAAAAACGTTATTTAATGTAACAACCACAGAATTGGTGCTGGGAAAACACTGCTACTTCTAGCAGAATCTCAAGTTTAATATTTCTATATGAATTTTAATGTAGGTGTTTCAATTTTGTGAGGAAGCAAAGCTTTTCTTATTTTAAAAAAGGCATCTTGAAGTCTTCAAATTAGAGACAACAGAACTATGAGTCTTTTTTTTCCCCCTATGTGACAAGAAACAGGCAAGAAATAGCATGGGGGTGGGGGCACTGGGGAGTGACAAAAATGCCAAAAGCAAAGAAAACCAGCTTTTAAAAATTTGATGCTCAGTGACCTGGCATCAGAGCATGAAGGTACATAAAACATTCTGAAAAATGGAATCACTAGAAAAGTCTACTATGCCTAATTTTATTTGGTTAGAGGTTAGATCAATGACCAGAAACACACTATACTGCAGGAAATGTTGGTCAGTTTCTCTCAAGTTCTTACGTGCAAGCTAACTCTCTGCCTCTAGGCTGGAAATGGGGTGGGGAAAGCCAGTACATAACTATGTTAAATAGGAGTTCTATACCTAGAACCTGAGCTCTTCAAAGATAAAATAATTGAACTGGGTTATCATGTAGGTCTCCCTGACCATCTCGATGAAATTGAATTACTGAGTTCATGGTGAATTTTCCCGTTAGCCTGAAGATATCCTGGCAGGCCCTTCTCTCAATTCCTTGAGATTTTGTAGAAAGTGGATATTACGCTTTAAGTACTGTTCAGGCAAAACATAAGGCCACAATAATCTGTAGGTAATTGTACCACTAAGATAGTATAGAGGGTACTGTTCTCCTAAGTTATGTTAGCAATGCTGCTTGGTATGACAATGCCTCAGTAGGTAGCCACTAAAAAGATAAGGGCTAAAGGTTTTGCACTGGCTAGTGTAGGTCTACAAGTTAGGGAAGGCAGGAAAAAAGCCTGCAGCATCATTATAATCCTACTCATGTTCTCTGGACTATGAGAATCTAATGCCTCACCCTAGCTGGGCACCGTCAGTGAACTTCTGCTACCTTCGCATTGGTACCAACACATGGAAAACAGACTGGCAATTTTTCTACAATTCCCTGAAACCTACCACAACATTGAGGGCAGAGGTTTGTCTTAGCCTAAGTTTAAAAGACTCAGCAGTTTCCCTGTGCACCTAGTTTCAAATTGTAATGTAACTATAATAAACAGTTGATTTATCACCCATATAGCAAATACACTTTGGGTTTAAAATCATTAGCACCAAAAGCAGCTGATACTGTGTGCTGCAGAGTAACTAAATCAGCTACAATGTTCCTACACTCATCCCAGACACTAATAGGGAAGTCAGAGGAACTGGATAAATTGTGACTTTCCTAATTTATAAAACAGGGCAATTATCTACTTCATAGTGTTTTTGGTAAGTTAAATTAAATCATGTATGAGAAAGAGTTTATAACACAATATAAAATAAACCTTAATGGAGCTAAATCTTCAACACATAATGCTTGAGTCCTGAGTTGCCCATTGTTAACATTTGGTACATACACATCACACAGTCCTATTTAATCTGACAAGATGCTATGAAAATTATTTTAAAACTTTTTTTTATTACCTACTATGTATTTGGCACCATTCCAGGTGCTAGGGCTACAGACTAGAGGGAGGGAAAAAGAAACCTACCCTCAATGAATCATAAGCTATGTAATAAACAAGTTCATTATTAGAAGCCCTTCAGCTAATATAGCTCACTGGTTCTAACACTACACTTCAATGGGTGTTTAAAAGTTTCACTGTTTAGGTTCAGTTCTTCAGACCTATCATACATGCATTATTCTCATTAACACAAGGTTGTTTGAATAAGTTTACACCGCAAATCTTTTTAGTAAGTTGAGTAACTATCTCTATTTACTGATCAACTAACGTGTCCTGCATATTATACAGCTCACATTACATAAATTCTCTCACTTAACCTCAAACAACTTTTTAAGGTATTTATTACCCACATTTTAAAATGAAGAAACTTGTCAGGGTCAAACAGCAATAGTAACTAACGGGGTTAACCCAGGCACCAAGGCCTATGCTTTTTCTTCTCTATCTTCTTTAGCAGTAAACACCTTCAAGTAAAAGTTTAGAGTATGCAAGGAAACTGACAGTATAGGAGGAAATCACCTGTGAAATAAAAAACAGTACTAAAGAAATTCACTATGTTTTTTGGACACTGAAAACATTACTGGTGATCTGAATCAAGTCAAGTCAGATCCACTCCCTGAGGTTAAGTGTGATGCTCTAAGCTGCCCCAGGTTTCCAGTTCTACCTGCTCTTAACCATGCTACTTTCCCTTTTTTAGATTTTATCCAAATATGTGGACAGTGAAGAAAAGGAACAGAAATGACAAGAGTTATATATTATGAATAGTCAGAAGTTGAGATGCTATAGGAAAATGTTTTCTTGAAAAAAGTAACAATGTATATTTTTTACATTTTAGAGAGTAGAGGTTTTCTAAAAGAGGTATCTTTCAGTTCTAGAAATTCCTGGAACCCAAGGAATCATATGCTTTCACCTCTTTTTACACAGCTGAAAAGAACTGCATCAAAGGTGAAGGAGCTGTCTAGTATGAGGAACAGGTACAATAAAATTGTACAGCCTAGGTCTCAAATGCTCAGTTATGCAGGAGCCTCAAAGTTGCCCAAGAATATGCAAAACTGCTAGTGCAAAACAAGAAACTGCCTTTGACATAGCCCAGGTTAGACAAAATGAGCAAATTATGAGGGATATCAAGTGAGTCAAAGAGCTGGGGGGTTAAAAACAAAGGCAAAGCAAATCTCATTGCCATTTGTAAAGAAAGGAAGTAAGGTGTAAAACATCAGGTGCAAGCCAATTCGTACACCTTACCTGATCCCACACAATGTTAACATTAACTGTGAGCCTCAGCTCATGACCAAGAGATAAGAGATCTTGGGGTCCTTCAGTAACCCAAATACCTTGAAGAGAAACTATGACTCTAATTTATTATAAATTCCATTCTTAAAACTTCTTTTTTAGTTAAGGATGCACTCACTTTTCTGAACAAAAATTAAAGTTACAAAGGAATCAGACTAAGCTTAAGGGTATCACTACAAAGCTATGCCAAAATCTCATGTAAGTACACAAAATCATGAGAAAAAAAGAAGCCTGCTGTTCTCTTAATACTTTCGAAAAAGAAATGGAAGGAATACCTACAGCTACAAGCAAACATATAATAAAACTAGTCTTTGGCAACTTCAATCTTTTTCTCATCTCTTTAAACTCAAATAATTTTTAAGAATACCTATACTTGTAAGTATACTTAGAAATGGTTGGTTTTACACTAGAGGGTGAAGTAGAACACAGCTTACCAGAATTAACAGAATTATCTTGATACTTCAGAAATCATTTTATAGTTCTACAGTTAATGGTGAACTGTAAAGCTGTTAAAGAAATTAAGTCATTTAAGGTTGGTTCTTCAAAAGTGTTATACTTTACCTAAAAATAAAAGTACAGGCATAAACCCAATTAAAGATTAGCTGCGTTTTAATCTTAAAAAATGATTTATGAGTCTAGTTTAAATCTGTTGGGTATGGTATAGTTGATTTTAGCTACTCAAAACTTTTTTTTTAAAGGAGTCTATCACTTTTACTTTAAGAGGTCCTATGAGTCATGTGTGCCAAAACCCCAAGTTCAACTTCACTGGTACGAAGCATGTTTTTTCTACATAAAGATCAACTTGAAAAAAATTAAGAAACTGACCAATATTTCTTACTGTACCGGTATTTCAGGTAGGGGAGTAAGCAATGTGTTGAACATTTAGTGATGGAAAAAATAAAGCAACAGGCAGTCCCCACATAGGCCACACTGCCTCTAAACTGTCATGATAGAGAAAAGCCAGTTGGTCAAAGATCTGACACAGAAGAAATATCATATGGCAAGTTTCTAGAGACAGGACCAAGAGGCAGAAACAAGTTAACTTGACAGGATTAAAAACATCAGAAGTAGCTGCCAACTCCATATTACTTCTCAAAGGTAAATGGATTTCTCACTCTACTTTTATTAAGGCCAACGGTGCTATAGAGAGTTCTTTGCTAACTTCAGAAGACAGTTTTAAAGTATGATCCCCACATATATCATATTCAAAATGTTCACATGTTCTCAAACTCCTAGAAAAAAATTTACTAAAGATTATTGATTTTAAAAAATAACCTCCCAATTTATCTCTCTTACATAAATCTTATAAGGATATATGTTATTAGAAATCAAAGAGCAATGTGCAAATGAGTATTTTTTTTTAAAAAGTGAATAAATTTGAAACAATACTGTTTTAGATCACAGTTAATCCTGAAATCAAATCTTTAAGCCGAACTACAGGAATAGGTTGATTGATACCGATAACAATGCAATACTAAAAATAGTAAAACAGAATACCAAAATAGTACAAAATTAAATTAAAGCAGGGTTAAGACCAAGATGATAAGCACAGGTTTTTGAATTAACAATTTATATTTTGAATGTATATGTTTTCACAAAATACAGTGATTATGTAGAAACAAAGATGTTTAAAATACAATGAGAGGCATAAAACGAAGAGTTATTTCTTAAATCCATGAAACATAGTTAACATAGCATTCAAGAGAGTTCTTAAATGAACAAAACAAAAAATATATACATATATATCTATGTAGTGTGTACCTCCATCCTTCTTTTCCAATTCGTCCCTAATTAGAGGGGAAGTAAGTATCACCTTCAAAGTTAACGTGGGCGCTTTTGTATTCCGAATTATAATAGAGGCCTCCTCTATACACTGTTCCACTTGATATTTCTCTTCTGTGAGTTTCTGAAAGTCACCAAGATTTCAAAAACACCGAATTAGGTGAAATCTAAAAAAAATGAATGTCTGCCCCTTAGTTTTCAAATGTTATTAACTATTAGTATTATTGTGCTGAAAGAATAAAGTCTTTAATTCTTTAGCTTAGGGATAACAATTCTCTCTCCCCTCAACTTACCAGCAGATCGTCTTTCTCCATCCCTCCCTCAAAAAGCAACCACAATGCCAAACATGTATAATTATGAAATGATATTAAAACCATTTCCTAATATTTTAAATATAATAGCAGCAGCATTAATTAAATGATAAAGCATCAATTATTGTTCTTGAAATTATTACAGAGAACTACTGTAGAATAATAAATCACTGCAGATGCTTTTCTTAAACCAGTACCTTTTTGAAAGAACAGTCTAAATACAAGCTAGGGCATTAAGAGTATGTAGATTTTTCTATAAGATTATATAGCTATTTAAAGAGAATCAAATAAGCACGAATGAAAAAATATTTCTACAGTCACTCACCAGCAAAAAATTAGTAAAACAAATAATATGCCTCCCTTTCTCTGACAACAGGCCTCAGAGATCATCCTAGTGAGAGTTATCATGTGGGATAAATTATGTGAAATTCACTGAAAAACACACAGTACTTCTTTGAACATACAATTATACATATATATTTTGAGACCCTTCCACAAAATGACCATCCTCTATTAAGAGAATCATATATTAAGTTACATTTAATATAGCATTATACATTAAGCACATAATTTGATCTTTGTTGATGGTGAAATTTAGTATCTACTACTTCATAGAAACAGTTGAATGGCAACACTAAGATATCTTGAATTGTGTGCATTAAAATATTTACCACTAAATATTCCAAAGAAGGTAGAAAAAAGAAAATACATCATTCTAAGTTTGAACAGAGGAAACCAAGGAAGGGAAAGGTCAGGCAGACCTTGTGAAAAAATAAACTAGAATATAGAGAAAAAAACAGAAAACTGTTCACATTTATTTCATTACTATAAGAACATGACAGATGTTCATCAGAAAATGAGTTGAACCTAGTATTTTTTCATTTATATTACCATAAGATGCATCAAGGTGACAGACATACGGTATGAGGTTTAGGCTAGGTTAATTGTAAGTGGTTTCTGGTTTTGGTCATCCCTTGTTCAAGGAAGTCTTCAAATCAAGAAAAGTGTATGTATGGAGGAAAAAGGTATGGTACAATTCCAATTACTTAAGGTACTTAGTTGAAAGTTGCTATAGGAAAGTAAGATGTAAGTAAGATGAAAGTAAGATGAAAGTAAGAAAGTAAGATGATATGGCAGCAAAGATTGGTTTTCCACATAAACACCAAAAAAGGGGGGCAAACAAGGAGTAAACACAGAAATTATACCCAAAATAATTTCCTGAAATATTATTAGTAATAACAATGTGTGTGTTTATGTGCATGATAGTGGTCTATGTGTGTATACAATTAAATCTGAGATAGCTGACAATTACATGCCCATTTGAGTACCTTTATCCCAAGTAACCATAAATGTGGACCTAAACACCATACAAAGCAGCTGGTTTCATTGCTGAATAACTCCACTGGCTCCATTAAACTGAAATACCTTTGTTATGACTCCCACCAGTGGTCTTAAGAGCTCAGCTCTCTCTTACCTTCATCCAACAAGCCCTTCAAAGACCTGAAGACATTTAGGTCTTTTTTAGTCCTAGGCTCTTCATATTTGAAGTGGTTTATATGGCCTGACCTCTCTCCTGAGTTGTTCTCTTGCATACTTGCTAGTTTGACAACATTTTAAAATTATGGTGCCCAGAAATAATGATCCTCACTCAGGAGAGAAATAATGCAACGTTCACATGGCTGTTCTCTGCACAGAGAGAGCTTTATTAACGCAGACTGAAGCTTGATCTAATCTCCTGTTATCTTTAATAATGGAGAAATGTGATCAAGTTTCAGAACAAGAACTTCAATTATTACAGCACTGGCTCCCAACTGTTTTCCACCCTGACACACCCGCGGAACACAACCATTCTCATAAGAACAGGACTCACCAAAGAGAGCAAACAGAAAGAGGAGACGGTAGAAAATGCCTCCAATATACGCGAACCTCTATTACTTTATTATAGTTAAGATAAATAATATTCACTACAACAAAAGCAAAAAGTATAATTAGTCAGAAACCCATTACTGAGCCACTCATTTCTTAAAGTTGTATTGGATTCCATGCTGCTTACCACTCTCCCTCTCCAAATAAACACAAAAGGAATTTTTTTTAATTTTTAAGAAATAAATTTTACCCTATAAAAGAACAGAAAACATTTCTAGAAAATCCTATCTTAAGAGCTAAGGCAGAATGATAAAATAGTGCTCCAAACAATATAGGGGAACATGTGAACAAGTAACACAAATTTGAATGTCAAAAATAATAGATTAAAAAATAAGGACAATAGTTTTGAAGATCAACTGGTGAACAGGACAGAAAATAATTCACCACCAAAGCTAGTGAAAACAAATTTTGAATTCAGATTACTTGGAGGACAAAAACTTTTTAGAAGAAATACAAATAAAAGAAACCAACATAAGAAAAGAGAGCATTCAACAACTCAAAGTTTGGATCCTATAGGCTGATATCTACTTATGTAATACGGATATAAGGACATGAAATTAACAATAAGATATAATCTAATTATACCAGAGATAACACATTTGAAAGATCATCTGTTTCCCAATCAATGATGCAACTGGACCTTAGAGTAAGCTGACAGAGCAGGTCCTAGAAAGATTAGAGCTCCAGGCTAACCGGTTGCCTTCAGTCCTGAGGAGCTTGATAGGAGCATCCTTTATGAAGCACATCAACCTTAAAATTTTCTAAATGCATCCCAATATAAAAAACGTTTGTGAACAGAAATCAGAAATATTTCTTCCATTAATAGAACGAATGGGTGACTGTTAAATTTCTGAGCCTTTAGTTTTAAGTTATGACCTATGAAATTTTCCAGTTGTCTAGGCTCTCTGATCTTTTAATTCTTTCCTGCATTATAATGATGAGTGACCTAGTCTAGAAAACACAGACTCCTAGCAAGATACAACTGAAAAATTCATGACTGTATCTTAATAACAATCTTAATTTGGTAAATATATCTAATCACCAAAGTTTGCTTTAAATGTGATGACGAGTCATTGACCCAGAGTAGTGGTACTCCTTTTGTCTGTACCTATCCTTTACTAATGACAATCCCTTGTTATTAATTCATCAAGGTCACTATCTACTTTCACCTTTTTACAAGTTTTCCTACAGGTGCAATTAAACTGTACTCACCTGAATCTGAATAGGAAGATTATCTTTGACTGTATTTAACAGGGTCTCTGTGGGTTTGTCCTTGCACATTAAAACCAGCTCCAAGTCCATATCATCTTTAATCAGCAAGCCTTTTGCAACCAGGCCAATCCTCATAACACCACACAATGTCCGACCACCTTGATCCCTAAAAATAAAAATCTGAATGATTACTTTTACAACCTGTTTCCCAAACTATAACTTCATTACTTGGCTTTCTGGATACACACAGAACTGATAAAGGAGTGCGTAATTACAGACATCTGAAATTCCTCAAAAGTAGGACTCAGATTTAAGGGCTCATAAAATATCTTTCCCAAGTAATCAATAGGGAGTGTATTTCAGACTATAGGTCTTTCAATTCTTTATTACATCTGTATTGCTTAGAAAATCCAAAAGTACTGTATCCCCTTAAACATCTTTTCAAACATTTTTAGAACCTCTATTATTTTGCCAGTAATTAAGAATCTTTGATAACGTATACTGAGAAAGAGAATCAAGGTAGAAATCTAAAAGACCTGAACTCCACAACTAGTGGTACCTCTTGCTCAGTATGCATAAAAGTAAAAAAAAAGCCGTCAGCTAGATGAGCTAAGGTTCTATATAGATATGTAATTTTCAGATTCTAGGAATCTCCCAAAGGTTGTGGGGAAAGCAGAATAATGTGATAAAAATGAAGAACTGAGGAAAGAACAGACCAAGATGCATTCTAAATTGAATAACTAAAAGGTACATATACACCATGGAGTATTACCCAGCATTCAAAAAAGATAAACACATGCAATTTGCAGCAACATGGATGGCACTGGAAGGGATCATGCTCAGCAAAATAAGCCAGAAACAAAAAGAAAAATACCAGATGATCTCACTCATAGCAGGAATCTAGAAAACTTAAATAAGGGACCAGGAAAAAGAATAACTATAAGAAAGTAAAAATCAAAATCAACAAACAACTATGAACCAGAGACACTCTATGGGGGGTGGGGAGCGGGGAGGGGAGGGATTGGGGTCAAAATAAGGGGGTTGCAGTTGTATGGGGAATATAAAAATAAAATTTATAATAAAAAAAAATAAATTTTAAAAAAGAAAAGAAAAGAAAAAAAGAACACTCAAAGGACATCGTCGTGAATGGTGTCTAAGAAAAATGTTAGCGAGCCTCCCTGGTGGGACAAGGGGTTAAGACGCAGCTTATGAAGCTATCCGCAGCCACTGTAGCTCCGCGGCCAGGGAGCAACCCACATGGCACAGCAGACCTCTCCTGACTTGCCCGCTGCTCCCCTCAGCAGTGTATTTCAGTCAATCCGCCTGTTCTGTTCCCCACTCTGTGTGAATCCTCTCACCCTCCCACACCTCTAGCCTGTACCCCAGTTCTTGTATGCATAAATAAATAACATTTTTTAAAAACTTAAAAAAAAAAAAGAAAAATGTTAGCAACTTATCCTTGATCTTAATACTGAGATTTTTTATCAGTTCATCTTCTTTAATCACAAGTGAAAATGTAACTAACTCAGCTTAGCAGTCATTCAACAAGTAAGCAAATGTTTGAGTACGGAAAACATGTTACATGAGAGTCATTCTCTCCTGCTCCTGAGATGTACACTGTAGTTAAACACAAATGCCGTGACCTGTTTAAGAGGGGGAAGTACGTAAAATGTGAGAACTGCAAGCCATTAATTCTCATTTAAACCTCACAACAAGCCTTTGAAAGACAAGAACGTGAACCTCAGAAAAGCTAGTTATTTGTTCAAGTTCATAATGAGAGTAAAATAGTAAAACCTGGATTCAAATTCAAGTTGGCTTGACCATAGCATTCAGATTCTTACATTATTAGAATTGCTTCCCAAGCTCAAAAGAGGGAGGGAGGTCAAGCAAGACAACCTGAAAGCTTGATTTCAGTAGTCTTGATGTGGTTATACAGAGATGAGGTCATTCCAGCTAGAGGCAAAGAATCAACACAGTTAGGCAAAAGTCAGTGGAGTTGAGACTAAACTAGAGAAAGGAGAAGGTGAGAAAGAAATTGTGACAACAGAAACAAGACAAATGTTTAAATAATCCAGCCACTTGTCCAGCTAGGTAGCACACTTAACAGATTTAACAAACATTATCTCAATGGAAAACTATAAAGGTGGTGCAGTATAGAAATAAATGAAAAGCATTTTAGGGCCTCCCCGGTGGCGCAGCGGTTGAGCGCTGGGTTGCGAGGCTGCCCGCAGTATCTACAGCGCTGGTTCGATCCCCGGCTGCACCCTGGCCACCAGAGGAGGGTCCCACATGGCGCGCAGACCTCTCCTGCAGCCCACTGCTCCCCTCAGCAGTGTACTTCGGTCCTTCTGCCTGCTCTGCTTCCTGCTCTGACTCTGGTGAATTCTCTCACCCTCCCGCGCTTCTGACTGTACCTAGTACTTGTATGAATGTATGTATGTATAAATCAATCAATCAATAAACCTTTAAAAAAAAAAAAAAAGCATTTTAAAGTGACCCACATATAAGGAATTATCTAATATTAAGAAAAGAACTGGTCATCTTTGATTCTTCTTTATTCCTGTGCTCTCATCTTCTTTATTCTTCCAAATCATAGTTTATAAATACTGCCTCCATTATCACCCTCCAACCACTGCATTCAAACTAGGTTCTTCTCCAGTTCTAATCACCTATCACCTAAACTACTTCAGTAACCTCTTCCTGACTAGCCTTAAATGACACCTCTGCCATCTCCAATCTATTGTATTGTGTACCGTATACTGTGTTCAGCATAGAACAACCAGACTAACATTACAGAAGCTCTGCATGGCTGTCACTCTACCTATATGCTAGTGAACATGAAGACACTAGCATATTGGGGCAGCAATTCAGAAAGAAGCATGATTTCCTGGCTCAAATACTGGCTCTGCCACATACTATGTGACACTGGATAAATTACAAATTAATGGATCCTTTTGAGCCTACTTTCTCTTTTGTAAGAAAGGATAACAGAGAGATGCTGAGAACATCTTTTAATTTGATGAAAATAATGACCTTAGTCCAACCCCTGGCTTATATAAATAACTCAATAAGCAATAACTATTATTTCTTAAATAATCCCTATACTTCTCACTTTATTGATTTATTTTCTCTCCCACACTTTCACTGCCTGCCAAAACCCTCAACATTGCAAATGTTACCTACTTAATAAGCTCTTCTCTGATCCCCAGAATCAGTGAATAATCTCTCTGTACTGCCACATTTTAGTCAGAGAATATTGAAGCATAGATAGTAAGATAACTGGATCCAGAGATTTGAATATGAATCCTGGCTCCACCATCTATACCCATTCAGTGACCTTAAGTTAAAATTTGTTAAGGATTCTGAGTCACTTTTTTCATAAGCAAATCTGAAGCAGTGGAAATTTTGAAAATCAAATGGAGGTGGCAGAGGGTGATAATGATAAAGACTATATAGGTTAGTTTTAAGATAATATGAAAAATAATCTGGTACTATAATTGGCCTTCAATAAATGGTAGCTATTATTAATTAGTCTTTACTAGCTAGATTATGTTCTTTATCATGATTATGATATACTTGATCTTACACAGAAGACAGCATGACTAAACAGAGAAACTAAGTCTTAATTCAGTACTAAGTCTGAATGAAGAATATGAATACGGTAGGAATGGCTAGAGCAATTGGTCCAAATTTTGGGCATTGCTTAAATTAAGAATAGAGTCCTAACAACCTTAACAGTACAAATAGTAGGATCTTAAACAAGTTCTTTGACTTTGAGTTGTGAAAAGGTAAATTAAGACAACACGCTTGTAAAAGCTGCATAACAGTGCCTGGCAACACAAGGTACTTAACAAAGAGAAGCCAGCCCTCACCCAACTTCATGCTCTCTGAAGAAATTAGCATATATTAGGAGCACTATCATGTTTATTACTGGAACACAGTTCTGTTCTTGGAAGATGAGTTTGCATCCAGTTTATACAAAATAAGGATACAAATATTCTGCACTCCTTGAGTCCCACCAGTGTTAAGAAGCACAGATAGGCGCTCAATCTTTCCATAATATGGAAAGATTTTACAGAAATGATCAAAGCTTCCACATATAGAGCTATATTTAAAAATCTACATGAAAGCACGGAGCACATCATTTTTTAAAACCTTTAACATACAGTGACTTGATCCAGTTAAGCAAAAGTCTACTGGAGCGCTTTGCAAAGGTCTATTCTGCCTTGGGAAGAAACAACAGAAGATGGATTTAAAAGGCCTGAACTCCACTGAAAATGAAACCACTTAAAACTGGCAAAAAATTTCACATTTTATGTTACATATATTTTACCACAATAAAAAAAGTTTTAAAATTTCAAAGTGGTGCCTCCCCGGTGGCGCAGCGGTTGAGAGCTGGGCTGCAGAGGCTGCCCGCAGCCTCTGCAGCGCCGGTTCGATTCCCAGGCTGCTCCCCGGCCACCGGAGGAGGGTCCCACATGGTGCGCAGACCTCTCCCACTGCCCGCTGCTCCCCTCAGCAGTGTACTTCGGTCCTTCTGCCTGCTCTGCTCCCCGCTCTGGCTCTGGTGAATTCTCTCACCCTCCCGCACTTCTGACTATACCCAGTGCTTGTATAAATAATTTAATTAAATTAAAATAAAAATAAATCTTTAAAAAAAAATTTCAAAGTGAATTTTAAAAATGAAATGCATGACTATTTAATATGCACAGGAACTGGGATATATAGAGTTAGATTACTGGATACTACTACATAATTAACACAACCCCCAAATTTGACAGAATACTTTTTAAAGCCATTATATACAAGAAAAAATTCAATTACTGCCAAGAACCTTCAAGCTGACAAGGTTATGACTTGACACAATCTATATACCTATAAATAGTTAGCAAAGTCAAGGTATTATGTTATTAATTGGAAACTGATGCTATTTCATCTGAAGATGAAAGGATCACATTATCTTTCATGTGAAGGAAATCAATTTATCAATACCTTTCCACTAATCTTTATTTATCATATTTATTTTAAACTGAAAGCGGTAAGGTATTCTGTAACCTCTAGCCTCAACTTATAAGTTGGAGCTAATGTAATGCTTTTAAGTCAATTAAAACAGAACAGTCAAAAGAGCTTTCTCTTTCAAAGGAAGTCATACTCTCAATCATAATGACATGGCTCTAAACAATAACTCTAGGCCTAACAGGATATAAGAAGTTTCAAAGTATGACTCCATGCTACAATTGTTGAAAGACCCCCATTAGGACTTCACTTTGCACAACTATCCAATGAGACTCTATGTAAGACACCGTGCTGAATCCCAGGACTCAATAAAGTAAATAAAGTAAAAAATACACATTTTCCTATACTCTTTTTTTCTATACTATGATTTTTAAATACCAGACAAAAATGGCATTTTATGATTTCTCAGAGCTAAAAACACTACTGTTTATTTCAGAATTTACAAGGCAGAACCAACACATGAAAAAAATGACATAGCACAACCTCCAAAGGAGAAGATTGTAAAGGTTTTGGTAAACACTCTCTCTCAAAAGGCATTCTGAACAGGTCCATTTTCTTTTTCTGGCTCAGTCATTTTTCTTTAAGTTTTAACTCAGAAAAATTTCATATTTACTTCCTTTGTTTACAATCATATAAAGGAGAAAACCCATGTACCACTTATAATCCAGTGGGAAGACACCCTGGGCTTTTCTGGGCATTACAGCAAAACACCTGAAAGGTCAGGCCACACTCACTTGGAATAGGTATCTACGGCCTCTTCCTTCTTCACTTCTGTCTCACCCTCTGTTTTTGTGCCTTTATTTGTTTCATCCAACCAGTCTGAGACATGTTTAAGTGCACATTCAACAGTAGACACCATATTCTGAACAGCTTCAAGCTCCTCTGGAGATGGATAGATTGTTGAATGTTTCACCATAACATGGCGATCATCATTGGCAAAAGATCGAATAGATCTCTGTGAGGAGAGAGAAAACAATTACTTCAACAAAGGAAATGTTACAGAAAAGGATGGCATCAAACATTAATTGGCTCATAACATTAATTGCCAAACACGAAATACTTGAGCACAATAAAAAACTGATTACGAATGAGATGTAAAACCCCATGACGGAAAATTTTAGAGATTTTTCATTTATGTTGTGGCAAAGGTCACCCAGGTCACACTCATTATGTATACACCACCTTTTATCTGAACCTCTATGTTTTAAATACCACTTCAAGAAAGACCATTCATATTACACAACATCTGCAAGAAACAGATACTTCCTAGCTTACAGAGAGTGTCTAGAAATGCATGACAGTGACTCATAATACTTTGCCCCCCCCTTTCTAAATTGCTGGATACTTTTGCACCTTGAAATGTTGAGATTTCATACTACAGTAATAATAAAAAATACAAAGTTACATGTCAACACTACCATAAAACTATGGATAATTAAAGTATTTTTCACTATTTGTTCAAATTTTTGGTTCAAGGCTATATTTTTAAAATAAATTAGTAGAAAACATTCCAATTCCAGAACGGAAAAATACATATTGTAAAAGAACTGACTTCCCAAGCTTATTTGCAAATGCATTCTAGCGCAATCAAAATTCCCTCAAGATGGTTTACTTAAAACTTACCCAAACATTCAAAAGACTAAAACTAGACCTTAAGCCACACATAAAAAGTGGACTAAGTCATACAAAAATGGACTAAAGATTTGAATACTGGACATGAAACCATAAAATACACAGAAGAAAATATAGATGAGGCAAGTTTTTCAACATCAGTCTTATTTTTTAATTTATTTAAATTTTATTTTTATATTCCCCATACAATTACAACCCCCTTATTTTGACCCCAACTCCTCCTTTCCCCGCCCCCTACCTCCCATAGAGTGTCTCTGGTTCATAGTTGTTTGTTGATTTTGATATTTTCTTTTTTATAGTTACTCTTTTTCCTGGTCCCATATTTAAGTTTTCTAGATTCCTGCTATGAGTGAGACCATGTGGTATTTTTCTTTTTCTTTCTGGCTTATTTCGCTGAGCATGATCCCTTCCAGCGCCATCCATGTTGCTGCAAATTGCATGTGTTTATCTTTTTTGAATGTTGAGTAACATTCCATGGTGTATATGTACCACATCTTCTTGATCTAGTCATCTATTTTTGGGCATTTGGGTTGTTTCCAAAGCTTAGCTATTGTAAATAGTGCTGCTATAAACATAGGGGTGCAGGTGTTCTTTGGAATTGATGTTTCTGTGTCCTTTGGGTAAATACCTAGGAGTGGAATTGCTGGATCCTATGGAAGCTCTATGTTTAGTAGGTCCAGAAATCTCCACACAGCTCTCCATAGTGGTTGGACCAGTTTGCACTCCCACCAACAGTGCAGGAGAGTTCCTTTTTCTCCACAACCTCGCCAACATTTGTTGTTGCTAGTTTTTTTTATATGTGCCATTCTCAATGGTATAAGATGGTATCTCATTTAGTTTTGATTTGCATTTCCCTGATTACAGTGATGTTGAACATTTTTTCATTATGCCTGTTGGCCATTTGCATTTCCTCTTCAGAGAAGTTTCTTTTTAGTTCTTCTGCCCATTTTTTGACTGGATTATTTTCTTTGTTTTTGTTGAGTCTCATCAGCTCTTTGTAGATTTTTTTGATAAGTCCTTTCTCATTAGTGTTGTGTGCAAAAATGTTCTCCCATTCGGTGGGGTTTCTGTTTGTTTTTGTTAATGTCTCTTTTGCTGTGCAGAAGCTCTTTAATTTGATGTAGTCCCAGTTGTTTATCTTTACCTTCACTATCACTGCTTTGGGTGATGTGTCTGTAAAGATGTCTTTCGTCAACATCAGTCTTATTAATGTCTTTATGGAAACAAGAGCAAAAGCAACCAACTTATACCAAAATAAAAAAGCTCCTGTACAGTGCAGAAAAAAATGTTAAAACAAAAACACAGCCTGCTGAAAGGAAAAAGATATTTGCAAATCATATATCAGACAACAGATTAATATCAAAAATTTATAAAGAACTTCTAACCTCAACAACAAAAAACACAAAGAATTCAGTTAAAAAAATGGGCAGAGGATCAGAACAGACACGTCTTCAAAGAAGACATACAGATAATCAGCAGGCAAGAGAAAAGATGTTCAGAAGCCCTTATCGTTAGAGAAATGCAAACCCAAACCACATGTGTTGGACCTCACGAACTATTAGTGACTTTTATTAAAAAGAAAAGAAACAAGGATGCGTAGAAAAAGGAACCCTCATACATTGTTGATGGGAATGTAAATTGGTGCACATATTATGGAAAACAGTATGAAGATTCCTCAAAACATCTAGAATAGAAGTAACATGATTTAGCTGTCCCATTGCTAGGTATTTAGCCAAGGAATATGAAAACACTAAAAAGATATATGAACCCCATGTTCACTACACTGTTCACAATAATGAAGGGTTGAAAACAACATAAACACCCATCCACAGATAGGTGGATAAATATGTGGTCTGGAATACTATTCAGCTACTAATAAAAAAAGAAGATGAAATCCTGACATTTGCAACAACCTGAATGGACCTAGAATGTATTATGCTCAGTAAAATAAGAGAGAAAACACCATATGATTTCAATCATATGTGGTAGATAAAAGAAACGAATGACCAACAACCACCAAAAAAGCCTACAAAACTTTTAGACTACAAAAACAAAACAGTGGTTACCAGAAAGGAAGGGGGTGGTAAATTGAGTAAAAGAGGCCAATTCTATGCTGTCAGGTGGAAACTAGACTTTTGGTGATGAACATAATGTAGTACATAGATACTGATTGATAATGCTGCACACACCTGAAACTTATATAATGATACAACCAATGTTATTAAAAATAATAACTTCAAAGCCCATTTGTGGGAAAAAAAAGATTGAGAATATCAAAAGACATTTTACAAAGATGGATGGGGTGGTAATATTATTCTAAAACAAAATATCTAAAATTTTAAAAGCAGTAATTAAAATGACATGCTGGCCCAAAAATCACTAGAGCAGAGTAGAGCCCAGAAATAGAATGAATTTCATGAAAATTTAATAAAGTAGCTCCTTCACACAGATGAGTCACACATGCAAAAAAAACCTCTGAATATTTCCAAATTTACAAATACCATTCAGACATTTGTACCAGTACATAACCAAATGAACAAGGATAAGTTGGTGAGTTTCCATTAAGCCAAAAGTATTCCATTTAAAAAGGTAGCAACAGCGTCTTATATGAAATTAGGGGCTAATAAACAGTAATATTTTGTTTAAAGTCTTTGCTGTGAATATCAATACTTGAAATTTGGGCACCAATAAATGAATATTACAGAATCACTCTTCCCTGTACAATGAAGTAAACTATAACTAAAAATTCTTTGAAATCCTCAATTATCATATAAATATTGGACTAAAATCAATCACAAAGCTTTTTTTCCTAAATATCATCCATCTATATTTCTTTTTTTCTTTAAGAAATTACCTTTATCTTTTTTAAAAGATTTTATTTATTTATACATACATACATACATACATACATACATACATACACACACACATACATACCTGGGGTACAGGCCAGAATCGCGGGAGGGTGAGAGGATTCACCAGAGACAGCGGGAAACAGAACAGGCAGACTGACAAAATACACTGCTGAGGGAAGCAGCAGGCGCAAGAGGAGAGGTCTGCCATGCCATGTGGGACTTTCACCAGCTGGCCGGGATGGAACCAGCTCTGCGGAAGCTGCGGACAGCTTCACAATGCTGCGCTCAACTGCCTGCCCCACTGGGGGAGGCCCTATATTTCTTTCTTATTCAACATCCCCAACCAGTTTTCCAACTGAAGTCTTTTGCCACAAAGAAACTTTAATCACTTCATGAGCTTTTATTCATATAAATCCCAACATAAGTAACAAAGAAACAAAAGAGCCATATAACAAATTGGAGATGCTAGATTGTTTATTAAACTCATGTACCACTAGCCTCACCACAGCAAAATTACATACTGCCACATAACATAAATCTCTAATACAGCTCTGACAAATCATAGTCTGCCAAAGTTAATCCAAGAGCTTCCTAGATATGACAGGACAAGCATCACACTTTTCTGAATAAATGGTATTACCAAAAAAAGAGAAAAAAATCTGGAATCTTATTTACCCAAATAAACTCCAAGTAGATATTTTAAAAAATATTAAAAACTTAAAATTGGAAGAACTATGCAGAAACACAGTTCTCATTCAAATCTCAGTACTAAGAAGCAAAGCAAAAGGAGATTGGAAAATTGAATTTATAAGTTAAATTTAAAATTTCTACACCAGGGGCCTCCCCGGTGGTGCAGTGGGTTGAGAGCAGCACTGCGAAGCTGTCCACAGCCTCTGAAGTGAGGGTTCGATTCCTGGCTGGCGTGGCAGACCTCTCCTGTCTCGCCCACTGCTCCCCTCAGCAGTGTTTTCAGTCCGTCTGCCTGTTCTGCTCCCCGCTCTGTCTCTGGTGAATTCTCTCGCCCTCCTGCACCTCTGACCTGTACCTCAGCTCTTGCATAAATAAGTAAATCTTTAAAAAAAAATTTCTAGGGCCTCCCAAATGGCGCAGCGGTTGAGCGCTGGGTTGCGAAGCTGCCCGCAGCCTCTGCAGCGCCAGATCGATCCCCGGCTGCTCCCCGGCCACCGGAGGAGGGTCCCACATGGCACGCAGACCTCTTCTGCCGCCCGCTGCTCCCCTCAGCAGTGTACTTAGGTCCTTCTGCCTGTTCTGCTCCCCGCTCTGGCTCTGGTGAATTCTCTCGCCCTCCTGCGCTTCTGACTGTACCCAGTGCTTGTATAAATAAATAAATAAAATTTAAAAAAAAAAAAATTTCTACACCAAGAAACTTAAACTAAATTTAAAATTAATAAGCATTGGCTATGACAAATAATATATATATATCTAAAGCATTTCTTTAATCAAGTCTATAATAAGTTACCTGAAGAGGCAAATAATTTACATGGGAAGAAACATAAATCCAGTGGTTTTTTACATCTCACCATAAAACCAGAGAGAACCCCAAGCAAACATTTTTTCCTACCATCCAGAACACTTTTTTAAATAAAGATTTATTTTTATTTATGCATACAAGAACTAGGGTGTAAGCCAGAGCTGCTGAGGGAGAGGGTGACAGGATCACCAGAGACAGAGCGGGGAGCAGAACAGGCAGATCTACTGAAATACACTGCTGAGGGGAGCAGTGGGTAAGACAGGAGATGTCTGCTGCATCATGTGGGTTAGAGCTCCCTGGCCAGAGATCGAACTGTTGTTGCAATGGCTGGCAATAGCTTGATAGTGCTGAGACTTAACCCCTTGTGAAACCAGGGAGACCCCAGCCAGAACATATTAATAGAATTTCTTCTGTAAAAAGCAAGTCAACTAAATTATAATCCCTAGGGGAGTAAATTTTCAACCAAATAACATTTAAAGAAATACCATCAGATCTGCTAAACAACATATTTCAAGCATGCTGATTATTAATATTTTTGTGCCTTTTCCCTCACTTTTAACATCTTTTATAAGCTTTTTCTAAGTTATACTATGGGGGAAATTCACACAATATCCTGCAGAACCAAAATACTAGGGGGAAAAAATTCAGCCCATTTTACCAATTAAAAAAACTAGGCAACAGAACAGAACATTCAGTGCCCCCAGCACATTCAACACTTGATCGTATTATTTTAAAAAGTGGGGAAAGATGGTTTTTTAAGTGATATACTCACACAATTTTACAGACTGCTCCCCATTCATATCAGTAATTAAAGGATGATGGAAGATTTTTAATTTCCATGGGAAACATCAGATAGAAGGCTAAAGAAAATTACATTATTTCAAGTTCAAGGTGACCTTAGCCATTTGTATGGTTTACTAATGCCAGATTTATTTGAAAATATTATTTATGAGCATTCCCTCTTTGTATTTAATAATTGATGGCCTGCAGGCTCATGGGGCTCCATCTGGTGGTTTAAAGGGCTCATAATAAATCTGAACTCACTTGCTTTGTTTAAATAGAGTGCCATTTGTATGCGATGTGTGAGAGCCAAAAATTAACACCAGTTTCACTTGCCCTCAACTGTTAACACTCAATTTTAAGCTATTAGGATCCTTTGTAACCAAATCCAGGAAATATAAGTAATAACCTACCATGGTTTTCTATAGTGTTTTTAGCTTCTTTTTCCGATGATCCTTTCCCTTCTTTCTCGTCGTCTTCACTAGACACTGTTTTGTGTGACAATACCTCCTCATAAGCCTGAATACCCTGACAGCTAAGAGTCAATGCAGCAAAGACGTTTAAAGACTTTTTCTCTGGAATACACCTGCAAAAGAAAAGAAATATACAACTTTTCATAAATACTTATTTACGGTTAGTTTCATATTTGAGTGTAGAGTACATAAACATGTTACTGACAAAAAGGGGACCAGTTTTATGGTGGAAAATTACCTCATTTCAAACTAAAAGCTAACATATACTTTGACTAAAGGTCCAAGAGCCTAAGGGATATGGCCAGAAAAGTGACTCTCTTGATAGCCTCAATGTGGCAACAGGCCGACTCATACTCAAGGAGATATATTGCCGACTTGTACTCAAGGAGATATATTAACAAAGATTTAGTCAAAAAGTACCACCTGGAAAAGTAATGTTACTATTGCTGACAACATTGTAACAAACCATGAGATTGCAATTAGAAATTGGCTTTAGTCAGCCTATTCAAAGAATAGACACCTGAAAATACAACATCACCACTATCTAGAACCATGGGTTTTTTCCATATGAAATGGCCAAAAGACAGACAGTATACATATGCACAATGTTTGCTCTTCGGTAATTTTTAGACTTGAAATTCAGAATGTATTTTTGATTCTGTTTTCCCTAACTCCTGAGGGACTCTGCTCCTCCTTCAACCTATATGCCAGACTCCTGAATATTCACCAGATCCTGATATCATTACCCACAAAAGATACCACTTATATTCTCCCTAGAGGCATAATCACCATTCTATTACCCCTTTATTCCACTTTTATGAGTTCCTATTTTATTCCAGATAAGGTAAACTAAACTCTTCGAAGGACTGATGAAATCCGTGTATTATAAGTTCAGCTTGAAAAAAAAAAGCCTAGAGAAACGACTATCAAAACACAGGATTTAGGGCCTCCCCGGTGGCGCAGCTGTTGAGAGCGGGGTTGCGAAGCTGCCCGCAGCCTCTGCAGCGCCAGTTCGATCCCCAGCTGCTCCCCGGCCACCGGAGGAGGGTCCCACAGGGCGCGCAGACCTCCCCTGCCGCCCGCTGTTCCCCTCAGCAGTGTACCTCGGTCCCTTTGCCTGCTCTACTCCCTGCTCTGACTCTGGTGAATTCTCTCACCCTCCCGCGCTTCTGACTGTACCCAGTGCTTGTATGTATGAATGAATGGATAAATAAATAAATAAATAAATAAATAAATAAATAAATCTCTAAAAAAAAAAAAAACCCCACAGGCTTTAACTACATGTATATCAGAGTAATTTACATAACACAGAGCATTAAAAACTCACCAAGAAACAGTTTCCTCTTCATCTCAACATCTTTTTTTTTTTTAAGTTAAATTTCATTACAATAAGGAAACCCCTTTATAAAAACTTTTGTCTGTAACATCGTCCTCATACTTATTAGTTGTTCCCCTAAGGAGCGAAAATCCTTTTTGACTTTTTGGGACCAGGAAAGTTCCAGGTGTGACATTTAACACTCCCCAATACTGCAAATGATTATAGTCAAATGATACCTAGCTGTGAGCTACATGCAAACTATCTATACCCTGTAACCAAATCCCCTGATTCTGGCTTACAAAATTCACCTGATATATGCTAATGAAGTTTGATTTTTAAAAAAGGTTATATGACAACTGATAAGTGGAGTTTACTTTATTACAAATAACATACAAGGTACAGAGAGAACCCACACATGCTGTGGCCCATGAGGCCTTTTTGCACAAGAAAGTTACAAAATGAAACATGATCCCAAAGTAAGTGACATCTCAAAGATCATCTTTTCCTGAAAAGTATACCTTCCAAATAAAGATTGTACTATACAGCGTTAGTGTCTTGGCATTTCCTGTTCCCAAACCTATTCCATTTCAGGGCATTCAACCATTTGAACCCAGCAGTTAAGAAACTGCTATGCGTTCAGAAGAGAACTAAAGAAGTCCACAAGTTTCACTCTAAATAGATAAAGTCAATAAATCGACCATAGTTAAGAAAGTAGATTGAAAGCAGAAAAGGCTGACATAGCAGAGGAATTGTGTATCACCTTTATCAAAAGTACAGCACTCTTGAGTCATTCAGCATCAAGAAACTACTCTACACACACATCAAGGAGCTCTGGGAACTTGGGCTATGGCATACATAGTGCAATGATTCACAATAAAAGCACCCATCTCAAAATCATATTCTGCTGGTGCTATAAAAGGAATTTAGAAATCATCTGGTCCGCCTCCATCTACCCTTCAATTTATAAATGAACTAGTATCAGAAATACTAAGGTCTCATAATTAATCAGGGACAAGACCTGGTCAAGAACCTAAATGATAACCCTATACTATCCCCCTATTCTAAGCAGATAGGAAGAAACTAAACACATTTTTTAAGGGGATTCTCTTTTTGAAAAATGGTTGGTTAACCTGGTAGATAAAATACTGGCCTTGAAATTAAAATGCTCAACTTTGCCATTAATGGCTATATGACCTTAGAAATCCTAATTCACAAAGACAATTTCATTGGGGATCAGCTTCCTTTATCTATAAGGTAAGAAAATATTCCACTACTAATTAATAGCTAATGTCTATCGAATGCTTTACCAGATACTATTCTAAGAGCTTTTCATACATTAAGTCATTTAATCCTCACAACAACCTCAATTACTATCTCCATTTAACACATAAGGAAACCAGAGCATAAAGAGACAACAAATATAAATTCAATAAAATCACAAAGGAAAAGTATACAGTAGAGTCAAGATTCAAACCTAGACAATCTCCTACAACAAAAATTTCACTCTGAAAGTACTTACAGTTGGTGGACAAAGTTTATATCAAAAAAAAAGTCTGAATTACAAAAGCCATAAAGTACACAGGCTTTGGAGTCAGACAGACTTAGATTCAAGAACCGGCCTTGCCACTTCACTTCTCTAAGCCACAGCTTTCCTACCTATGCAATGGTGTGAATAACTATTTCAAATGAAATGAGACACATTCTATAAAACTCCTAAAAGTATCTCCCAAAGAGCATATATTCAATAAATGACTTCAAGGGGAAAAACTCTCAAATATTAAATAAAATGTTTTGTTATGCATCAAACATGTACATTTCTCTGAAAAACAGCTCAGAAGAATATTAGTTATGCTCATTCTAACAGTTTTATGTAGCACAGGTAGAATATACACAAACATGAGTGTGCATGTATATCAATTTTCATTAATCAAGCACCCTTTCAAATTTTTTTTTGAGCAGTTTTTAGGATTACAGAAAAATCAAGTGGAAATTAAGAAAGAATCCCACTTACCCTTTCCTTCCCACCACACATATAAATTTCCCCTTTTATCAACACTTTCTACCATGGTACATTTGTTCCAGCTGATAAACCAATGTATTATTAATTAAGGCTCAAGTTTACATTAGGGGTTCACTCTTTTTTTAAGATTTATTTATACAAGAGCTGGGGTACAGGTAAGAAGCATGGGAGGGTGAGAGGATTCACCAGACACAGAGCGGGGAGCAGAACAGGTAGGCGGACCAAAAGCACTGCTGAGGAGAGCAGCGGGCGAGACAGGAGAGGTCTGCCATGCCAGGTGGGAATCCTCCTGGCTGGCCAGGAATCGAACCGACGCTGCAGACAGCCTCACAGCGCTGTGCTCAACCCTCTGTGCCACCAGGGAGGCCCAAATATTCCATTTTTTTACTGTACCACAACCTGTTTACCCATTCTCCTATTGAAGAACACCATGGTAGCATCCAAGTTTTGGCAATTATGAATGAAGTTGCTATAAACATCTGAGTGCAGGCTTTTGTGTGGACATAAATTTTCAATTCATTTGTATCAAGGAGTATGAACGCTGGATCATATGGTAAGACTATACAAGCTTTTAAAGAAAATTCCAGACTCTCTTCCATCCAAAGTGGCTGTACCATTCTGCAGTCTCACCTATAAGGAATGAGAGCTTCTGTTGGCCCACACACTCACCAGGATTTGTGGTGTCAAAGTTGTACAGATATTCTATTACTCAGCAATCAAAAAAGATAAACTCATGCAATTTGCAGCAACATGGATAGAGCTGGAAGGGATCATGCTCAGTGAAATAAGCCAGAAAGAAAAAGGAAAATTTAGAAAACCTAAATAAGGGACCAGGAAAAAGACTAATTATAATAAAGTAAAAATCAAAATCAACAAGCAACTATAGACCAGAGACACACTACAGTGCGGGGTGGGGGAATAAGAGGGATTAGGGTCAGAAAAAGGGGGTGGGAATTGTATGGGGACTATAACCAAAATGAAAATGCATACATTATGCAAAAATGAAAAATGATGTAAAATTTATATAAAATAAAATAATTTATTAAAAATAAATTTTAAAAGTCCCCACCCCCACCCGGGTGGCGCAGTGGTGGGGCGCTGGGCTGCGAAGCTGCCTGCAGCCTCTGCAGCACCAGTTCGATCCCAGGCCCCAGGTGAGGGCCCCACATGGTGTGCAGTCCTCTCCTGCCGCCTGCTGCTCCCCGCAGCAGTGTGCTTCCATCCTTCTGCCTGTTCTGCTCCCCACTCTGGTGAATTCTCTCACCCTCTCGTGCTTCTGACTGTACCCAGTGCTTGTATAAATAAATAAATCTTTTTAAAAAATAAATAAATTTAAAAACATTAAGAAAAAAAATTAATCTGAATTGCTTATATACTTCCATTTGAAAATGTTTCCTAAGAGCTACTGTGATTAGAATGGATCTAAGAAGTAATTGTAATGTGAATTACCTTATATTGACACAGTATATCAGATCAGAATCTGTTTTTGGAAATCACTGTCGTCTAAATAATAGTATATTTCAAGATGTGATTGTAAAATTCTAGGACTCAAGTTCTTTCACCTGTTCAATAAATCAAGAGACTTCCTAAAAAAAAAAAAAAGTTATACAGATATTCTAATAGGTATAAACTGATGGTAGAGGGCCTCCCTGGTGACCTAGGGGTTAAGTTTCAGCGTTATCACCATGACAGCCTGAGTTCCATCCTGGCCAGGGAGTTGACCCACATGGCACAGCAGATCTCCCCTGTTTTGCCTGCTGTTCCCCCTAGGGGTG